AAATAACGTCTGCCAGGCTGATCGGAATATGATGAAACTTGGTAGGGCTGCTAGAAATAATGTACTTAACATGTTTTTTTGGGTCTGGTTGCGATTTTCTGGTTTTGTGCGAATTTATGAAACGACCCTCTATCGAGCTCCATACTGAAGCCTTATAACAGCGATCTCGAATGTCTATCTCCCTAAATAACGTCTGCCAGGCTGGTCGGAATATGATGAAACTTGGTAGGGTTGCTAGAAATAATGTACTTACCATGTTTTTTTGGGTCTGGTTGCGATTTTCTGGTTTTGTGCGAATTTATGAAACGACCCTCTATCGAGCTCCATACTGAAGCCTTATAACAGCGATCTCGAATGTATATCTCCCTAAATAACGTCTGCCAGGCTGATCGGAATATGATGAAACTTGGTAGGGTTGCTAGAAATAATGTACTTAACATGTTTTTTTGGGTCTGGTTGCGATTTTCTGGTTATGTGCGAAGTTCTGAAACGACCCTCTATCGAGCTCCATACTGAAGCCTTATAACAGCGATCTCGAATGTATATCTCCCTAAATAACGTCTGCCAGGCTGAGCGGAATATGATGAAACTTGGTAGGGTTGCTAGAAATAATGTACTTAACATGTTTTTTTGGGTCTGGTTGCGATTTTCTGGTTTTGTGCGAAGTTCTGAAACGACCCTCTATCGAGCTCCATACTGAAGCCTTATAACAGCGATCTCGAATGTATATCTCCCTAAATAACGTCTGCCAGGCTGATCGGAATATGATGAAACTTGGTAGGGTTGCTAGAAATAATGTACTTAACATGTTTTTTTGGGTCTGGTTGCGATTTTTTGGTTTTGTAAGAATTTATGAAACGACCCTCTATCGAGCTCCATACTGAAGCCTTATAACAGCGATCTTTTCAAACAAAGATCTTAAGTCTCACAAACTGCACTTCTTGTGATAGAGGTGGAATATCTGCAAGGGGCCAGGTTGTGATTCCCATTCATTTAGAAAAAGATTCGGTTCCGAACGTATCTGTGCAGTCATATCCTTGGGAGAGTTCATTTGTCAAGGATAGATTCCACGACTTTTCTTGCGATTGCGAGCCTGAAGATGCTCATTTGACCCATAGAATGTTCTATTTACAGCTCCCTGTAGCATTATTAGTTATGGTCGAAAGAGGCAACGGCGTAGATAATACAGTTCTGCATTGTCCTGTTAAAATTAACGAAACTATTTTCTTATCAAATATGTTGCCAGGTCAGTATAAAAAAGATGCTTGTGTGTATCGTCTTGCTGCCGTTCTTGTTCATCATGGTAAATCATCTACGTTTGGCCATTATAACTGTGCCATATTCAATGATCTAGGTGAAGGGCTTAAATTTGATGACAGTAAGCAAGTGCCCGTATCACTTGAGAAATATATTAATTCGAGGGAATGTAAAGAAAACTGTCGTATGTTGGTATACATTAACTCTGTTGCTCTAAGAAATGCAACGCCAACTACAAATGCGCCTTGGGAAAAAGAAATGAGCCCCATCGATAATAAAAACGTAGAAAGAATTCTTTTCGGATTTGAGAATAGCCCCAATGAAGTTAATCTCCCTGTCGAATCATATAGAACCATTTCCTGTAATGAAAATTTGCATGGTGATGTTATCTCTACATTTTTACAACATCTAGCCTTTAAATTTTTTGGCAAATCAGACATTGAAGTCTTGCCATCACAGGTTTTGACAGCCATTCTGGAAAAAAGAACCACCGGACACATTTTATCAAATTCTATCGAGGAATACCAACGAATTCTTGGGGCAACTATTGTCTTTTTTCCATTTCACCAAACGAGAAAAGGCTCACCAGGGCACTGGAGCATTATTGCTTTGTACCCCGAAAAAAGGCTGGTGGTACATTGTGATTCAGCAGCAAGTGACGGTGGCGAGGAAAATGCCTTCTTTGCAATTAATGTTTTCATTTCCAAATTACTTTCCGTTGCAAAAAAAGAATCAGAAATACCTAACTGGGTCTATCTTTCATTAACCGAATACGGACTCCAGCAGCAATTCAATACACACAGCTGTGGGGTATATACCATGTACATGTGTAAATGCTTATTGTCTGGTTACTTTGACGGATTTCGAGATTTTCCAAACTGACCTTATACCGATAAGATATTGGATAGGGAAAGCTTGCATCGATGGCGCAGAATATGTAGGTAGAAGGTCCACGAATGCCACTGTTTGGGGTGCAATAGAAACAGACGAGCGAGAGATTTTAAAGCATAATTATCATGCAGATCGTAATGAAAGAATATCATCTCTCCTTTAAAGAAGCGACTGCAAAACTTTACTCTACCGAACAGCCTAGAAATACGGTGTTCTTTAATGCAATTAAACACTCATAGAACCCAGTGACTTTGCTTTCCTATTTCCTCGAATCCTCGGCAGTATTGTAAATGATCATCTGTACAGTGACACATTTGTGAAAAAATTGTAAAATAAAATGAAAACAGAAAGTAGATTAGAAACGTAATATATTTCATTAGTTTAGACGATATTGAATTTATTTCAAGTATGAAGGAGCAGTATATCATTAAAATCTACTTCATGTTTAACATTTTGTTAATTGACCAACGTTCTTGATACATTATTCAGCAATTAGTTATAGTTTAAATAAATTTTGTTTTCACATTAATACCGTTTGAAAGCAAATGTTGACTGATTGGTAAATTCCCGCGTAGTAATAATTAATAATTGTAAGTTTTCCTTTACTTCACGCATTTAACAAGTTGATCTTTATGGCCATAGTCCTGTTTTAGTCTACAATTTTCGTATAAGTAGTCTAAATCGATGTATCTAAATAATTTAAATGTTTATTAGTAATCGAATATGTTAAACAGGTCTTTTCGCTACAAGTTGCAAAGAAACACAAAGTATAGTAAAATATAAATATATAGACCCTTGTAACAATTAAGTGTTGTAACAAGTTTTATTCTATAATGTAAGTTCTCCTTCGATAAATTTTTTTTTTACCATTTCAATGTACTGTCAATAAATAACTCGTAATTATGCAAACTGTCGTTTGTCGTCTTTTGGGGTTCACCATAACTGATATAAAAATCTCAACCAGACCTATCAACCAGACCCAAAAAAACATGTTAAGTACATTATTTCTAGCAACCCTACCAAGTTTCATCATATTCCGATCAGCCTGGCAGACGTTATTTAGGGAGATAGACATTCGAGATCGCTGTTATAAGGCTTCAGTATGGAGCTCGATAGAGGGTCGTTTCATAAATTCGCACAAAACCAAAAAATCGCAACCAGACCCAAAAAAACATGTTAAGTACATTATTTCTAGCAACCCTACCAAGTTTCATCATATTCCGATCAGCCTGGCAGACGTTATTTAGGGAGATAGACATTCGAGATCGCTGTTATAAGGCTTCAGTATGGAGCTCGATAGAGGGTCGTTTCATAAATTCGCACAAAACCAGAAAATCGCAACCAGACCCAAAAAAACATGTTAAGTACATTATTTCTAGCAACCCTACCAAGTTTCATCTTATTCCGCTCAGCCTGGCAGACGTTATTTAGGGAGATAGACATTCGAGATCGCTGTTCTAAGGCTTCAGTATGGAGCTCGATAGAGGGTCGTTTCATAAATTCGCACAAAACCAGAAAATCGCAACAAGACCCAAAAAAACATGTTAAGTACATTATTTCTAGCAACCCTACCAAGTTTCATCATATTCCGATCAGCCTGGCAGACGTTATTTAGGGAGATAGACATTCGAGATCGCTGTTATAAGGCTTCAGTATGGAGCTCGATAGAGGGTCGTTTCATAAATTCGCACAATACCAGAAAATCGCAACCAGACCCAAAAAAACATGTTAAGTACATTATTTCTAGCAACCCTACCAAGTTTCATCATATTCCGATCAGCCTGGCAGACGTTATTTAGGGAGATAGACATTCGAATTCGCTGTTATAAGGCTTCAGTATGGAGCTCGAAAGAGGGTCGTTTCATAAATTCGCACAAAACCAGAAAATCGCAACCAGACCCAAAAAAACATGTTAAGTACATAATTTCTAGCAACCCTACCAAGTTTCATCATATTCCGATCAGCCTGGCAGACGTTATTTAGGGAGATAGACATTCGAGATCGCTGGTATAAGGCTTCAGTATGGAGCTCGATAGAGGGTCGTTTCATAAATTCGCACAAAACCAGAAAATCGCAACCAGACCCAAAAAAACATGTTAAGTACATTATTTCTAGCAACCCTACCAAGTTTCATCTTATTCCGCTCAGCCTGGCAGACGTTATTTAGGGAGATAGTTTTTGCAAGTTTTCAAATTGGGGTTTCCTCGGAGCTTGTTGCTAGTTGAACAGGATGTTCGAAATTGGTAGTTTTTCCCTTGAATTTGCTGAAAAGTTGAAGGAAAGGTACGTTTCATGTTGTTTTGAGTTGATTTCGCTAACTTGTTTCTTCCTTAGCGCCTGAAATCAGTTCAAATCAGGTTGTGATGTTTCACTGCGAATGTTTATTTTACGCGAACATTTAGGCCGTGTACAAAAATTTTCGATGTTTTGCCTTACCTTTTAAAGCATAGCGCGTCTTAATATAAACAAGATACACGAATCGACAGAGAATCCAGCCAAGTTTCCCAATATGAAATATCTTTTCATTATCTTTTATGGTTTTTTTGTAAGAAGCAATCAAAGTCCGAATGTATACTCGAATGTCTAACTGAATGTCTAATCGAATGTCGCTCGCTAAATAGCGGACCAGTGCAATCGTATTTTTTAACAAATTTCTCGAAAGTGGAGCTGCCTACTTGGGTTTTGAGTTTTTCGATTATCGGGAATCTCTAGGACTTACAATGCCAAATCATCAACATTGTTTGAGGGGGAAGGGGGCGGAAGTAGCAAATTTTTTTCATGAAAGGAATGAAAGATATCAAATGCAGCGTAAATTGGTGGGTGTTCCAAGTACTTTTGGCAGGCATTGTAGGAGGAAGCAGGATTTGCAAAACAAAACGCATTCCGCGAGATACTACATTAACTGCAGGAAGTTTCTTAGATTCTCCAAAATAAACTCGTTAAGTAAAGAAATACCTTAGGCAGAGCCTTTCTTTTTCTCAAACGGCGTGGTGACGATCTCGGTGAGTCGGCCATCTTGCTCTTCTCTATAACGAAAGTAAAATTCCGAGAAATTGAATCAATTTAATTGATAGCAGTTCATAGTTTGTTTCCCTGTGGTAGCTTCAGTCTCAGCACGCCGGTGCATATCGCTTTAAAACAAGTTTTAATTGGTTTGTTTGTGGCGCTGCAAAAGAAGAGATTTTGCCATATCACGATGTGTCATAGTAATATTGATCAGAAGTAGCTAACTCCCTAACTTTTCAATAGGCTTTAATCAGGGACAACGCACCCAGTGGTGGCGCCAGGGGAGGGCTAGGGGGGCTACAGCCCCTCCGTCGGAAGCATCTAGCCCCCCCCCCCCATTGGAGGAAATTTTAGGTTATTGTCGGAGAAAATTTGACAAAAAAACGTACGAAAACTGCTTATTTTAGTCATTTTAGCCCCCCTGTCGGAAGCTCCAACCCCTCTGTCGGAAGATTTCTGGCGCCACCCCTGAACGCACCACTTTTAAAGTGGGAAGCTTAGGAGCTGTTCCCCGAAAAAATTTTTGGACAACGTCCTTTAAGCCTTGGCCAAACGACTAGATTTTTCATTCAACTTCTTGCTATAAATTTGTATTCCAAAAATCGAAAGATGCATAGTGTTGTTTAGTGTTGTGGCAAAACGGCTGGACATTTCGCTATACAACTTGCTCGACTTTCTAATTTGGAATCTCGATTTCACGTAAATCTTGCTTTTTCTTGCCAAAAACCATTTCTTCTTCTTTCAATTCACATTCATTGCCAGCACCCAAGCTTCTTTTTGGAGGGCAAGGCGGCCTAGAGTCAGACGCAAGTCCTCTCACTTTCGATGCTTTTATTTTTCGAACGAAGCCAGATTTTAGTTTCTATCTGTCTTGCCATAGAGAAAGCTCTCTGCAGATGCACTCGTTGCTGGGTTAGCGGGAAGAACCTTACAAATAGTCAGGGACAGCCGAAGCTGGGGTGGCTATGGGCGCTTTAGCCCCCCTCCCTCAATAATTTCCAAATTGTGCTTAAAGCCATACAAAAATCACCCTGCCTTTTATGTTCAGCATGTTTGGCACCCCAAAACGTGTTAGCCCCCTCAATCTGGGATATGCTCCACGGTTCTTGTAAACAGTTACCACTTTGCCTATGAGACGAAGTTCTGCAGGCTTGAAATTTATAACTCTCTTTAGAATACCGTCGAAGCATTCGGATTTATTCTCTCCAAACAAAATTTTTATATGGAGGGGGGCTATAGCTTCTGCTAGCCCAATGGCTGTGCGCTCCCTGGCTGTGATTTATTCTGTGATAAAAGGGTTTTGAAGAAAATAACAATTTTGGTAGAATGATCAAGGAACCAAGTTATCTCGCATCGCTGTGATTGTTTAAGTTTCCTGATGTACTGCTATAGGAATTATTCCTTAAAATTGAATAGTACTCCCTGGTAGGGTAAAATGTTATTTCTGCTTGTACTGTACAACGTTCTACAAGCCTAGTAAATTGTCGGGGCCCTTGCTCCTCGTCTTGCCAGCATAAACCTGCGGCTGTCTTTAGAGCCTTTAGAGCGGAAAGGCTCTTTATCGCAGAAGACACACCACAAGGCACTGCAAGCAACACAAATCATCTTTTTCTTTTGTTCCTTCTAACTGTACTCTTTTGTAGCATTCAATTCAACTCAAGATATCAATGTAATTCTACAGAAAAATTTTCAGAGTATAAACGACGGATAATGACCAAAATTCAGCAGAAAATGATGAACCAATCCAAACGGGCTTCTTCCCCGCCCAGTTTTTACGATCCAAATCTAGACATAAACTTTCTGTTCAATTTCGGTATTTCAATATTTTTGTGAATAGATTTGAACATTTCTTATGAGACTAGTTAATGGAGACCCTGGCACCTCGGGGGTAAACCAAGCCCATAATTCTGGACCCATAACTCTGCAAATGTCTGAAAAATATGACCCATAATTCCGCAAACATGATGAACTATACCCACAATTCTGCAGAGCAAATAAAAATTTTAAAGCACATAAAAAATCATCAACCAAATTTGGCATGTCCTATGCCCCAAAATCTATTATACATATTTCATACTTTTTTTCTAACTGGACATTCATTTTGTTAAAAGCTAAATCTTCCCCCTAATAATTTTGAAAAATGTTCCAAAAATGGTACCCATAATTCTACATGTTTCTTCAAATGGTATCCATAGTTCTGCACATATTTCAAAAATTGATACCGATAATTCCGCACTTTTCAGAAAAAAGGGACCCCTAAATAATGGTCCCTAGATTTTCATTCCTAAAACAAAGCATCAGAAATTTCTTTGCCTTTAGATTAATTGAAATAAAATTAAACTTGTATGAGAACTACCTATGATGAAGTGGTGATTGATGATAATTTGTAGAGGGACAATGTTAATATTTTGCTTTGCTGTTTTCAATTATGATATTGTATTGGTACTTGCTTTAGTTTGATATTTCTTTCTTTATCAGCAAAATATTTCACATACCAAGTCACATACCAATCATCATTTGTAGGAAAGTGCAGTTTGCACAATTAGTGTAACCATGTTTGTTTATGTGAGAAACTGGGAATAGTAAACGTATCCTATGTATAACAATGTTCTAAATGGTTTTTACCTCACTGAACACATTTTGTGAAATATTTCTAAATTCAATAGCAACAAATGTTGGTCAAGCAATGACTAGGCTGACATACATATCATTCAACATTGCAACTTGGCCACTATTTTTCATCAGATACTCATACTCATAAAAACAAGATAAAATTGATAAATTCAATAATATATTTCTACCCTACAGCATCCCTCCCAATTAATTTACAAGTTTAAGCATCGTAATAAACATTACTGTGTCACATCTTGTTGTTCGGTTTTGAATATCTGGCCATATGCATTCTTAACGTCTGTTTTCAACTGAGGGTCAGTGACATCTGGTTTCCCTTTGTCTTGTGAGTTTATTTCAAGAAAACTGTCCCATTCTAGAGACTGTGACTGTTTTGCTTTCTGCATGCACTTTTCCATGTACTCGATTGGGTCTTCAGGCCTCCTGTAGAGCAGGGCAGTCAGCAGACTCTGTGGGATGATTAAGAATTGTGTCATTTTACTGTAGTTGTTGCCCTGTGAGAATACATGTCAGAGTTGTAACAAAAAGAAATCTGGTCCTATAAGCAAAACCGCAACCATCGATGGGAAGATAAGGATGGAAAAATTGTAGTCGCAAAGGACAGTTGAAAAAGAGTATGGAAGGTGTACATGGAATCTTTGCGACCGTTCTGTGGGTGCTGACAAAGGTTGAGGGACCAGTGGAACCGTTTGACATGGACGAAGTAACAAAAGCACTAGCACGTATGAAGAATGGTAAGGCTGGTGGATTAACTTGAATCGCCAAAGAGCACTCCGCTCCATTTTAGCATGGAAAGCCAAGCCAATAACTGTGGAGACAGCAAATGGAATCCTGTACAGAGATGATATGCCACAGGAATGGATGTTGAGTACACTTGTTCTTATATTTAAGAACAAAGGTAGTGTTATAGAGCGTGGTAACTATCGCGAAATCAGGATAAAAAAGCATGGAGCATGGTATAAAAGCGTAAAAAGACTGCTGGAGAAGAGACAGAGGGATATCATGAATGTTGACAGAATATTCACGATATCCCTCTGCCTCTTCGTCCCTTTATCCAGGTTTTATGCCTGGTAAAGGGACGGTTGGTGTCGTATACATCGTAAGGACGATGCAAGAGGTTACATTGAGAGGAAAGAGAATGTCTACGTGTGTTTGTGGACTTGGAGAAAGATTTGATCGAGTTCCTAGGAAAGTCATTGAGTGGTGTACAAGGGTGCAAAAATGAGAATGCGTATTGGGGGTTGTAACACAGAAAAGTTTGATATTGGGGTCGGTATTCATCATAGATCTTTACTTTCACCGCTTTTGTTTGAAATCGTCCTGGATGTGCTTTCTGAAGGGAAGAGAAAGGTGCCTTGTATATGCTTGTATGAACTACTGTGTGCGGACGATACAATTATAATGGCACAGACAATGGAAAAGCTGGAAGTCAGCTTTTGTAGGGAGAGGGTTAAAGGTTAATATTGGAAAAGGAAAGATTTAGAGTGTGGAGTCGGAAAGGTGTGTCAGTGGAGTTGAAGGTTGATCCATTTGGTGTATATGGTAAAAGGGTTAAGTCCGTCTGTATCCGGTGTGAAGCCTATCAGAAATGGATTCATGCGCGCTGTACTAAGGTTCAGAAGGCGTCAGAACGAGTTTATGAGCATTTTATTTGTGCAGTGTGGTGCAGAGAACAGGCTGAAAACGAGGAACAGGTTTTAGGACCCCATGACATCTTGAGTGAGTTGGAGAGAGTGGATAACTTCTGCTGCTTCGGCAACAGCATGGTTGGTAGCGAGGTAGAATTTACAGGACTTGTTTGAGACCTTTTATGACATATGGATTGAAAACGTGGGTGGTAAGATCAATGGAAGAAGACATCTTCAGAAGGAAGGAAAGACGTATGGTCTGAAAGATGTGTGGAATGAAGTTAGATGATAGAATGAACACGAGAGAACTGATGGAAAGATAAGTCTAAGATGGTTAGGCCATGCACTGAAAAAAGGTGATGATGACGAGTGTGTGGAACAGGCATAGAGGCCCATGGAGTTTGGAGGTTGAAGGCAGTTCTGTCAATATATATATATTATTTAGTTTGAAAGAGTTGCTTTAATAGCTTTTGTTACTGAAAACTTTAGCTCATACAAGCATTCAAACCTCCATCAATATCTTCCCTAAGTTAAGCCTGTTTAACAATTAGCAATAATTGACTTTTTATCATTATAGGGTATCGTTTGGGCTTTTAAGTGATTTGACTGAAACAGATTTCTTTGCTTCATAAAAATCAAAGCAAGCTATAACATGATAATCAGCACCAATAGTTGTTTACTTTTTGGGGTTAAGTTGTCAAACACTTTATAACCTGGGCAGTGTCAGACAAATAGTGCCTTGATATAATGTTTTATTTCCTTCTTTCCATACAGATTCTTTCATCAGCAAATAACTTGTTGTTGTTTTATTAGTTTTGGAAGAGTATGTGTATATTCAATGTCACTGAAATCAAGAAATCTCATTTACACCCTGGAGCATATTGTCCAAATTTGAAATATCATTGCAATATCACTTTCAAATATACTTTTTCTTTACAAAAATGAGCCTTAATTGCCCTCTCTTTTCCATTGACTTCACCCTAATTAACTTCTGACGTCAGCAAAGAAGTAAGATCCAGAGACCTGGTCCTTGTTCTGGTCAAAAAATGAAACAGTTTCCCCTTTTGTCAAAAAATTGAATTGCTAGAAAACAGTTCCCCCTTTTATCAGTCTTGAAATTGATATACCAAGTGTATTTGCTTTGCAAATGTGTAATGAAGGGAGGTTGCTGGGTACTTAAAATTACACTCTATTACATTTATGAAATGCAACAAGCAGACACCCTCTCCTGCTTTAAAAGGAGAATAAAATCTTAGACAGGAGAGGAATGCAACTGTAGACTGTGTAGACCTTTCGTGGCTTGGGTTGGGTTCTTGAACGGATAACTCTAATGTCATATTTCTACCCTTCAATTACAATTGTCTGTTATTGATTGCTTAGGAAGTTTTTAATCCATATAATTCTACCTCCGCTAATCAAGGGGTGTAGTGTTATCAAAATAACAATGAGGACTTTTCTGCATAATTTTCAATAATAATTTAACAGATAGAAATTGGCTTCTTTCAACATTAACATAGGGGCTCAGCAGGGGCGGATTCAGGGTGTCGCACAGGTCGCACAGAAGACTGTCAGATTTTCAGAATTTAGTTTTAGTCTTCAGTCATTGAAATGTGGCAATCATGTTTACCACAATCTTTTATTTTCCTCCTTACAGATAATACATTTTGCTCTCTTTACACAACAAACACAGGACCAAACTTGGTCGATCTCACACACAATGCTACGATTTAATTCAAGATAGGAAAGAATTCCAAGACTACTCTAGACCGTAAACAGTATGATTTTTAAGCATGTCGCACGTGCCGCACAAATATGCAGGGCTCTTTGTTATGCAAATATTTTACCAAATCTCACCAATCAAAAGTCAAGTTTTCACATATTTGTGCGGCACGAAAAGTCTGTAAAAACTATGTTAGATTACTGTGCCACACAACTGCTGGCAAGGGAAGAAAGTGGATGAGGTTGTAAGTTGGGAAAGGGAAGAGTCCCAATTTTCTTTATCTATACGGAAGAGGTGCACAGGAAGTGTACACTTCTGAATCTCAAGATATTTTGTTTAAACTGCATTTTGAAAACCTTTTAAAAGGAAAAATGCTTGACTAAACAATTTGATTGTTCAGGGCCCCAGTCCTAATTGCTCTGGTTCTGGGGGGCTGGGCCCCAATCATGGCTCCGCCCTTGACCATGAGGGAGGCCCCCTAGACTGCCTGCTGAGCAGTGTTGATGTGCGACCATCAACTTTTATTCTGTATCCGCCCCTGGGGCTCAGCCCCCCTCTAGGCCACCAAAGCATTACAGTTCTGTGCTAGTCTCATAGCAACTGAGCTTATCTATCAGTCTTTAGTGTCCCACTTTGTTGAACAAAAAATCCATGGTAATAAAATCAGATTATTCATTCTTCATGTTCTGCAATATATCATTCTGGAATTCGAGTAGCTGGGTCTCACAGTAGCAATGCTCTCTAATTCCATGTTGCAATTTATATTATATATTGTCTTCACAATTTTTGATGGCAAGATATGTTTCATGATCTTGTATTGCCAAGATAATTCATGCTTGGGGTTTGCTTTTTATAAGGGTACATCCCAATGGCTTTTTTAAATCCAGCCTTCTCGTATTTCTGACCTACTTCCTTCGTCTACATGAACCTCGGTGACCGTTGAGCGGTATTCCAGATTTGGGGGGGGGGGGGTAAAAAGTTTTGCAAAATGGCTATGAGCAAGATTATTTTTGTATTGTTTCACTTTCGGTATTGAAAATAATTGAGGGCTTCAGCCCTCCCCCCCCCACACTGCTGTTACATTCCCTTGGATATGTATATTCTAATTCACAATTGAAACACATAAAAAATAGTGTCACAAATGCAATACTGGAATAGATCTCATTAAAGTGTCAAAAATCAGTTTTCTTTGGCTAATGGCCTTGAATACCAACCTCAAATACTTGGAAAAGATCTTTTCGTGCTAGATATGTTTTAGCATCTTCTGACGTGACATCTGACTTGACAGAAGTCATAATTACATTGATTCTGATTTTTAAGGTCTGCCCGATCAAGGAGTCTAATCGGGGTCCGAGGGACGGTTCAGCTTGTTGCCCTGGGCAACAAGTGCCCTCATTCTGAATGTGAGGTTTTCTTCTATTTCGTGATTGTCAGGTGATTTATTTATACATTGACGATCGAAATTTTTTTTGGAAAAGTGGATTAAGGATGAATGCAGTTGTAGCTCTTTGCCATTTTTGTGAATTACATGGACCGAGTGTATTATTTTGCACCCAGGCATTCCACTGCATGAACCATAACCCAGAAGAAGTCCTTAGCGGAGCAGAGGCGTCGCTATCAGCTTGTGGAAGCTTCAGCCATGGGAGCTTATTTGGGCCTAAGGAAAGACTGTCAGAGAATTTAGTAGGGGAAGGCGGAGAAAACCATAGTACACCAAAAAAGGCTGAGCCAAGGCAATCAACTTGCATTGCCTGCACTTCAATGCAGCCAGGTGAACCAGGTCTTTTCAGCCTTGACAGGGAGTCTCATATTAGCTATATAAGCCGACAGTTTCCTGAAGATCAAGAACTATACAGCATTGTGAGGCATGCATGTGTCCGGAGTCTAAGCTGTGAAGTATGCCCTGGACGTGAGGGCCCAATAATGTTTGGTGATGAAGCCAGTGGTTATGTGTTTAGCTATACATTTTTTCTAAAAGATAGCCAGTCAAGAGGATTTCAAAGATGGTATAGTGTAATTTGCGTCATGATGGATAAAGTTTATTTGGTTAACTCATGGCCATTTTTGATAACTCATTTCAAAGCAATAATTGAGGAGTTACAGTTAAAAGCAGATGTAACATTTAAAAGTGAGAAAGCACAAAACCCATTAGCTGACCAAAGATTACACATGTCATCAACATTCTTTCTGTTGAATCCAAATCAGTTCATTAGAACTAGAGGTGGTAACCAAAACTATAGATCATTACGTGACCTTGTCCAAGATAAAAATATTTTCCAGTACCTTCATAGGTACTTTTCGTGGATTTTGAAGGCATCAGGCCAGCGGTACAGTGAACAGTTTGTTGTAGGCCCACCAGAAGAATACTTTGATGCAAATGAAGAAGAGGAAAATAACATTAAGGCAGGTGGTCTTGGGCCGAGTTTCAGTAGTCTTAGACAGTTGTCAAAGTTTATACCTGCAGAAAAGCTGAAACAAATTGCTTACCATGTTGCTATTGGTGACCAATTGATAGTAAGAGGATCAAATTCTAAAACTGTGGCATCATTTCTGAATGTCTTTAGAGAACTAATTCCTGCTGGGTGCTACAGAGGGGCCCTTTACTCAAAAGAATACCAGGACTCATGGAGGGTAAATTTTATTGGAATTGATTACTCTTGTGAAATACCTGCACATGTGTTATCTTCAAACCTCTATGTATTGGTTGATATAAAATCAAACAGCAATGCTTTATCGCATAGCAATAATGATGCTATCACAGAAAACCAAGATTTTACAGATGTTGATTTTACTGTGCAAGGAATCTCATGCTTTACCTGCCCAACCTATCTGTTAGATGTATTAAAAGCCTTAGCTGATGAGGACTTTACAGATTCAGTGTTTGCTAATATATTATCTGCACTAAAAGATGAGTGGATGAACAAAGTCAAAGTCATGTTCAAGTTTTCAAAATGTGGATCAAGAACTTCTGAGGAAAAAGTAAAACTTTTAAAAGTGTTAAATGCAAAGCCTGAAGATGAGATTTTGTTAAAATTTTGGATGACTGCCCTAAGTAGACCCTACAGGGCACATTTGTTGAGCTGTGCAACACAGAAATCTGTTCAAAGGACTGGAATTAAAGGGGAGATATCCAGTGAAGATCTATTTTTTACTGTGCCATAGATACAATTTTATTATTATTTGACATGTCCTACTATAGTTTGCAAATGCTTTTGAATCTATCAAAGTAGTATTTGCTTTTCGTGTGCTTATTGATCTGTATAAAATCCAATATTTGTGTACTTGTGGGTTTCTAGTGATAAGGGAGCTGAACAGTACTGGTAGGGAAACATTTTCTAATCAGGGGTGGATCCACAATGTGAAACATTTTCTAATCATGGAAATGTCCACTCCACTTTTTTAAGAAATTTTTTTTAACTTTTCCAAAACTGGATTAAAAACATAAGGGGGAGGGAGATGTTAGTTTTCTTCTCTGAGATCAAAACCTTTTTTCATTTTGATGGTCAGTTATTGTTTCTCTGCAAATCTTAGCTGACATAGAGAATGGTGTGTTGAATCATCAGTTTCATAAATAATGAGCAACTATGATAAAGATGATCTATAAAATACAGCTAAACAGTTGGTTCTTAGAGTGTGGTCTTCGCCTTCCTTCCTTGGTAATGATTTTTGTATCCAATATTTGTATAAAACTTGTATCCAAAAAAATTTTTAAGCTGTAATGATAGTATAGGTGCAACTAATGCACCCGCACTTGTCACAAATGCATCCAGGGCTGTCAAGAGGCATCTCAGGCCCAGGGGTGATTAAAAAACTGGAACCCCATTAAAAAAATTCCTGTGGCCACGCCCTTAAGTCTCCTGGACAACCAGGGAAACGCCCTTTTCAGACACAATTGTTGAAAAGGTTTTTTAAGGTTTTTTACAAGAATGTGCAAAAACATTTGGACGTATGGACATTTGTATAAGTAGCTGAAATACTAGCTTTTTGCATTGTAAATAGATCTTGTTACTTTATTACGGGCCCCATTGGAGCACGGGCCATGGGCCTTTTGCCCTTCTTAACCCTCTCTCGACACTCCTGGCTGCATCCTGTGAAAGGGCACACAGCAAGGTAAAGATCTTGAGCTATTTTCGGGCCTTGCATGATAAAAGACTTGCCTATGAAATTTAACGCTTCTACTAAATGAAATTGAATTCTTCTATTGAGGGTTACAAAATATTGAAAGGATTACAGTCAAAGATTAAAAGATAGTATGAGAAATGAAAATTAATTGTTTAGTCCTTTAGTCACTGGGACAAAAACCTGATATAATAATAATGATAATAATAATAATAATATAGATAACATTTTGTCTACAGTTAGTCTACTACATCTATAACTAATAGCTATAAAGAAGCTAATTAAGGCCAACTATCTATGAAGAATTAGTAAAAAATGAATGTATGGTACAATGTCAAAAAATGTTTAAGGTATAAATCCTAAATGAAACCTAACCCAGCAATCAATATTTTACATAATCAACAGTCACATTTTACAAGGTGTGTTCTTAATTCTTTTTTAAAAGTTGCTTATGATTGAGACTCTTTTACACTGTCAGGTAGTGTTTGCCACAGTTTTTGACCTAAATATACCACAGTTTCTATACCACAAAAAGTTGCCCTGGTTTTTGGAATGACAACATTTTCTTTATTTCGCAAATCATAATGTACATTTCTTGCTTCGAAAATCTCACTCATGAATCTAGGGTTCAGGTTATATTTGTTTTTGTATATTTCTACCATCAAGTACTAGAGATTGAGTTGGTGAATGGATAGTGCATTATCCAATGTCAGCAATATTTCATAGTCGGCGTAACTGTCTTTATAAGAAATTCTGAGTGGTGTTTCTTGGATTTTATTCACTTATGCATTTAGATATCTGTCTTGGAACATCCAAATTAGGGGGCAGTAGCTAAACTGGACTTTTATGAAGCTGTTCATTAGGAGACGCAGTTTATCAGAACCCATAAACGACCATACTCTAGCGAGGGCATAATCAATCCGGATTGAGTAACCTATATGAAAACAGTGGGGGAAATATAAAGGATCGTACACGAGTTTCTCGGGAATTGACCCAAAAATGGGAAGGAGAGAGATTGAATTTTTCTCCTTTTTCTTATGAAAAACTTGCCTTTTTATATATTTTGGGAAATGAAACTTGCCCTAACTTATCAAATAATATTTTTAGTAAAGTAACTAATGCAGCATTGTTGAACTGCTTAACTTTATTTTTCCTACTGATATTCCATCTCAACCATGTGCTTTATTAGCATTTAGTGACTTTATTATGTTAAGAATTTTTACTTTACTGATGAGAGAATCGCTTACGAAGAAATAAGCAGTCGGAACATTAAAGTGAAATTATCCTATCTGTATAAATCTTTGCACACTGGAGTAGGGAATAATCATTGAATATATGTGCCTTTTCAGTAAAATCCTATATAAAGAATTAATTTACTAAAAGAGGTTGTTTTATTGGAACCTTGGCCTTGTTAGGACAGTGTTGATTAAAGACCAATATGTTTACTAGAAGTCCCAGGGTTACCTGTCTGTCACTTGCTTGGCCGTTCTTCATGAATTTTCTAGGCACGATTCTTTTTTCTTAGGAAGATCTTTGTCTCATCTGTTTTCCAAGGTGCTTGATGAGGCTTATTTGTTTTAACTTTGTCAGGTAAAAAAAATTCAGTAAATGTTTAGCAGGAATTAAATAACTTATTCAACTTGCTCATTAGGACATGTCTGGTTGCCGAGGTGCTCTCGCCAGTCAAAAATTTTGATGTTTCTCCTAATGGCAATGAAGATATAGGTACTCAAAGCTTTACACTGGAACAGGGGGGTTCAGGGGGTAGGTAGCAGTGACAGCACCGGAAATTCAAAGGGTAATACTTCTTAGCAAAATCCATCTTCCTTACAGAAATGCCTTTCTAAAATATTTTAAATTGAAAGCTGCTTTCTCGTACAATTGTAATGTCTACGGAAAGTTGGATCAACACTTTAGTTTACAAATTCCTCAATTTAATTCGGTAAGCCTCCCCCTTATTAAAACTCAAAGAAAAGGCATTCACTAACAAACTTCACTTGGAAATTTGGCAAACCCGATTGAATCAAGCCCCACGCTTCAAATCCCAAACAGTAGCTGAACAGAACATCTTAAAGCAATTGAAAAAACCACTGGTATTCGTAATAAATCTATATTTGACAACAGGAATGTTACCAAATGACCTAAAACTGGCGCGTTTAACACCGATCTTCAAGTCAGGCGCAAAAACAGCTTTGATAACAATCGTCCTATCGGCAACTGCCAACATTAGTGTTTACACATATAACTCAAGAGTCAAGAATTGTCTTGAGAGCAACCATTTATTATCAGATGGTCAGGTCGGATTCCGCGGGAACCGTTCCTTTGAACAGGCTTCTTCATGGACCAAATAAAGCAGTTTTTCTTGCAGTTGTTATTGATTGAACTAGAGCAGTTTTTATTGATTTGAGCAAAACGCTCGATACCATCTCTCGCGCCTCGATCGTTAATATGCTCCCATCTTTTGGTTTCTCAGGAACTTAATATCAGTGGCGAACTAGTTATCTGTTTGCCAGAAAACAGTAGGTATCATACCAAAGCTCAACTTTAGGACTAAATCCCATGCTCTGTTGTTACCACAAGGATCAATACTTGGTTCTCTTTTCTTCCTCCTGCACTTAATTTACCTATCTACAAATATTTATGTATGTCGACGACACTGTCATCATTTATTCTGATAAAGATATCAATGTCACCTAGAAATACCTTGAAGAGGATTTCAGCTCAGAATTTGCTAACTAAAATTATGGTGTTTGGAACTAACCAACTGCTAAAAATGTGGACAATGGCACATTTAATTTGAAGCATAACTCTTCCCCTAAAGCTACAGCACAGACATAAAAAACCTAGAACTTACACTAACCACTTCTCTCAATAGGACTCAACACTTATCGTCAAAAATTAAGAAGGTGTTTTCGAGAATACCATCTCCTGAGAAAAATAATTTTTACGTATCTTACGTATGGTTCACTGTCACTCTATAGTTCAACTCCACCTTATATCTATTGAGAAGTAGTCATAGTAACTGTTACCGCTTTTGCACAATTAGTTAGATCGAGCTAGTTTCGAGTTAGTACAGGAGATTTGTGTTGGCGAGAAAGATCGACGGAGTGGAAGTTCGAGAGTTGCGCTATGTTTCTCAATATACGTTGTAAATAGTTTTATGTATAAAGTGGAGTTGGATTTATTTGAATTCTCCTAGATTCTCCTCGATCGTGATAAATTGCAACCTTCGATTAAAACAATATCAAGCGTCAAATCGAAAAAATCAAGGCCCATACCCAGATAATAATTGGTAAATGTGAATTGGAAGTAATTGGAAAACCTGCCCCAACCAATTAATCTTTTGGAATAAGAGTTGAAAATGGCCCTTGCATGGATTGATCAGAATATATTTCATGCTTGTCTTGTAAAAAAGATCAAATAAATAACATATTAGGACACACAATCCCAAGGGAAAACTATAGATTCTGAAGTTTCAGTAAAGTTGCTTTGTGGAACTACAGACCAGGGACGGATTTAATAGGGGGGGGGAGGCGACCGGTAAATTTTTTTCCATTCGGTAAAAATCATTTTTGGTAGTAGTGGTAACAGAGTCATGCCTAGATTTTACTTTTTATATCTTCTTATCAGTAGCGTAGCGAGGGAGCAATGCTCAGAAAGTTGGTTTCTGAAAGAAAGTGCAAATCTGAAATAAAATTTGTACCTCAGGGAGGGAAGGAGTTTATAATTCAAACAATATTAAAAGTTTTTAAAACTGCAAGCAAACGACTGTAAGAAATGTATTGTACAAGTATTCTGAAATGTATTTTAGGCTAATCTAAAGGGCGTGGTCTCAAAAAAATGTCTCCTCGCTTCGCTCGCAGGGGGCTAACATCTATATCAGTACAGAATGTTTACAATGTCCCCTCGTCCAAGGGTTTACATAGAAAAGTCCTTTACATTCTTCAGACATTCCCGATAGAATAGAAACTAGAATGCTAAAGCCCTTCAATCATTAAAACTGGATTCTGAAATGCTTGTTAGGTAGTTTGAAACTTTTGAATACTATTTATTATTTTTTTAAGCTATTTTGGAAAATCAGTTTTTACACGTAGAGCTTCCTCGCCTTACACAATTCAGAATATAAACGCAGTAGCGGTTTTAAGGGGTTCCTGGGGGCCATGACCCAAGGCCCCGCACTTATGTTTGCCAACAGGGGCCCTACACCTCAGAAAAAAGATACAAATTGTAAAGAACAAGGGCCCCGCAGATGTTTTTGGCCCCGGGTCCCGCAGTCCCTGAAACCGCTACTGTATAAACGTTAGATGAATTGTTAAGGAAATAGACAGTTGTAGAATAGGGTCAGCCACAAAAAGCTATTTTTGAGGGTTATTGTGTTTGATTAGCCAACTATTGCCACTTAAAAAGAGCTATAGCTTTTCCAAACGCCTTTACAAATTGGTGTATTTTCCCAGATTCTTAAGGGTGTGGTCTGAAATTTTTTTTCCTCTTTGCCCCTTCCCATCTTCTAACCCTGACTACGCCATTGCTTCTTATCTTCTTTGCCTTAAAATTAAAAACCGAATTTTAGAAATGAGCGTTTCCATCAATTTCCAGTGATCTGAAGGGTGTGGCACCAAAATCCAATTATTGTGTAACATCTCCCAAATCATTGTTGCTTAAATCCGTCCCTGCGTTCTGGTACACATGACTTGCAGTTCTACGTACAGGGCCAACCAAACAACTTCCGGTTCAAACAGTCACACTCTCGTGTCCCTCGGACCACAAGTTTGAAATAACTTACCAGAAGAAATAAAATCTGCAGACAACCTGACCGACCCCTTTCAAAGAATTAATTTCAAATTTTGGAGGGGCCACCTTCAAGTGTAATGTTTGCATAATTGTATGAAATATTTAGAAATATTTTTGCCGGATTTAGAAAATATTTAAATTGTTACTTTGTATTTTTGTTGATAAGCGGATTAGACAAGTCACTTTATTGTAGCTTAGGGTTTTTTTCCTTTTAAAATAAGATCACAAACAAACAATGGTCAGAGCCAAGCCACATCCGTACCCTCAAAAATGCCCGAAAGTGAAGAGGCGAGTTTTCAGCTAAGAAGCTAGGAGTATTCAAAAAAGGAGGTGAATGTTTGAGCTTTCTCCTAACTTTATTTGGTTTCTTATACCATAATTTTAGGCCGGATACAATTTTTCAGCAGGGCTGGCGCCTCAAATTCAAAGTGAGGGGGCTAGAGTTTATAACATTATTAGACCAAAAATCCAACTTTTGAAAAAGGCACTGAAATGCTTCACCATATTTTATGCTTATGATTTTATGGGGCACTCGTTATGCTAGCGGTACATTGGAAGGGCGGCGAGAGGTTGTCTGGGGCCATAGGTATAACCAAAAAGACATTTCAGATATTCCTTGCGGTTCGGTTTTTGAAAACATTTTGCTATTTTTAACGCATGGTTTTTTACGTTTGTTTAATTCCAGTCTCAAAATGGACTATGCTTTATGCCATACCTAATTTTAGTGTGCAGTGATAACCAATTTGTGCAGTGATAAACTGAAAACGTGCAGTAATAAATCATGAAATGTGCAGTGATAAAAACGGTGCTTTGTCAATTTCGTCATACTTGGAAAAGGGTCATGACTTTTTCTGTTTATTGGCATTGGACACGTGACTGATCCTGGTGCCTCTGCAGCATTGAAATTGGGAGCAGACGATACTATTGGCTTCGACGAAGTAATGAAAGTGATAACTCATCTTTCAACTGACGGGGAAAATAAGAATGTTGGAGAGCATCGTGGTCTCTGGAAGCTCCTGGATGACGACCGAAGGAAATTAGACATCGACTCCCCTCCTAAAGTCTGTTTGTGCAGTGCATTCAACTGCAAATGCATACAAAGACTTATGTAAGAGTGTCCCAGAAATTGATCACTTGGTTAAGAAATTAGCAGCAATTTCTACCTTTTTTCACGCTTCAGCAAAACGAACCAGTGAGCTGGAAAAAGTTGCAAAAGTGGATGGGCTAACAGTGCGTCGTTTCCCAAAGTATTTTGAGGTCAGATGGACAGAATTTACAGCTGCTCTTCTTGATGCTATTCTGTGCTCGTGGCAAGCACTCATAAAGTTCAACGTAGAGCAATGCGATGCTGAAGGCAAAAAGTTTCTGAAGCTTCTTACCAACAAGGACAACCTTCTTTTGATGTGTTTTATTGCAGACCTGATTTTCATAATCAAAGTGTTCCAAAAGAAGCTTCAAAGCGACTCACTAACAATTGTGGACATTGAGCCAGAGGCAGAGAAGTTTCGCGAAAGGGTGAACAAGCTGAGCACTGGATCCTTGCTAGGAGGTTAGGAAAATGAATTCAAAGAAAGGTATGATGAAGAAGCCAATACGTTTTGCGCGATCAAGCTTTGGGAGAAGGAAAGACGCCGACCAGATGCCAATCTGTTTGTAACAGATCGCAGAAAGTTTAGTGCTATTCGGAACGAATCAGTGATATCAATCAACACATTCGTAGACAAGCGACTTCAAGTGGACAGAAATGCTTCCAAATCATTTACCCCGTTTGTTAAGATCATGGCCACAGAAGATGAAATAAAATAAGTTAACCGCTCTATTGCTCCTGACTTGGATTTGGCACATGTAGCCATTCAGTATCAGGATCTGCAAGATTGTGCTGAAATGCAAAAGGCCGATCCCTTCAGCATGCTGCAAGGAGCAAGGGACGAGTATTCAGATGTCTGTGTCGTCCTTGGCCGCATTCTTGCATGCAAACCCCATTCAGCTGATTGTGAGCGGGTCGTTTCTCTTTATAACAAGATCAAATCAACATGCAGATCATCTTTCAAGCGCCAAACGGTCAGCGATTACCTTTACATACATATGAATATGCCACACCACAACTATGGGACTTTGATCCTAGGCCTGCAGCATTGAGGTGGATGAAGGAAAAAGATCGTCGGGCAAGAGAAAGCACAAAAGCAGGAAAGCAAGAGTGGTTTAGCAAAGCCAACGACGATAAAGAAGACGGAGAGGTAAAGGAGAAAGAGTTTGAAGACGTTAAATTTGTTTAACATTAAACAGCGTTGCGTTATTGTTCAAAAAAATCATTACTGCTTGAATGCTAAGGTTGACCTCAACCTAGTATATACGTTTGTTTGTGAAGGTCTATAGGCTATATTTGCGTTGATTTGCGTATCTACAATGAGACACTGTTACCAGATCACGGAATGCACTGTGAAACGCAACAGCTCAGTTTACTTGACTTTTCCTTTATGGAATCCCTGTTTATTAGTAATGCTAACGTTTTTTCATTCTACTTGCAAAATATCTCAAAAGACCTCATATTGAGTTTACAGGATCCTAAGCCATTTTAAGGCCTCAGAAATGGCAAAATCTCAGGAGCTTCCGCAAAAAAATTCTTCTTATTTCCTACAGCCACCCTTGATTTCTTGTAAAATGTGCAGTGATAAAATTTCCTTAAAATTAGGTATGCTTTATGGGGCACCATAGACCCCGGCTTATTCCTTTGAAATAAAGCAATACTGTAAAAGGATTAATCACACTATTCTTTTCATATATTTCTTTTTTTCTAATCTTTCTATTCTCTTAAAAACACTTTGTTGCAAAAAATTGGGGGGAAGGGGAGGGCTGGAGCCTCCCAGTCCTCACTTGGCGCCGCCCATGTTTCATATTGTTTGTGCTTGTATTTTAGATTTTATAGAGAAACGAAGAAGTTGGAAAACTTGAAACGGATTTGTCCGCATAAATCTTTCGGGGTGAAGCTTTAATCACGGTCAAAGCCCTTATAAATTGTTTATCTTTATGTTGTCATAAAATCAATATCGTGAGAAAAATCATAATGAAAAATTCTGTACAAAAACATTTGAAGAATTTTTCAAAATGAGGCTGAGACTGATCAGTGATTGCTTCCTGTACGAGCAACAACAACAACCCTTGCTATTTGGAGGAATACAGGAATACAAAACTGTTCCTTTTCGGAACACAGTTTGACAAATGGTTCTACAAAATAGAATGTTGGCTCTGTTAGGGCTACTTTTTTTAGCCAATGTACAGGCAAAGAATCACAATGTATTCTGGAAGTCAGACGAGAATGGCGTGTATGTAATAGACGGAGTCTTTAACAAAGCAACGAAAGCCCTTCGCAACGTTGTTTCGACATTCAAGGACACCAACTGGAGGTTTACTATTGATGAGACCATAGGCCACAAAGAGAATCAATCTTTGAAGATGGGTTTTGCCACGAAATCTTCTGAAATTATCCAGAATCTGAGTGCTAACAAAGTTCTGGGAAAGCTTGTCTCCGAAATTTACGGTTTGTCCAAAGTGGCCCTTACTGAAACTCAAGGACGAATGGTAGAAAGAGGTGATTTTAACCCTGTAATTAGTCGTTGTTTTCAGGATTCCTCACAATTTTTGGCTTTACTCACCTTGTCAAAGAAATGGAAGAAAAATGATTACGGCGAGATAACAGTGTATGACAAAGATGGTGAAGTTCTTAGATCTATTTTTCCTCGGTTTGGTAGAGTGATACTAATCCCCTGTGGTATTCAATTCAAGATTTCTCCACCCTGTGTTAATGCTGAAATAAGACATTACTTTCTGCTATCTGAGTTTGGAGAAAATCTTTCAAAATCTATGCTTGAATCCAAAGACCAGATTTTGTCAGATAATAGCTTGACAAGATTTTTTGCTAATAATTATGAGACAGACAAATTTCAATACCAAGATTTTGCGCCAGAGAACTATGTAACTAAAAAGTTCTACACAAAAGATGGAAAAAAGATATTTGTTTATGATGATGTTTTTCCAGCAAAGGCCATAGATATTCTTCATCAGTTTATTGTAAACATTGCTGAGTATTATGAGAGTCCAGTCTTTGAGAAAGATAGTGCAGATAATGTTAAATGGATTATTTCTCTTGATGACCCACATTTTGAAGATGGACCAATTTGGAATGTGAGTAGAAAGCTTTTGGCTCACATTGCTGGCAAGGATTTTTTCCCTTATGACCTTGCTTGTAACCATGTCCGCAGGACTGATAACACATTTTCTCACAAAGACAACTATGAGGATGCCGATGAGTACACAGTTTTGATCTATCTTAATAAAGATTGGACAGAGAATGATTATGGAGAAACAACTTTCCTACAGGATAATGAAATAGTTGCAGCTCTGAGGCCAAGGTATGGAAGAGTTGTAATTTTTCATGGAACCATTGATCATTCAGCACATCCTTCAAGTCCAGAGCACCAAGGAGCAAGATACACATTTGCAATCAAGACTGCTGCCACCAGAAAACATGCTCTTAATAGAATCCTTGAAAGTGAGGCAGGTCTATCTTTTTCGGGTGCCATTGGCAAATTGAAAAGCTTAGAGACCAAGGGAACATCAGCTCAAAAGAAGTTTGCAAAAAGTGCCATTGATACATTAGAAAATGGCAGGATACCTAGCTCTGAATTCCTAGTCAAGCTGCAGAAGGCCATCAAGTTATAAGCAGGATTGACCTTCTTTATCAATCTTTCTATTCAGATTAAGTGCTTCTTAGGTCTGTATTTAGTAGAGATATCCCTAAAGGCATGGCATAATTTTTTTCTGAATGTTTCCGTGATAAATTATTTTCTGGGGCAGACTGTTATCCTCCTGTTGCACAGAAAGTAGATGGAGAAATTTTTGGGTTTAAGTAGTCATGTTTATTTCAGAATTTTCTTCACTATTTCACACATACTTGCAAAATAAATGTCAAAGTTCACAGATACTTGATCTTTGTTCTTCTTGTCCTAATATATATTGCGCACTTCATCCATCTTTTTTGCAAAAAAGACTTTGCTTGATTGCACTCATTTATCCCGCTTTGCTCTGGCAAACCAGATTAAAACCTATTCAAAACTTTTAAAGTAGTAAGTCAAAGCTACTTTTTTAAAAAAAATTAACCATTCTCTTGTCATTTTTTTGTCATTGGCTTGTCAAATGCAACCAGTGAGTAAACTCTGATCTGCAACTTTACCTTAGAATAAATCTTGATTGATTAAGTAGTGCTATCACAAGAATGGTGCAATTGTATCCTGGCAGAGTGCTTAATTGGTGTAATTTGATCTTCACACCAAAAGGTATAGCTTAGATCTTTTTGCTGAGGTGTACTAAAAATATCTAACCAAGTAACATGTTTGAAAGCTAATCTTTTCTATTTCTATTTTTTACAAGAGTTTATCTAACTCCATGTTTTTGTTATGTTTTGGAAGCACTTTTGAAAGCACAGTAACATACACCAATTCAATGTACAATCTCACTGTGAAAAATTATTCATTCTTCATTGTACTGAAGTTTTGTATTCAGATTCAAATTGAGAAGAAGAATTTTAGTCTCTGTGCAAGTTTTGATAATGATTCTGCTGTTGACATTGATTGACATAAAGTTGGTAAATCTATAAGGTGTACATGAACTGAGAAATATTTCAACCTGGATGATTTTTGCAGACAAGTCAAATATATGCTTTCAATCATGAACTTTACAATACAAGCACATGCAATGTGTAAAAATTGTGTCCAGACTGAAAATGTTATGGAAAATCCTTATCTTGGAAACAAGAAAGCCTTACAAAGAAGTTAAGATTAATTTGCAAAAAGTGCCTGTAAATTGAATTGGTGTATAAATGTTATTCAAAGACTTTTTGTTGAATAGTTTCAAGCCAGAACTCATTTATTGCTAAAACTGTATTGCTTTTTGCTGTCTGCTGTATTAATACATCTGATTATATACTGATCACCTACCTCCCCGTATTATATACTGATCACCTACCTCCCCGTGTTTATCAGATCTTCATGATCTAGTGTCAGCTGCTGCTATTAACGTGTATGCTATCATTATAGAAATAAAATATTTCTAAAACTAACAAAAGACACGTAAAGTACATTTTGTAACATCGAACAGATAACAATAATATACAGTTATTAACACTAAGATTTGCTTAGTCAGTCTGGTTTCTTTTTTCTACATGATTTTTCCTTAATTTCTTTTGCATTTCAATCTTAATTTAAACATTAGATGTTTAAACATTGTTGGGAACATGCACTCAACAGTTTCGCAAATTGCTGATTATATAGGTAAGCTCACGACTTTCGTAATTAGTAGCACAGTTTAGGACGCATGGTGCGAGTAGATGGCTTGCTGCTCTATTCTTAGCCAATTAAGGATCGTGCAGAAGCTTCTAGAAATTTCCAACTATCCTGAATTTGGACTGATTATTGTGCATCACGTAGAGTTCTTAGTTTTGTTACTCAGTTATAAATTGCAAGCTTCTCGAATAACAACAGAAATCATGTTCAGTTCAGCATAGACCTGCTGTCTTTGAAAAGAGCTGCTATCATCCTCAAAGGGCGAAACAGATGAGAAAGGGGTGGTTTTTTTCGAGACGAATCCCCTTGAAGGGGGGAGACCGTCTCTTTTTATTGAGCATTTTCTTTGAGGTTTGTTCATAAGTTGGCAAAGTATTTTAAAAGTACATGTATGTCCATTTACGTTTCTGATAGTACAATGTTGAGGTGGTAAAAATAAAGTTGAGATTGTATTAATCTTGGGCAAATTCTTGTTTTCCCCTTTTTCACAGGAGGTTTAGTGAAACCCTAGCCTTGGGATCCCAAATTTACATTTTGCTCCTTGTGTCCTTCTCATGTAGACACGCTAGTTCGTCAGAAGATGCGCTGGTATTGGAACAACAACTGTTGAATTCTTTTCAGTTGATATTGTCGTAAGAGTCTGAAGAACTCGAAGCTGGATCGCTGCGTAAGACTGAGAGATGATCTTTGAAGCTTCTTTCAATGACATTGCTGATTTCAATTCTCCGTTTGCAGCAACAACCTAGCATCAGATAAAAAAAATTGATTTTGAGAGATGTTTTATATAGCTTTTTCAACTACTGTTTTCGTCAATTTCTGACAAAAAGAATCTTTTGCTTTATTTGTAAAAGAAGAAGTCTTTAAGCCTTCACTTGGATTAGACAATCCTTGTCCTTGTTGTCAAACTGTACCTAACTCAATCACTATTGATCATGCTTTGACCGTAAGACCCGTTTATAAGATAACTTTAACCGTTTTCCTTCGAAACTCTACACATGAACGCATAAACGTAGGAGGCAAGTGTAGGCAAAGAAGGAGCATTCCCGTGACCTGCAAATATGCACATTGACTTTGCATCTGAAATGTTGGGGGGGGGGGGTTACTCTTATGTGGCTATGTCCCTAGTTCCATTAAATCCAAACAAGTATTTACACAACTTTTTAAAGCTTTATTGGAGATTTGATTTGACAGGCCAAGGTCACTGCTCTTCAAATCACTCACTCAATTTCATGAAGCACTGTAGACAGTCTGAAGTCTGGAGAGTTTTGTTTGTGAAGGGATTTCTTATTTCATTGCACTAAAACCCTTAAACCCTAGGTATCCCTTGTTTTCTCCACGCACCTATCTTCAGTCATAAAATCTTGCGCGTTTATTTGTTTTTGATGTTCCTACACGCTTTAAAACAAACGAAATGTTTTGGAAAAAGTCCCCACTAATAACAACAAAACTACAATGCCTCTTTTGTAAAACCTTTCCTTTTCAGTGAAAACAGTTCCCAGGAAGGAGGCAACTCTTGATGACATCAAAAATAGTTTTAGCGATTGTAAATTGTCTCTATTATTATTTGAGGTGCTCCTTCGAAGGCCCAAATTCCTTTTGAGATTCCAAGATGGGCGCTATAAATACGCGAATGGATGTTTCTGTGACAAATGATTATGAATGAAGCTGTGATGTTAATTGTAACGAATCAAAGGTGTACCTTAGCACTGGCTTCTCTTGCTGCCTCTGCCTCTGCGGCCATTGATCTTTGCAGATGTTGTGGCAATCGCAAGTCTTTTCTGGAGATCATGAAAGCATTTATCAATTTACTTTCAAAAATAGTTTCTACGATTACTTTTAAAGATGTGAAGTCAAAAGCGTTGTATCCTCTCTAAAGTGGCTTTAGACATTCTCTCCAATTTTAGCGAAGGCATGAACCACCAAATTCAGCTACAATAGGCGAAAATCTGTTCGGTAGTCAGGCTGTATCTTTCATTAATTGCGTATGGAAATTAGAATACGTTGCAAAAAGAATGTGTTTTAGACAATGTAAAGGCGTGTTTTCAAGCAGACTGTTCTTGCTCGTCCTTTTGAGGATATAGGTTTTTTGGGTTAAGTCTTGTGGTTTGTCGATCGGAAAGAAATTTAGCAAGTCGAGGATTTGCTAAACGTTCAGGCGTGCAGCCTTTGATAAAGTCTGTGATACCGTTGGTACCTCTAAGCGTGTTTACACGTGATCTAAACGTTGTGTAAGTCATTTAAATTTTTCAGAAGATCTCAAAGTTTACAGAACATTGAAGGCTGGTTGCTAAATCTTGAAAAAGAGAGCAAAAATATATGTGACAGGGAATACAAATGCTGGAAGACTTCACTAATGGAATAAGAAATACTGCAATCCAAGCTGCTTTTCGAATTAATTTTAAAATGAACGAGTTTTTGCTTTATGAGATTAATTCAAATTTCTACCCGTGAGATTTATAAATCTCCATCTGATCAACGACCTTTGTCTGTTTTCGTATCCCCATGAATTTTTTATCAGGACTTATTCTAAGACATCTGCTAAAAATGTTGAAATTGTCTTTCCATAAATTGGAATAACTTGTATTCAGAATTGAAGCCACAATTTATTAGTTTCTACTCCATGAAACCATGCTTTGAATCAAAACCTTTCTATCAAACAACTTTAATTCTCTTTCAAATTCAATTTGGGCTTGAATAAAAATTAGATTTGAATTGGAATGAAAAACATAAGATGAAGAGGCTAACATCTCAACTCTTTCAACTTTCACTCCCCAAGGTGTTGTTGCCTCATCCAATATGGCCTAAAATCGAGAAAGTAATATCTATGTAAGGATTCATAAAGTGAATGAGCCTCTATCTGGGCCTTAATTTTATCAATTTTTTGCAAGTTGAAAATTTCTTTGTAGCTTGATGTACCTGATGTTGAAGTTGTAGATATCATCACGACAAAGGTAATCATAGAAACCTCTAAAGTCAAAGCGTATTATGAATGGGCACATTGATATAAAAGCTAGTTTTCTACCAGACATTCATTATACATTTATGAACACATTCAGCGGCGGCTCCAGCCTGGGAGAAATGGGGGGAGGGGACAAAAGGTGTGCCAGGGACCACGCCCATTTTGACCACGCCCCTTTTTAATGTTTGAAACTTTTTCTTCCGGAGAAAACACCTCTTATCTCCCAAGAAATGTAGTTTAAGATGTTCCCTGAAGTTTTCTCATCAGGTTTGCAAGATGTCCGTCATGCGCTTTTATGGAAAATAAGCTAGCCCGGTTATGCACGAGAGGTTGGATCTCACTAAGGTGGGATGAATTTTTTCCATATAAACGCTTGAAGGTGGGATGAAGCTGGAAGATAGGATGAAATGTTCATATAACGAAGTTAAATTTAGTCCCACTTGTCAGCACATAGGCTGGCAGGTGGAACGATTTTTTCCATAATTAGCTGGAAGGTGGGATAAAATCTACATGTAAACATTCGATAATTCAATCCCATCTAGGTGAGGTAAATTCGCTCGAATAAACAGGCCCTTAGCCGCTCCATAGGAGGGCTTTCTGAATTTCCTAATCAGAAAGACATTCTGTGAGTGGTTACATGAAGAATCAACCTGTTATTATGTAGATAAAGATAAGTCTACCTGCATCTGTCGGCTGACATCTTCTCGATCTAGTAAAGCTTCAGCCAGCGTCTTAGTGCCTATCATATTCCTAAGCGTTGTTTGAGCGAGGAGTTTTGTAGATCCTGCTGCATTTCTGATCTTGGTAACCGAGCGCTTCGCCTCTTTTATGAAGAAATAGACAACAGCATCTACGGTCACAGTAACGCTGTCCCTTGTCAGGGCCTGTGATAAAGATAAATGCCACAAATAAATGCCACAAATAAATGCCATAAATAAATGCCACAAATGCCATTTTGCATAATATCCGTGAAGGGGGGCTTGGGGTGGCCTCTTTTGCTTGCTAATATCAAGAGAGATTTTGGGCTGCTTAGCCCCCTTAGCAAGGGCCAGTATATTTTTGGTTAGGCAAATTTTCAACTTGGCATAGTGGATTGACATGTTAGCATGCTATTCATTTTCTATGAGTGAACAATTACTATTAGTCTATTTCTTTCTCTGGAAATAAATGATTTTTCATATCATATAGTATATAGGAAGCGATTCCTGATTTTGTTGTTTCGTGAGGGTCCTAGTTGCCGGATACAGCAACGATTTTTGCCTAATAAAACCCCTATACAAAAGTACTCGATTGATGGTCTATTATGTTCATCACTTGTATTTGCACTCTAATATATGTACTGGACTATTTTAAGTTGCTGAAATAAAGCCTCCATTGGTGGCAAAGCTAGACAGAATCAGGAAAACAGATAAACTTGATTATGTTTACTTGACTATGAAAATACGTGATTATGTTTTCATAAGTGAAAAGCTTCAAGCAGTAGCCTAGCCAAAACATTTTTGAAATAAATTGTTCTATTCATTTTCCTTATTTAACATAAACATTAAGATTTTACAGAAGCTATTTAACAGATGATCCTGTTTTCATTTTTGCCAGGTGTATTCGAAAATTGCAAACAAGCTCTGAGGATTTCAATTTATGGGAACAGAAAAGACTCCTCGAGACGTTTTGAGAAACATTAATGGAAACAAAGATCCTAATTCAATAGTGATTAAAAATGACCTCGGGCAGCCAGAAAAATTTAATCGGAGATATCTGCGGCATATGACATTCATTCAAAAGGTATTTACAACCTTTCTTACTTTATTCAAGGCCTACTAAGTGGGGCAATAGAGGTAGAGCTGCATCTCTAAAGAACAACAACTATGACGCCCCTGCGAACGAGGCGAGGATGCCGACCACAATGAATTACATTAAATGATATATCGATAGAGGCGAAGGAGCAGTAGCTATAAATTGTTGCACTTTTATAAGAGTCTGAAACTACTTCTGGTTTTTTAATGAATGGTGAAAATTTTTTGATTATGAATATTTTCTGAGGTTACCATCCTTCTTTGCACCAGTTTGCTTGGAATATCTTTATACTATGCTTCACCTGTAGCGTTTTGAGTTAAGATGACAAATGAGCCAAGTTAATCACTAGACCATGTGAGAGGAACTGGCTTCCAAATAGCATTTGGTTTCTTGCCTTGATCTACTGGATTCTATTGACAAAACGTCTTTTTATATGTTGGTATTTACAGTGATTGTGTTTCATTTGACCTCTACACTGGTGAAAGGTTTTTAGAGAGAAGAGGGGGGTGGGGTGGAGGGAGCAGCTGCTCACCAAATTCAACAAGACTCTGAAATATTAATCGAAAATTCGATATTTTTGTTATAGAGGCAGTAGAGAGAGACCGCTCAAAAAACTTCTTGCGCTTGTCTCACTCCTCAAAAAAACGCAACTTTGTTCTCTGGACCGTTAAAATTGTTTGAAGCACTTGATGTTATATGTTCTATCTGCAATGTTATAAAGACCCCGTTTACACTAGAACGGATCCAAATGTGTACGGATCCATTTGGATCCTTGCTAGTGTAAACGGGGTCAAAGTCTTTAAAATCATTAAGTGGTTTGCAAACTTACTTCCTGTGGTGGAATGTTGATTGTGACTGTGCGAAGGTCGACTTTTGCCATCTCGTCAATGCAAGGTAACACAAAAAGCAAACCTGAAAATGAATTAATAACATAATCAAAGATTTAGTTAAATTTCTGCATTATACAAGTGATGATTAACTCATGTACACATTTCAAAATACAGGCTTTCAAGTCTCGAATCTTATTCTATAACAGATATCATTTAAAATCAGTATCTAGCATCGAATTTTGCAACTTAAAAAAACCTTGTGATCTTCAAAATCATGTCTTACTTTGCATTTTTATGTAAATACTTAGCAGAGGTGTGGTCTTAGGAAAAAACAAAAGGGTTACATTCCCTACAAAAACAATAGCAAGGAGTTCAAATCGATTATTTAGCAGCATAAACCAAGGATGCAGCCAAACTTTAAATCTGACAAAATGGCTACATCAGCCTTTTGAATTATTTTAACAATTATTTCTCCTTTTTTCCATTCCTCTTAAACATTTGTACGTAAACGTTTGGTTGCTTTGGTACCCGGTGTGTGCCAGTACCAGTGTCAGTATGTGTGACAAAGGAGGAAAATCTTAAGTTTCAGAGAACTCTGGTGCTTTTATTTTTTGTCTGTGTATGCATTACCTGGACCTTTGGCACTTCCTGGCAGAACTCTCCCGAGTCGAAAAATAACAGCTCTTTCATATTCCTGGGTTACCTGCATGATACGATAGAGAAAACGATGTTAATTTTCATCGTAAATAATTTATATCTACAGAATTCAAAGGAGTTGTTATTTAAATTACGAAATGAAGCTGTTCAAGCGCTTTTTATCCTATTCGTAGTCATCGACGAAATTGCTGGAAAGTTCGGCCGAAGAGTATCCAGAGAATTGCTAAGAAGTTCGGCAAGAGAGACAAAGAATACTCGTTGTTTTAGACAGGCTTTCTATGCAATTTGGCCAGATATAAGCTTTTTAAACATATAGTATCTTGATAATTTTCAAAGTAAATTATCTTCCCTTAATGTTCTGCTCCTGAGTGATTCATAACATAGGCAAATCTGTTAATGCTAATAGTTTTAAAAGAATAATTGTGCCAACTTGGTTGTCTCCAGAAATACACGTTGGAAATGGAAGCCACTGGTCAAAACAGGTGTAGTCCGGTTAATACGAATGATACATGGCCGGGTTTGTGTTTGTGGATCAAATCAACAACGAGGTCTTCTTTGGTAAGTAGCTCTCAAAAATCCAGTTAAAGGCAATCTGTCACGACGTTGATTGATTATAAGAACAAAAGGATTATTTATTGTTTCCAGTCCCTCTTTAATTTATCGCATTGTAAAAAATATGGCAGAGCGCTGGAATTGTGTTTAGGCTATTGTTCCAGCTATTGTTCTCGTTAACCAATCCACAACGAGACAGCTCAAGGTGTAGATAGCTTAGAACGTACCTTTATGCAAAACAGGAGCGACAAAGGAAAGGTTAGCAGCATGACAATGATACAGAGGAATGCCACGAAATGATTGAAGAAGCCCAACTCAGCTTCCACTTCATTTGGATTTTTTTCTAGTGTGGTAAAAGATATATAAAATATTGACAAAGAAGTACACAATATTTTGAAATATTTACAAAGTACGACAATCAACAGTCTTGTTGGCGTAATTTCAGTGCTGGGCTATAGCGACAGGTGGTCTGAAATGAGGCCCCCTCGCAAGTAATGCCGGCCTATCTTAAAGAGTTTCTCCCACAAGCATGCATGGCATTACTAAGGGGTACAATTTGTCAAAATTCCCATGCCAGCAATAAAGCAGCATTGGAGTTATGAAAATTAACTTTGGTATTCGGCACATCATTTCCTAAGCATACCAATTTTGTAGCCATGGCCCTGGCAACAATTGTTGCCAAATGTGTTGGAGCACTGATGTCAGTTTGCAAGGACGTATTAGCTATTTGCCCTAAAACGATGTTGAGTTATTACAAAATGTTTTATATATTGTTTAGGTATAATAGAAAGAAGGGATGAAGTGATTAAATAGGAGAAAAATTGAATATATGTCTTTAGGTGTTGAAAGGAATTTTATAGATGTTTTACTTATTAGAAGAATTTTCCGAAAAATTCTCTTGATTTTTCGTCTTTCGCCGTCTAAGAACATTTGAGAAAATAATTTTTTGATGAATAATAAATACTTGCAATAGTCTGAAGAATTATCTTCTAAGAATTAAAAGAAAGAGCATTTATCCTTAATCTTCGAAGTCTTTTTTCATAGGAATATTGAACGAAAATAGACTGTAATTGTAATTTTTTTCCTATTTGTTTCAAAGGTTTTACAATTTTGCATTTTGTGCACAAGCCTCCCTTTCACTTAAAAATTCCTTGCTATAAAACACCCCCGCCTTTTCAACACACGTAAATCATGTTTAGAATTCTATTTTTTAGTAGTTAAAAACAAGCAATGTTTTCAAAATAGAAAATTAAAGCGAAAGCAGCGGGATTCATAAACAAAAGTTAATCACTAAGGACCATGAGAGGATGATCTGGCAGTCAAACAGCTTTATGAACACCGGCCTCAAAGTCTAAGAAAAAGAAAACCAGATAAGTCTAACTTGTCGCTTTCAAAGCTAAGTGTGCGATCATTTAAAAATTCACCAAATTGTCTTCTGAATGAAAGTTGCTTTGGGAGAGGGCTGTCAATCGAGTACCTTTTGGAGAGCCATTGGTACCAGACCAGAGCTACAAAATTTCGAGCACAGATATAAAAAACCAAGTGGAGGACCCCAGTTTTTGTTCTTGAATTGGCTCTGGTACCCAGGGGGTCAATCCAGTTGCTTTCTCTTTATTACCAGTAGCGGCGCCAGCTGCTGCATGTTGGGAGGGCTATGTGCGTTAAACCAGGTCTATTTTCCTTAGGCAAATCTTGAAACAATAATCTTATACCCCAATCAAGTTAATCTTTATCCATTATCAGAACTATGTGGACTGCGTTTTGCAAGAATATACCGAGTCATGATTTGTATGCAAAAAGGAAGTTCCCTAGGGTAGGCTGGCGACCTGATTCTGTGAGTCTTAAAATGTGTGATGTGAAAAAAGCAATCTGCAGAAACAAAACAAAACAACGACGAGAGTACAATACGTTGAAAATCTGAATTTTAAAATTATTGTCATACTAATATTGCGCCCAATATTACATACAGGGCTTCACTCGGGCGATTTTTGAGTGCAATTCTATTTGTAGAACTAGGCATGATACTACGAAGCTACCTCGAGCTGGTTCTTAACCAGTTATTAATAATTGCTGTCAAGATCACATGAAATTATAGTGATCACGTCGAAAAGCATTTGACCTCCTGAAATGGATGCATTTTCGCTGCGACTTAATTCCTTTAAGCAAGCTGTTTTTACTACCAGCGTTATAAAGAAATCATCGCTGAGCTGCTGGATATTATTTTACATCGGAACCTTTTATTCAATTTCGTTAGTCACTATATTGATGATATCTTTAGCAGCTATAAATTTTGAACGAAACTTGAGCAGCAACATTGATCTGAGCAAGGAGCCTTGTGGTACAAGCGACAAAACACGTGTGGAATATTTTCATCTAAGTTGCAGCGCTGATAGCACAAATATTTTGTTTAAATTCGTCTTGGTAATATTTTTCTTCGTTCCTCTTTATCTTTGAATCAGTAAGGCAAAGGACCATAGGGAATTTCCCTGTTTGATTATTTCATTTGTTGAAGAACTTGAAAACGCCAATGTAAGAAGATTTAAAAAGGGGTCGAGCGAAAACAAAATGCCATCTAGATACACCTACGGTCAATGATTTGTTCTTTTAGAGAGAAGAATAGTAGGTTTGATACATTAGAAGCTTGAATTTTGATCGATGCTTATTTATGCGGCCTTGAGCTTTTGTTGTTGTTTAAATCAACGTTATTTACTCTAACAAATAATACAGGATAATTTGATCACGCGATATTTTCGGTTGTTTTGTTTTAAATGCCCTTATAATGTCATCTGCAGTTTTCGGGTATTCTTCGTGCATTGCAGATCTAGTTTGCAATGGCAGCTTGACTGGGATGGTCTTGATTTACATTGCATTGATGTTTTATAGAGTTATAGGAATAAATTACACAAGACACGTGGAGCAGATTTTAAGAATTCTAAGCGTCTTTAGAATTGATAATAATGGTATTCGGCAAAAGATCTAGGAGAGCAACAGGTTTTTTCAGTGTTTAGTACCTGCCATCGATTTACTCACAGCTAATTTATGGATTTCTAAGAACACAGCTCTTTTACTTACATTTCGGGATATTCAATATCTTACTTGCAATGTACTCTACTATAAATAAGGAGTACAATTGTTTTTAAACATTAAAGTTTATAACTTATAATACCTTGAGCTGTTTTATGGCCTATTTCCCACCCGAAAAGTTAATTTGTAAGCACGCCTTGTGCATAAATATTTACACCAAATGAATTGACATTCATGATGATAATGTTTTCTTTTGTCACAGAAAATACTGTAAATCTTGAAGAAGTTCACATGACATGCTTGACGATAAAGCAAACATTTCATGCGCAAACACTTACCAGCATTGTTCGAATGATTGCTGTTGTTGTTTAGAGAATTCTTTGTTTCATGCGAAGGTATCATTGCCTGCCTCTCGGGCGATATTCTACCAGATTTCGAATTCATATCAACTTCAAAAGAGTTCATCTCGATAGGAGATTGACAATCTCTTAATACTTCCATTGTGTTTTCCAATTGGGCTTGGTTGACCAGATATCAGTGATATAGCACCAATATGACAATGCTGCTTAAACTATTGCTTGCTGTTGGGGATCTGTTTCAGTAGAAGTTCATCTTATGCACGTTTGTTTCTCGTCCAACCAAATTTGATGCAAAATATGCTGCCAATTTCACTCCGTGTCCTCGTTTCCTGCGAATTAGCTATGTGCCAGAGCAGGCAAGTGTTCCGATCTCCGTAACTTCACAAATTTAATTCTCGAAAATGTCTTACTTCTTTTGAAAAGCGAGATGTTGCTAATGCCAGAAATTTCCTCTCTTTTAGGCTTAGCTGGTTACATCCGAGAAGAACAAATTTATCTTGACATTTCCAAGACGATCACTAAAAGTGTTGCCTTCAGCGTTCCTGAAAATTTTACTAACAACAGGCGGCAACCTCAGACATGTTTGACGGGCGTAGCGTTAATGCTTTGTTCAAACGAAGAAAACCGGACTCAACCCGAAATCTAAACAGGTGGATTTTCTTGAATCACAACAAAAACCATAAATTGGATCTAAAGACTTTAGTTCTGTCTACGTAGCATAAATGATCACGGGAACCTAGCTTCAATAATAAGCAGTAATAGCAATATCGCTGAGCAAAATCCTCCGCAACATGTTTCTGCGTCCTAGCAAAAACATGTAAATGTTTATTAAGAAAAGATGTGAAATCAACTGCGCACGAAATCGTAAATGCTGTTCAGAATAACGTACTCGACGTGATTCCATGGTAACCCCTACGTATAAAACACAAAATCAAGCTAGTTATTATCCGTTCTGTAGCCAGTATCATTTGAAATTGAGCGCCTGCCAGTTTGCCTTGACCGTCCCTCAGTAAATCAATCAGACGTGTTCCTAGTTAGATAAGAATCATCAGTACTTTCAGATGTTTGTTAGCATTTCGATTCCTAGGAAAATTTCTGCTGGCAACTACTAGTAGTGGAAACTTTGTTTTTGGAAGAGCGGAAGAGAGGGTGCTGCTACAAAAAAACGGGGCCTCTGGAAAAAAAAGAGAGAAAACGATAAGGGATTGGTCGCCCTCTGGCATCAGAAGGAGGCTAATCCTTCTGCCCCTCCCTATCAATGTACCCCTGTGTGGAGGGGTTCAACACTAGTAAGTCATCCGAGTCGCTTTTTCGATCTCCAGATGAAATTTGGGATAAATTTTTTATCTCAATGTTAAATGAGCTATTATCTACCACATACGCAATTTTTGGACTGGTTTGGTGTATCAGCTGAGTCTCTATTTAAAGTGTTTTGGCTTGTGTTTGATAAGCTTTACACCTATACAATAATATGCTATGTCTTGCCTTTTATAATTAGTGCTTTCACTTTATTTAAACTACAATGGGTATTTATAGATAAAGCTGTAAAAAATCTTTGTTAAAAAGCTAAAACCAAAAACCTAAATCCGATCCAAATCCAAATACAAATTCCGATTCAAGAAAATTTTGTCGCAGATTAAGTTATCTGTCAAAAAATGGAAAAGTAGGTAAATCTGAAAGTCAAGGCTTCAAGTTTCTTTATCGTGGCTCAAAGTAATGTTTAAAGTTATTCTTAGCTATATTATTGTTTTGAAATATCGCAAAGTCATATCAATCATTGGTTTACTTCAATGGTGTATCGTATCAGCAAAACAACCACTGTACCAAATCAATTATTTAAGTGTTATAATGATTTGTCTTCATTAGCCAAGACGTCTTTTATCACGATGCTATCCCCCGTATTCTCAAGATTCTATACGATCTGGGTAACACTTTCTGTAGAGCAACACCAGCTGACTTGGTTATAAGGCTAGCAAGACTGTGACGTAAAGAAAAGTGTTTGAAACAGAGGCCTGCATACACAGAAAAAGACCAAAGAGTGCCGTTGGAACGAATTTCATACTGTGGATGTAATTATACGAAACAGCAGAACACAGTTTAATAAACCTTGCTGAAAGCAGGGTTGCTAGATGGGATTTACAAAAGAAGGCCAGACAGGTGACAAAATCTGGCCAAAATGCATATAAAAAGGCCAATTTCCCAAAAGTACACTATGAAAAGTAAAGTATATGTTCCCATCCATAGGCCTTTTTGCTAATCTCCAAGCTCAAGCAAGAAACTAAGAAACAAAGTTTATTTCAAACAAAGGAATGACCTCATAAAGTTTAAAAAAGGCCAAAAGGCCAGATTTAAGTTATAAGCCAAAAACAAATTTTCCAGGAAATTTTACTATAAAAAGAACACCTGCTAAAACCAAGCAAAAGTAAATAATAATTTTGATAACAAGCCTTTTCTTGGTCTGGTGGCTTGATTGAGTAGTTGTCACCTCATATTTTAAATTGCAAGTTGACTTGTCAAAGTTGCTAAATCATCAAGTTAGATACCAGCTCATATATACTGAAATTCAATTGTTTTCAAAGTCTAGCAGAAATCAAGTGTAGTCTGCCAGTTTTAATAAGAAAATGATTTAAGAAAGTTCAGTACTGGATTTCTGAAATATAAGCAAAGTTGGAAAAGTATGTAAAATATAGATAAAAATAGAGGTATTTCAAGGAGAAATTGCCACGTAAGTGCAAAATAATCATAGATGTGACCATTATTGGCAGAAAGGTGAAATTCTAAGATTAGAAGAAGTGACTCTATAGAAATTGTCTCTCTTCAGGAAATTTTCACTTCAGGAAATATACGACATACCATATCTTCAGGAAATATATCACATGAAAGCACTCATGTGATATACGTTAAGTGATTATTCAGTCAGGTTTCTCAGTAGTTGTTCAAGTAGTTTAGTTAATCCGTGGCTGTAGGGGTACGCGTTAAAAAAAATGTATCGCAAAAGACAACCAGGGTTTCTTCATTTTGTTTTCAAGAAGAAGGTGAGCATCGCTGAATTTTGCAATTAAGAATCAGGGCTGATAAGAAATGTTTCATTGGCTCGTAAGAATCAGAGACGTTTCAAATCACGTCAGAGCCTTGCGATGCATCAGAAATCATCCACATCAGGTTCCTCTTGTAGATATGTGATTTCAGTTGAACAGCCAATTCGCTACGGAGCATATTTCCGTTCAATTGGCTGCGGAGCATATTGCAGATTAAGAGGGCTAAAACGTTTTTTAGGGGGCTAAATATCCTAAAAACCAAGAACAAGGCGGCTTTTTGTATGGTTTTGAGTACATTTTGGAAACTTTTTGGCGAGGCTAAAGCCTCCTCGCCTCCCCCCCCCCCCCCCCCCGCTTGCGTGGTCCCTAGATGCAAAGGACGGGACGAAGCTGTAGAGGAAATTTTCATAGACAAGGAAAAAGATGTTTCACCCTCTCCATCACTGCGCATGCTCAGTAGCATAAAACTTTTCCATTTTTGCGTAGAAAGCTTTACGAAAGCTTTTGCACTGAATTTTGGAAAGAGCTCAGGAAGTTTGAGTACTGGGTTGAAAAAACTTTCTTATTGACAAAGTGTGCATACCTATTGTCAAAGCATAACAAAAAACATTCGATGTTTTGTTTGGTCGTGCTCTTTTCGATTGGTTTTTTATGATAAAAATCTTTACAATTGTACTTTTTGCTTGATCCCATCAATTCAGGATCAACCGAAAGTTTCTACAGGTAAGACATACAACGACTGACAAATGAATGGTTCTCCTATATGTAAATATGTTCCGGAGACTCTTTCTCCAGGCACAGTGGAGCGGGGGAGCTGGGAGGCTTAGCCTCTACAAAAAATGCCAAATTTCAAGAAATAAGTTACCAGTAAAGCCTCTTTTTCTGGCCTTGGCCCCCTCCCTACACTTTTTCAAACCCTTCACTTTTCTCAACGCTTCACTTTGCCTGATTTCTGACAGTCAATTTACAACAAGACCCACTAATCTTTGATAACTAACGAAATTAAAACTCTGTTACAGAAAGCATCTGACATCCTTCAAATAAAGCTAGAATGGCACTGACTGTCTTCCCAGTTATTTATCATTCTACATGATGTGTTCCAATGAACATAAATCCGTATGTTCTCTTGCAGTAAGTAAGCTCTTTCCATGCAATCCATAAAACTGTTTTATGTTCAATTTAGAGTTTAGCCTCCAAATAAACAATTTTTGGCTGAAAATGTAACCCTTTTCTAGTTCTTAGGGTTAATGTATTCTTCGAATCGCACTCACTTGTAGTCCGCTTTTTATCATACTCAAATATCTGGTTGCTGCAGGTGCTTTTCTCAGTAAACTAAACGCCTCAAACAAATAAATAATTCACAGCTCGGAAATAGTCCGATTATGAATGGTTTAAATCCGATAGCGTCATGGATTCACCTGCCTTGATTCAGTTCTTTGGTAAGCAAGTCAAACTTAGCTTTATAGTCATAATTTCAAAGTTTTTTAGTCATAATTTCAAAGTTTTTAAAAACACGCTGGACAGGCCTTAGTAAAACAAGCAATCAAAAATTGAGTATTTTTCAATGAAATAATTGTTAATTCAGTAATTTTAATTGCGGTGGCCCTAATACAGTAGAAGCCAAAATCCAGCTCATTTAAAAAAGACAAACACAGATCAGCTCTACTTGTATATTGGACCCAAAAAGATCGCAAATTCCTATAAAAAACAGGAGATATAGCACTTGTCCATGACAACTTTGCAAAAACCCATGACTATTCTAACTCACCTCTACAGCAGACCAGTAGTTGTGAACAGTTTTTCGGTCGAAAGTGCAACAATCATTTTCAGCCCGGTAGAATCCTACATCTAGCCTATACTCTGTCGTCTAAAATCTTTAATTTCCCCTACCAAGTTACCTGCTAGCCCTTTCGCCTCCCCGTGATTACTTCTTGCCTTTCTCTATACCCACCTCTCTGTCTCTCAGGTTCTCATCACAATAGTTGTTATTCATAAGCAGGCAGGAGTGCCTTCCTAAATCGTTAGCGGGGAGCCATGCAGTAGGTAGCTTCTAGAAGACACACCCCGATATACCGGCATTTGTGATTCAAACTATTCGCTGAATTAAAAAGACTGATAGGAAACTGCCAATACAGAATTCGTGCAACCAAAAATTATGCTCACTTGTTAAGGGAGGTTGAGCCCCCCAAATCATCTCTAAATTGTAACAACTCACAGGGGCTGAGCCAGGGAACGCGAAAGCAGGGGGAGGTGGGCTAAGAGAGCTTTAGCCCCTCCCAATACTTTCCAAAATGTACTTTCAACCAAAGAAATTCGCCTTACTCTTGGTTTTTGGCATGTTTGCCCCCCATTAAACGTTTTAGCTGTAGCCCCCTCAATCTGTAGTATTCTCCGCGGTCCTTACGGCCGAGCCTCCGACCATGACACCACTGCTGTAACACAAATTTGTAAATTTATCATTTATCAATTAACGCTGTAGTTTGCCTTGAATCTTGTTTGCGAGGAAAAGTTAAGATTCCGTTTTGTCCATGATCAGGGGCGTAATTTGGCAAATAGGTTGGGGGGGGGGGTGAAACGGGTTTCTGCCCTCTGCAAAACTGAGTGGTGCCCTGTAAACCTCGAAGCAAATGTCTGTCTATAGGTTACTATTGAAAGCTTTACCAATGCACATTTGTCTTTACCAAGAAGTAACTTTTAAGCAATAAAAGCAAATTTGAAACTTAATTGCCGATGAAATATCTATATCTCTATGTGAGGAGCGTAAATTATGATAATGGAATATTATTTTTGCTACATGATGTGGACGGCGGCACGAAATTGACCCCGGGGGGAGGGGGGTTAAGAATCAGGTTTAGTGAGGTAGGAGGACCCACCACGATTGGATCCGACGATAAAGAAAATTTTTTAAATTATACCTTGTAAAAGGGCTAAGAAGCATCTCCAAGACTAAAATTTAGCACAATTATCTAATTTGTTATCTAAGAATCTGTATAGAATACCAAGGACATACTAAAATATTTTTATTGGTCATAACAACACACGTTTTTTTATAAGAAGGCTTTTTCAACCCAGGCTTCCGACTTTCTTAGCTTTTTTTCTAATTTCAGCACTAAAACTTTCTTAACACTTTCTTAACGTAAAATTAGAAAGCTTAAAGATTATTGAGCATGGGCAGTGAGGGAGAAGATGAAATGCTATAAATATACTATGTTTCTCCAAAAAGCCCTCAACGCAGGGCCGCCGGACGCAGGTTTGAGCAGGGAGTGAGTCCTTGGCGAACTCCGATTTGAGTTTTTCGAGACTCCTCGTAGCATCGAGGTCACTGTGCTAGCACAGGTTAATTCAGTCCAAACAAATGTTTTCATCAAAAGTGTTCATTTATCTTCGTTTAAATAAGGCGCTATTCTTGCAAGTGCATTTTTTCTGCTTCTTTACACATACTTAGATATGGTCATTAAATTTTAATTCGTTGTCTATTGTTACGCCCAGCAGTTTCACGATGTCTTCCTCAATAACTATTTGCCTGTCTACATAAATGCCACATTGTCTCCATTGAGCTGCATAGCATTGTCTATAAACCATTGGTTTATGATATTGATTTCATATTCTAGTTCAGCTGATATATCCTCCTTATCAGTACCTTCAATCCAAATGGCATTATCATCAGCATAGTTGCATAGTTTGCTTGATTTAGGTTTATGAATATGTTATTAATGAAAAAGAGGACCAAGTACAGAACCTTTTTCTCAGGTATAAGAGGACTCAGGTATATTATGATAGGAATGCGTCTCAGGTATATCAAGGATCTGCAGTAACCTCTCGACCTGGAAGGCAGTATAGGCCTAGTAGAAGATATCAAGACTTTCTTGTATAGGTATATTAATAAAAATGTGAACATTTACATTGTCAAATTTTTGTGATGTTGTTAAGGGAGTAGGGGGAGTGGAAAAATTTACGCGAATAAGTAACCCTACACCCATGGGATTTTCGTCCCTGTCCATGGTCGTGTCAAACCAAACGAGGAACGTAAATAGAAAACTTGTCAATGAAAAAATTTAATTTACTGAAAAGGAGGCTGTAGGGCCTAAAATCTGGCGGATGGTATGGTACAATATTTTGGAGATCCGGTATGGTTGATATTTTGTTGTCCAATGACGTTAAGAAAAGGTGTTCTGCTCAATAAAGTGTTGTTAACCTAGGTTCGCTTTGAGAAAAGGTATGAAATTATAATTCAGATTGTGTGCCCGGCACATTGTTTAATATTTCTAGTGTTAGCCAAATCCACAGACATAGATTCATTTTATGGAAAGGTCCAGTACCCCTACTAATGGAAAGTATGGCAGCTCCACACCCGAGATAATTTTTTGGAATTTTCACTGCACATTTGATAAAATGGGTGTGTCTCGAAAATATTGGGCGTGATCAGAATAAATCAAAGAGTTTGGTCATCTTCCATTTGATGATAAAATGATAAGTGAGAGTTTGGTGATAAAATGATTAAAAAGACAGTTTCTTAACAGAAGAGATATTCACGTCATGAAGTGAAGTTTTAAAAGTTTTGTACATGCAGTGCTCAAACTAAATGAAACCAACTCTTGTGATGTTCTTAAAGGGGGTTGAATAGATAGAGGACTTTTTTGTATACATTGAAATCCCAAATAACGAACTCTATCTAAAAGGAACCAGAAAATAGTTTGTTATATCAGGACTTTGTTGAACCGGTCTTCTCATAGTTTTTCACATACACAAAACCTGCGAATGGCTTGCTTAGTCCATCTCTAACTTCTGTGCACAATTAACTCCAAAAAACCAAGCTAGGCGCACAAGTAAGTCTTTACATGGGCTGTATTTAATGCATTTAATCTTATTATCATCACACCCATTAAGAGACCCACTAAATGTGCATGTTTCTCTTGTTTGACAACAAATGCTAAAGAGAGTGACAACAAATGGGGGGCCTTAATAGAGAGTGGGGGCTTATTATAAGTTTTTGATTGATAAGGAGGGGCTTAATAGAAGAGCTTTTACAGTATTAGATTTATAGCTACTTTTTATTCAGACTCATCCCTGAGCTGAATCAGCATCAGATCCAACAGGCAGGAAAGAGAAGCATCACACAAAAAAGATCTGATTTGTGTTAATTAACTCTTGCAGATTTTTTAGATTTTTTTTACCTTGTATTGACCATTACCTTATTCAAAGGGGGCTTATTTGAAGGTGGGAGCCTAATCAAAGATAAAGGGAAGCAAGTTTGGACTTCAGCCTTTGTGGTCAGTAGAGTACATAAAAAGTTGAGTGAAGGAAATGATTGTACTCTCTCCTTTTACATAGCTATGACATCATTTTTTATTTTCACGGTTACAATCTTTTGATAGTACAAAACCTGAAAATGGGCTTTGAAAAAAGCAAACATTTAGTAAACTAAAGTTTTTCGTCTGACACTCTTCAGAGTTTAAAATGTCAGAACATAGAATTTAAAGCATCAGCATATATTCCGATTCACAACTGGGTATATATATTTCCTAGCGTAGAGTTTTCGTTCTATGTTCTGACGTTTTAAACTCAGACGAAAAGCTTTTGTTTACTAAATGTTTGCTTTTTTCAAAGCCATTTCCATGGTAACCACAATTTTGTATTACCTTATAGGCACACATTTATAGCAGCTTTTTATAAGCTTAAAAACTTTATTGAAATTTAAATAATTTTTATAAAGTCTCTAAAAATATATGATAGTTTTTATTCTATTTGTTTCTGTCTATTTATTTTGTTCAGATGCAAATGAATGAAGCCTTCAAGGTGTCAATGTGTGTTGTTATTACTCATATTGGTGAATCTTGCAATTCTTGCTTATTTCATTAATAACAACAAATCATGGCCTAAAGTAGAACAAGGTATGTATTTAGCTACAAAATCATTGATTGAAATTGTTGCAGATCTGGGCCATCTGTTCCCTCCCAAGTTCAACCAAACCAAAAAATGCCTGGAAAATCACAGATATTTATTTAAAGGAAATGTAATAGAAAAAGTTTATTTAAATGTAAAACTCTGAAAGTTGGTGACACTTGCCCTCAACACAAAATTTTAACTTCAATGCTAAATCAAACTTGTAATAAATTTTTGACAAGGTCCATACTTAAGAGTGTAACTGCGCAGATAGGCATAGGCAACCATTTTGTGTGTTTTATCTCACTTTGGCTATTACAATGCTTTTCAGGCCAGAAAAACACCAAGATAAAGAATTGTTATACCTGAAATGATAATAAACATTTCTAGCAGGGAATTTTCAGACAGGAAGAGAGAGGGAAATAAGAGATAATTTCTTGGCCAATGATGCTTGGGCTGTGCTTGCCTGAAGCATTATTTTTCAGATCTCTAACTATCATGAAGTTAATCTCAGTAGTTTTTCTAAATGTGATTTTAGTATTATAACAGCAGTTCTGCTTTCTTATTTTCCATCTTCAAGAAATAAATTTTGTTCTTGTTGATTGCAGGCATTTTCAATTTATTTTTCTCTAGAAATGTCTTTTTCTGTTAAATTTATGTTATTCAAAGCCTAAATCAGAATTTTGATCAGGACTTCCTTTTTATGGATAGTTTTGGCTAACAAATAAGAATTTAGATGCTCCAGACTAAACAAACATAGTTAAAAAGATTGGTGTGTTATAATTCAAGTCTTAAGATTCAGACTGAAGTTTCTCAAAGATTACATCCTAAACTTCTTCATTGATATATGGTATCCTTTGATTTCCAAAGTAGGATGGTATATTGTTGAAACTGTTTATTCTTGGATATTTCAGCAAACAATAATTGTCTGATGATCAGCCTTCAATAAGCATGAAACATTGTATCATATTCTACCCCCTAAATTGCAAAGTACACAAGCAAGCAGTAATATGTTGTCTTTAATTGTAGAGTTTCAAAAATCAAGCAATGATGTGGATAAGACAATTACTGTTGTGATATATGACTTTGGTAAGCATAAGTTTTTTTATTTGAAGCTAAGCTCAGTAGTACTTATACCCTTTTTCTTTATTTTAGTCCTAGTCTTTTTGAAAATTTCTTCTTAGATTAAAATATGCTATAAACACTTAAACAGACACAGTGGTGCTAACATAACATTGAAGATGTAATAGGACACCTATCTTATTTGTCTTTTGTCTGTGTATAATAAAACCTGAAATAAGTACATAATGGCTTAAAGGAATATTTTCCCAATACTTTCTTGAGGAACTTGTACCAAGGTTTCCCAGGTGATCACAACTTTCCTATGATTGCTGGATACTACATGTAGATAAAGAGAATAGGGAAAAGTCTTACAACAAGTTAGATGCACAAAAATCTTTTATCTAACTACATTGTGCTAATGAAATTTGCTTCCTTGCAGAGCATTTTGAAAATGATATCAGAAACACAGTGAAATCTTTTTTGGCATTTCACCCAGCTATCAATATCATTGTTGTATCCGATGAATTGCCTTATCCACCAATTGATCTCCCGGCTGGCAATTCCAAGGTATTTGTGTGAAGGCTTGCATTCATTCTAATTGTAGTCTTCAATTAAAAGTAACTCTTTTTGCTATTTAAAAGTAATGATAAGATTTGGTAGTTCCAAATATACATCTAGATGGATTTCCTATTTGTGGTATGTGGCACAAAATTTGAATTGTAAAAGCATGTGCTGAAGAGATTTTTTCATCCCAAAAAAATTATGTTACCAAATCAGCTCCTATTTATTAATTTTCATAACATATCAACATTTTTCTGCAAAATCTGTAACTTTTGACTTTTTTACCAATCAGTTTTATGTTATTTTGACATTAACCCAGTAATTCACTTCATGTAAAACAATCTCATATTTTAATCAAATGTCTGCTCAGAGATGTTGGTTTACTTGAGCAACAAGCTGCAAAAGTTCTTTGTATTGAATCAGACTCATTTGAAGTATTTTAAATGGTATTTCCTCTAGAAAACCCCTACTTCTTGACCAAAAGAGGTGGAACTTGATCTTCTGCTTTCTGTAACACTTACTGGCGTTTTCTACTGGTATTTCTTTTTTCATTTACATTGTGTTCTTGTTCATAGGTAGACATTAAACCTTTCTATCTCAAACAGTCCTTTGTTCTCTTTCTCGGGTCATGTTTGTTAATGCGTTGCTTTGCATAATGACGTAAAAAATAAATTGAAAGACAGATTGACAGAGTCTTTCTGCACAGCTTCCAATTTACTGTTTCTCCTTCCATACTATGAAGAGAAAATCAATCTTTGTGAGAATAACAGAGATAAGAAATTTTGATCGTTCTCCAATAACTTCGTTTTTGCTGTTCCCATTAAAATGATTCGTTTTCGAACAACTCTGTTTTTGGTTGATAACTTTGAACATCATTATCAAATGTCTCCGTTTTTAGCCTATCAATGGGAACCCAAATCAAAAGCATTTCATTCAGCTCAGTTTTCCTACGAAAGCGGAGTAATAGAAACAGGGCCTGCTTTCCAACGGACTTACACACTATTAATCGCCTGTTTAATCGCTTGTTGGTTAAGGGGACCTTCCTTTTGTTTTATTTGCTAAAGCTATTTTTGTCTGTTTTTTTAATATTGCTGAACAGAATTGAAACTTTTGTCACGTTTCTAAAGTCACTGAAACTTCTCTTTGTCGCACAGTACCCTTCACAATAACTCGTAAGGGAAACATGAACATAACTATACAATGTGTAGCATTCAGTTCATTTATTAACAGTTCTGTCACGCTTAATGGTTCAGTAGAAAATTTTTTATTGATCCGTGTTAACATATAAATTTGATTCGCGCGCCCCACTCTTACCACGTGAGTTTTTGGCCGCGTGCGTTAATTTCTGAACGTGAAAGCTCTGGATGTAGGTAAAAGCCAAATTTAAAAGTTTTAGGTGAAATCGAGAGAAAGGTTTTGTCATATCGAAATCAAGATATCAACATAGCTATGTCGTTCTCATCATATTTACACATGAAATGCATGTTTTCCGTCCTAGTCCTTGTGATCTAGGCCAGTTAATCAAAAAGACTTTCAATGACAATTGTTTTGCGCAAGTTGAGCTTAGGCTTAAAGGTGCACGCAAGATACTTACACATTACTCAGCTTTCGTTTCTTCTTCATATATCTCATGAAGAAAGTATCAAAAAAATTCTAAAATCGTTTTCATAATAACAAGGGCAAAAAAACGCATCAACATACCTCAGGATGAAACTTTGCCCTAGTTGCCTTCCTCAAAATTTGTTTGTATCTTTTGAATGAAAGTTTCTAAGAAATGGAATTCAAGTAAAGCCCTTAATGGTTTGGACTTGACAGAAGAAAAGAAATAGTATGCAATGTTTCCGCTATTCTATGCCATCTTCGAACTTTGCGCTACCAAATTTTATTTAGAAAATGTTCTACGGTAAACTCCTCTCACTTTGTATACTCATGTAAAGTTACGTAATGGCCTTTCTCGAAACTACTGTATTGTTGGATAACCTTCCTCCAGCTCACAGCCTTATGTGACGGTTTGGATTTTATATTTATTCAATTTAGTAAAGAGTATCTTTTGTGCGTTCCTTGTTCGGGGCTTAGGCCCTTTGGCCTAGCCCATCGCTCCATCAACGAGCTGGTTATTAACTGGCTCTTCACCGTCATGACAAGAACCCTTATCGTTACATGTAGAACCGTAACGTTTTCTCTACTCTGCACAATCCATAATGATATCAGCAGGCATCAAGTCGGAATGTTTCAATCACCCCTTTTAGAAATTCAAATATTTCGGCAATAGATCTAAGTCAGTGTCAATTAGGCCTTGAGGTACAGCTGCATATTAATTCATTTGATTTTTTCTACCATAATATAAGGTCAGGTTGTCACCTCAGTTATTTCAAATGTTTTTTCGCAATTTCATTGTAAATTCACTTTCTCGAATTTTCTTTCTTTTTGTTATTAGCTTGTTGTCCTGAATGTGCCTCCTTACTCAGCTGCAGCGGAAGGACGACCCTTGACGTGAGTACATTTTGTACTTACTTCATCATTACTAAATAACGGCAAATTTATAAATAAAGCAATAGGTTTGAAGCGAATTCTAACAGATTTAGCGAACTTTTGTTTTAATCAGTACTGCATGGTTGAAATTCGAGAATTCTAGGAAAATACTTTATGTGATTGAAGCTTAGTGTTTCTTTTCCAGCTCATGCAAATCACCCAGATTTGCCCGTTTTTGTCTTACAGGAGACCACTGCAGGAGACAAGGAAATTAGTGATATTATCCTTGGTCCCCCTGAGACGACTGAAATACCAGAAACTCTTTCTGTGACTACCCTTGCCAAGTTTCCCTACCATACCACGAACCATCCCCCAAAATTACCATTTTTCCCTGAGCTTGCAAACTTTAAACGCTCTGTCGTTTTCTTGCTGTGTCTTCTTGTAACCTGTGATCTTTCAAAACAAAATCAACTTGTTGCCTTGTTGGAGCTTACCTCCGGGTCTCTCCTTAATATATAAATCAATAAAAACGTATACCGTTCTTTGAATTTACAGAAATTATATAGTGATGGCTAGAATTGTTAATAGTATATTTTGCTCATCCAGAACAAGCAACTTTAGCAATTCAGAACAAAAAGTAGTTATGATATGTTATTCTTTAATTGTTATTAACATCCTTTGCTCAATGATTTTTTTATTAGAGTTTACTTGAAATCTTTGCCCCATTTTATTCAAAATCCTGCAACCACAGCGCTGTATCTTGCACTTTTCTATCAATTTTCATGTTTTCCTTTGCTTATAGGCTTTTTGCAGGTGTTTATAATATTCACATCGATAAATGGTTCTCTCTTTTTTTTAGTCACATCAGAACAGAGTACACATTGTTTGTGCCAGATAGCTTTCACCTTAGAGATGAATCTGGCCTCGTGCGAATGCTTGATTCTCTGGTCAGTACTGAAAGTCGTTCACCTATAGTTGCGGCTGGTGCACAGGGGCAGAACGAACAAGTTCCAGAATGTAACAAGTTAACCTTCGACTACAGGTCTGAGAACAGTTACAATGTTCAGCATCTCGGCAAGATTTATACAGTTTACATGACAAGGCTGTTCGTGGTTATATGCAGGGCCGCCGAGAGGGGGAGGCAAAGGGGCGAATTGCCAACAAGCCTTAACGTCTTGGGTGCCTCATAAAGTAATGAATTCCATTATAAGAATTGAATAAGCAAGCAAACGTATACCAGAAAATAGTAAAATGTTTCAAACGATTGCAAGAAATATTTTGGAAGCATTTTAAGGCAATAGTGGAGGGCGTGATCACAAGATTTTTACGTCTTTAGCTTTAGCTTTTCGGCCACGTCTTTGGCTTTTACCCCAGGGTCCCTGAATTCTCTTTGCGGCCCTGATTATCTGTTATTTAATTTTCGCCTGAGTATTAAATCGTTAAAAAACATTTACATTGGGAATATCAAAATGATTTTAATACAATAATGTTGGAAAATATTTTGTTAGTTCTGTTTGTTGATTGGTGGTATTGCAACAAATTGAATTGCTTTCATGCATATTGAAAAATGCCAAACTCTCTCTCTCTCTCTCCCTCTCTCTCCCTCTCTCTCTCTCTCTCTCTCTCTCTCTCTCTCTCTCTCTCTCTCTCTCTCTCTCTCTCTCTCTCTCTCTCTCTCTCTCTCTCTCTCTCTCTCACTCTCTCTCTCTCTCTCTCTCTCTCTCTCTCTCTCTCTCTCTCTCTCTCTCTTTTTCTTGATCATCATCTGAACAGTTAACTTTCTGCATATCTGCGTGTTAGCTGTAAGATTCATTTTATGATAAATGAAAGAAAAAGTAAATATAGTGAGAAATTGCACCGGTAGGCTAGGTTAGGAATATACTCTGCTAGGCTCCGGCAGTTTTTAGTACCTCTTCTAATTTATGTCCTTTTTTTTTTTTAAGCTAAATCATATTGATACACATATAGATTCAATTTACACTTGCTTCCTAATATTGATAGATTTGCACAAAGGGGAATCCCTGAAAGAAAATGAAAGGAATTTATTTTACTTATTCTTCAGAAGGAAGTAACAAAATTGAGCATGTGTCGATATTTTGTAGACGATGGACTTTGAAGTATTCGGATCATCAAGAAAAACCGCCAGTTGAGAAAGGTGAGGGTTACTTTCAATATCTTATTTTGAAAAGTGAATTTATTATTCTAATGGTTTTGTTACAAATTTCGGTGACTGGTAGACTCTCTCTGACCAAGTAAACCTATTTGAATGGGCTAATTGGAAAAAATGGTTTAGAAAAAGCTGTCTTCTTAAGCCTCGAAATATTGTTTCCCTTAAAGAGTGGTTTTACTGGCCATGTCGAAAATGCTGAACACCCAGAGCTCACAAAAAAAGAAATTTCCTCTGAGTATCTAAAAAACAATCCAATCTTGAGAAAAACAGCTTAACATTTGTCTGTGTTGCTGTAGAAGCAAAGTTTGTATGTTGCTTTTGGCGAGGACAATTTTACAAAATTGATTTTGATGAGGATAGATTGAGCTTTTTTAACCTTTTGATTAACAAATGACTTACATTGGACGACCAGATGATTACGAAGGCCTACCCACTCGGAAGCTATGAAGGCCTACCCACTGGGCCTTCCTCTGGACATGAACTGATGTCCCTTCAAAATCTCAGTGAAAATTTGGTTATGACAGGCAATACAAGTTTAGAAATGTCCCTGATTTGCAAAAGAGTACTGATATCAGACAGCCATCATCTGGCGGATTTTGTTGGCCAGTTTCCAGAATTTCGGCTAAAAACCTTTGACACTCTCCCCCAAATTCATAAATTCATACAAATGCATTGTCATAAACGCAAAAATATCGGGTATAGAGGTAAAACATCCGATTTTGTACACTTTTTCCTCGACTAGATTTTTGCTTAGCGCACTGAACAAAATGATGTTTCTTACCGGCACCATACCTAGTAGTATATTCGGGGGTTGATTGCAGCAAAGGTCCTGGGTTTCTTTTTTGTTACCATGGTTTTTGTTTCTTGTTTTTGCAGACAGCAATACATGTGAATCGGTCGATGGAAAAGTTGCTGTTCTTATGCGAACCTCAAAGCTACAAAAGTTCGCGTCGTTGTTCGTACGACCATTTCTAAAAGGTAAACCTAGATATTATTATTCTACCGATTTTCCCTGCTGCTTTCCATCATCTCAGCATGAAGTGCCACCTTTTGCATCTGTATTACGAAAGTCTTTCCTTCCGGAATACTGGAAAATATCAAAATATTGAGATGTACTTGATCAAAATGGAAAAAAATGTTCAGTTAAAATTTTCGATTACTGTGATAGCTCTGTAGTTTTGAAAAATAAATAGAAAGTTTTCTTTCTAAAGATTAATTTTTTGTAGTCTGTGAATCTGATTAGAAACGAAAGCATGTATGAACAGGCTCATAAAAATTTATTTGTTTTTGTAAAGAAAGGCTCTGGTTATATTTTTCATTTTATCTTTTTATTTATATGTATCGTTTGTATCAGCTCCTTGGACTTGGTGTAAAATATTTTGAAAGGGACAGAATTACTTCCGAATAATTTTTCGCGTTTTTTTAAACAAGTGCAGGGATAGCACGAGGCCGCATCTTACACTTCAAAATCTGAAAAATCGACGATATTTGCTTTAAACAAATTATAATAAATGACAACACAGGATCCCATTGAGTAAGCAAATAAAATTGCATGTTCCCCAAATCTTTGACAGGTGCTGCACCTTCGTATGTATTATTTACTTGTGTTAAACTTAAGCTACTTCTGGCAGTTGACTCTCCATTTTGTAATGGGACATATCAGTCAGATTTCCTTTTTCTTTTTTCAGGTTTATTTATCCAGGCTGTTCTAAGAAATTGGAAGGTCAAGCTTCTAAAGGAGAACTCTTCATTTTTTCAACGCAAGCGACTCTTTGCTACAGATCATAACAGGTTTGTATATATCATTAAATATATCTATAGAAATAGTTGAAAAATTGAAAAGCGAGAAAACAGAAAAGGATTCTGTTACTCTTGGGCGCCTATAAAACGGGCAGTTCTCAATAATTAGTATCGAGAACTGTTCTGAAATTCAAGAATTGGAGTGGGAACAATTCGAATTAGCTGGGTAATGAATTTAGGGGTAATGATGAATAAGGAAAACTGGATAATTAATTTTTGTAATACTTATTATGTATATTTTACAGAAACGATTAAATGTTTAATAAATGTTGAACAATATATAAAGCGTTTGTTAAAGTCTATTTGTTAGAGAAGCTATGACTCACTCTGGGTCGGGGCGAATCGACACGGTGTTGCTTAGGCTTGTTTTGATTTCAGATGGAAGCATGAAAATTACGTCAAGCGTCACAACAAAGATCTTTTTAGAAGGTGAGTAAATCGAAAGTCCATTTGAAATTACACTAAATTTTTGTTTGGGTGATTCTGGTTCAAAGGCAAGCCTTTGAAATAGACAAAACATGCATGAATAGACGGAATCACAGAAATAACCATGTTGCTGTCGAATTTCAGACCAATTGTAGAAGTGTGATAGAATTACAGAATAGGAGCAGAGATGTTTAGTTGTGTACGGTGTTTCATTTACAATGGGCTTTTGCAATGCGTGATTGATAGTGGGCTAATTGAAGGTTAATGTTATGATACTTGATTTTTCAAGAGGCTACCATTCAAAAGGCACCGTTCAAACATATACTCTCGTCTGTACAATTTAATCATATTTAACTACCTATCAAGGTTACTTAACTCGAAAAAGGATATATTGAAGTACAAATAAGGTTTTGGTTTTGATCAGCCTTCATGAGAAACTTATGCCAGGCAAAATTTCTTTTCAATAAGTAACTAAATAGCAACTCTTGTTCCACTCCGTGTGAAATTTTCTAGGTTTGGAATAAAGAGAGTTATTAAAAAGGATCTGTCTGAGGAATGGTATGGATGTACCAAGGTAGTGATATTTTTCTTTTATAAATTATTGCTTTTTTCGCCAGTTCTACATACAGACGTGCTTCTAGTTTTTACTACGAGACTTCACAACCTGGTGTGATTATTGAATAACTATCTTAGACTATTATCCAAAGCCTCAAGGACCTTCTCTTGCGGTAAAAGCTAGCAGGTTCTATTGCCTTTTAAGACACCTAATGTTATCTTTTTAGAGCGATGCCAACCCCACCCTCCCGGGTTGGTACGTTTTAATCCACCTTCACAGACTTTATGATTACTCAAATAAACTAACTCGATCTCACCTACCTTAATTTCCTTAGCGGTTTCTTAAGATTAATGTAATGTATGCTTTTAGGCCTCTCTTTGACACGCAGGCCTCTCTCTGTGACCAAAAACATCCTACAGTTGCCATTAGTAACCGGCGCTTGGGTCGAGTCAGCGGCTATCTAGTTTTGTTCTGTCTCGAGTCTTTAGCATCTGCTATTTTTCTTTTGTCGTTTTGTCACAATGTTTTCTTTCTCACACTTGTCAAAATATTCCCATATCCAGCCCTTAATGGACCTTATGGTCAAACATTCAGTACAAACAAACAGTACTTGAAGCACTTCCTATGAATTTCAGGACAATAACTTCATTAACAGTAAAAAACATTTTGTTCTCTGTCAATTAATCTAATCATAATGTCATACTTATTTCCCGCCAATAAGTCTATATATTTATAATAAATATATTTTAAATTATTTTTGTCGACATTGTTTGGACAAAAAATCCTTCGTGCCTTTGATAGTTTCCTTCTTTCAATATACACTTTAGAGAGCTCAGGGGATTTTATTCTACGAGTATGCTCTTTTTATTTTCAAGAATTACTCCGTTCCGAAATGGTTCAAGGCCCTAAACAATAAGCTTTTAAAGTTAATGATGGTGACAGTTTACCGGTCTGTCATAAAGGGCTCAATGCCCCCGTATAGGCCCCCCGTATAGGCAGAGCTGTACGGATTTTGATGAATAGAACAAAACAGTTCTAATTTTCTTCTCCAAGTTTCGCACTGGCTTAATGCGATTTTGTAGTATGCAGTAACTAAAGCCTGTAGAAAGAGCAATAGACAAGTTATGTGATTAAAAACAGCATAACTCTTAGTGCCATTACTTTTAGTTCGTTATATCTATGCTAACCTGTTGTCGTTATCATTTTCAGTTATTACAACTTGTATTAATTTCTATTAAAATGTAGCAGATGTCAGTTTGTAGATAGAAGACACATAACTGATTTACATTTTTCATTAAAGAATTTCAAAACAAGAGCTTCTCTTTTTGAGACATTTTATAGTTTTCTATTCATTTATCCCGAAAGGTTTCCAGTAACAAATGGAATAAAAATTCAAAACGAATTAGGTCGTTGTTAATTTTTTGCGAAACGGAGGAAGTAATGTTTTGAATATTTTAGGACACCCAGAGATGTTTTGGAACAATAATTAACGATGTTGCTGCATTTATCTATAAAGGCAGATGGACACCTCCCTGCTGTCTACGTATGTATACGCAATTTTTATGACGAATTTAAGCCCTATAATTTCTAAAGTTCCATCAAACTAGCATTAAGTAACTAGATTGGCACAAGCTAACCTGAAGCTGTAGCGGATTTTTTCCCTTTGAAATTGTGCTTTAATGTTCCTCTAGTTCCATTTATAACTAAATGACTGGTTTCTACCATATCCAGTATTTCTTACGCATTCACAATTCCTGCTCCAAATAAGTTGGTTATGTAAGACAATTATCTAGCATTCCGTACGCATGTGTTGAAACCAATGCTAAACACGCGGGTTTACTATGCATTTTTAGTACAATATTTTGCCCCAAACTTGGGTATAAGTGTCTAACCTGCAAAGATTTCAACAATGAGACCTTAACATTGTTCAATGAGACCTTAACACAATGCATAGACAAGCATGCGCCTTTTGTCAAGAAGCGTATAAAAGGAAGGCTTTGTCCATGGCTCTCTAAGGAACTCAAACAAGAAATGAATATCAGGGACCAGCTTCTTCGCAAGGCCCGACGCTCAAACACTGAATTAGACTGGTCTACATATAAGCGTAGCAGAAACAGAGTGAACAATCTTGTTAAAAGCAATAAAGCAAGATATAACAAAGAACTATTGCGGGATAATGCCGATTCTGCAGAAAAGTTTTGGTCTGCAATAAAGAAAATATACCCTACAAAGGAAACTTCGACGACTACAACATCAATGATAGAAGTGAATGGTCAAAAAATGACAGATACAAATGAAATAGCAAATGCTTTCTCCAAACATTTTGCAACAGTAGCCAACGCCTTAAAGGCCAAAACGCTATTACTGAGAAATTTTATCTGGATGCCACAGAAGAGCTTTGCTTCCACCGAGGAAAAACACTTCCGCTTCCAATCAGTCAATCCAATCCAAGTCTATAATGAGTTGAATCGTCTTAAACGAAAGAAAGCAGTGGGTGTCGATAATTTTCCATCTGGAATGATAAAAGACGCGGCATCTTTTGTAGCTGAACCACTGACCTACATCATCAACATGTCTATTGAAACAGGTTTGGTACCATCCGACTGGAAAATAGCAAAAGTTATTCCGGTGTTTAAATCAGGAAGCAAATCAGACTTGGATAATTATAGACCCATATCAATTTTACCAATTCTGTCGAAATTGTTGGAAAAGTTCATTCACAAACAGCTGCTTGACCATTTGGAAAAGAATTGTATGCTGTTCAACTTTCAATTTGGTTTCCGTTCCAAGCGCTCAACAGAATTAGCAGTGACACTCTTGACTGATCATATACGAAAGGAAGCTGACAACGGCTCCCTCACAGGGGCCATCTTCATCGATCTGTCAAAAGCTTTTGACACGGTCAGTCATTCAAGCCTTCTAAACAAGCTGCCTTCCTTTGGGATTCATGGTACTGAGTTAAACTGGTTCACTGACTACTTGTTTAACCGGAGCCAGTTTGTTCAAAGTAATGGATGTGCCTCTGATATCACGCCAGTATTTTGTGGAGTACCACAAGGATCGATTATTGGTCCTCTGTTGTTTATAATGCATTTTAATGCGGCTCACACTGTTCTACAGAATTCTAAAATCATAACATACGCTGATGATACAGTAATATTTGTGTCAGGCAGTTCCATAGATGAAATTGAAGGCAAGCTAAATAATGACCTGGGACACCTAAAAGCCTGGTTCGATGAAAAGGAACTACTGATAAACTTGAAAAAGGGAAAAACAGAATCAATGATCTTTGGCACAGCTAAACGACTAGGTAAAACAGAGAAGAAGGAGATGAAAGTTGAAATAAATGAAACATCGATTGCAGGGACTTTAAGTTACAAGTATCTTGGAGTGCATCTAGATCAATCATTGAACTTTGCAACTCACTTTGACAAGGTTTTTAAAAAAGCTACAGGAAGATTAAATTTGCTTCGACGCATTAGGAGCTCCATTGACTCTGCGAGCGCTGAAAAGATCTATCGCACCATGATAATGCCTGTTTTTGGATATTGTGGTACGCTGTCCCTCGGTTGGTCTACATCATACAAGAAAAGAATTGAAAGTCTTGAGAGTAGAAGCCTTGATGTTATTAAATCGACCAAGGTTACGTCTGTCAGCTTGCGTGTGCCCAGTATCAATGCAGGAGTGAAAAAGAGGTCCTGTAATTTGGTGTTTGATACCTTACAAGGCAATGTTTGTGATGCAATGACAGATTACTTCGTTATAAATGCTCATGGGAAAAATACTAGAAACGACAAACATCTAGTCAAGTTGCCTCAAGTGAAAACAGAATTTGGACGCAAAGGTTTTTACTATCAGGCAGGAAAGGAATTTAATGACCTGCCACTAAGTGCAAGAAAGATTAAATCTAGAACTATTTTTAGACGATTTTTAGAAACTCATTTTAATTGATGTAAAATTATTTTATCTTTAGATTGGACTATATTGAACTTTTGTAATCCGTTTTTCGTTAGATCTTACCATTAATTTATTAAGTATCAGGACCCTAATGATAACAGTACATATTGTACTGATAGGTTATCCTGTTTAAAAAAAAAATATTCGATTTATTATTATTATTATTATTATTATTATAATGAGCTTGGAGGGAAGGAGTTCATCAACACCATCTGTTTATGGCCGATCCGAGCAAAGGGGACTCATGACTTGATTAACGTAGGTTAATGCCTGGCAACAAATATGGTTTTTTATAAACTGCAGTTAGTGCTAGCTCTGTATCACAAAACGCCTTGCAAGTATTTTTAGTTCATATAAGCATATCATTCAAAGTGCAACTCATGCATTAATGAACACTAATTTGTAATCGTCTAGTACGGTCCATTCCCTGCCTTTTTTCACCAAAGATTGAAATTGGCTAATATAGGATAGAGATTCAGAACATGTTCAAAATGGGGAAACAAGAGAGAATGCAGCAGACTTTGTTAAAACTTTCACTTAATGCCCTAAAGTTGGGGTGTGGGGGTGTGGTTTTGAGAGATGGGTTTTTGTCTCTAAAGATTTGATACATTTGCTGAAAAAGCTCTTCGAATAGATTATCTCTCCTTTAACCTACTTGCCTCTCCAATATTTCCAATAGTAAATTCAAGGATTTCTGTAAAGGACCAACATGAATAGATATTTGTGCGCAGTTTATTACGAATATTATGTCCATCATTCGCTATTCAGGTTGGTGACACCTGAAAAAACCTTATATCAATGCTAAGCTAACTAATTTTGACCCAATTTTATTGCTCATTGTTTTTGGATTCTGCAATTTTCAAGTGCACTTTAAAGACCACTTATAATTACTTGTTTGTGTACCAGTAAATCTTGAATAAACTGGTATTCTTGTCGATAGGTTTTAATGGGAAGGATGTATGCTATTCTAGCTGTTGAATTTTTTTTCTTTCAGAGAACCTTAGGGAAACTACTAAACATGTTCTGAATATTTTTGAAGTCTACAATATTCCTTATTGGCTGGAGGTAAATTATCCTATAATGCAATCCTTAGCATACACTAATGTGCAGAAAAACACCTCTTTTAATTCAGTTTTTATAATTTTTGTATAGAGTCAAAAGTGCTTCATATTTAAAAAATGCGTGCCACCCACGTTATAAGATGCTGTTTTTGAAGTGGATCTAATTATCTTCGGTGTTAGCAGTAAAGTCTTTTTAGATAATTTTCCAGATTATCAAATTATTCAGAATCCCTGAAATCTTCTTTATCCCAAAAAATATGAAATTTTAGCCGCTATTTAAGCTTTCTGATTAGTTATTCACAAATTAAGACACATGGAGCCATCACTTTATCTTGTATTTTCAATCTTTTTAGTTCAAATAGAATTTGGTCAGTAATGTTCTTGAAGTTAACATCCATATGTGCTTTAAACCAATTTCCGTTCCTTTTCAATAATTTCCCGTTTGCAGCTTTGTATTTTTCAATAACGTTTCATCTTTGCCTCTTTTAATGGCACACCATTAAAGGAGCTTAGCTGCTTATGCTGAGTTTATTAAAAATTAGAAAACTATTTTCTATCTAAAGCTAGCTAAATTTGTAAAATTTTCTTTCTTGTGTTTTCCCTGAAAATCAGTTTTTATGCTGACGTGCCTATCTAACTGAAGTTGTAGAAATTATATTGCTAAAAGGTTTAAAAAGACTTAGTTATCTGCGTTAGGTAGCTAAAATTGGGCTGCAAGTTGCATTCCAGCACATAGATTATTCACTAAGTAATGTTCACCCCTGTAGCTCCTAGAGCAGGATTAAAGCCACTGAAGTTTGAAACCGGTGGACTCCAGGTTGGGCTCCACAATCGCTTGGCCAGCCCACCGATGTTTCGAACGTCGGAGCGCATTTAAATAACACGGTGTTAAAGATGACTCATCTCTTATACCTCGGAATTAAGTAATTTTCCTAAAAATTATCGCACCACATCTTTCGTATTTTCTATCTTTTCTAAAAAGTCAACAGTATTTAATAACATTAGCTGTGTTTATATGAAGATATTGCACACATAGGAACATTACTTTTAAACGGTTGAGTTATGGGGGGGGGTGTTTTTATTGGGGGTGTCTTTATGGGGGGGGGTGTTTGGATGAGTCTACCTGATTTTTGTAAAAGCGCCTTTTTGCTGGAAATGATTTTATCTGTTTGTAAATATATTTTCAATAAAGAATTTAAATATTTATCAATAATTATGATCTCTCTCTGCAGCAAAAACGGGGCAAAAACTGTGATATTGTTTTAATTTTTTTTCTGGCATATCTTTTCGCCTGTTTTGCTTCTGGCATATCTTTTTAGCCTTTTGATTGGGCTGAGCGACCGTTCGTTTTACGCAACAGATGGTGCTGCAGTGATAAAAAGCTTGTGGAGTCTTTTTTACAGCTTGATTATGACGTATCTTTTCTCGGACTGTAAAACAATCTTTGCTGCAGTGCAACTCGACTGTGGAATTTCTTTTTCTGCTTCTAGACCCCTATGTTGGTCTTTTCGGGTGTGTAGTGCTAGGCTTAGCCCCCCTCCCCTTTGTTGATGCCGAAAATTGGGAAATTTCTACTTTTTGCTATTGTTTTTTTGCAACATTTTGTGCAAGAGCTCCTGAAGTGAATTCTCTCCTGGCCGCGTGAAGAATCTACCATGAATCAAACTCTTCGTCTGACGTTTTTCGAATTTTCTTTGAACAAAACAAAACATATCATATTTAATTTACAAAGTACCAAAAGTTCGTTCGTAGTTCAGTTTTTCCTCTTCCTCTGTCTCCTCGTGTCTCTAAAAGTCCCGGATGCACCCCCGTAGCGTCCAATATTTCCTATACCCCCCTTGTTATTTGGTAGCACTACACCACTGCTCTTCGTTATACCACAGAATAGGAATTAGGCAGAAGGGGAACTCCTGCCTATCAGGTGAAGCCTGAAAAAACTTGCGCATGCGTTAACTTATACGAGGCTTAGCATGTATCTGTCGCGGATATTTTAAAAAAGAATGAAAGTAGACAACTTTATTTGAAACGAAATGCCCCATGATAGTGAACAAATTGAATTATGTATCATAATTCGTTTATATCTGATTAATGAATGATAATTTGTCATGACTAAGTTCGTCTAATGAAATCGAGGTTAAAAGGGAATTAAGGAATTCTATTGTTGACTCAGGTTTCAAAAGCAACAAGGGAATCGACAAGAGTTACCCTTCTGCCTATTTCCTATTCTTTGGTTATACACTCTCTTTGCATGTTCGAAGAAGACTGCCAGCTCGTTGTTTAAAACCATACAAAAGACAAGCTCAGCTTGTCAGTAAAACTAAGAAAAAATTGTTTGATACCAACTATAGCATTGTTGCACTGGGCGTCGTCCCACAGCCTTGTGCCGACAGAGATCTGGGATTATATTTGTTTTTAAGTAGTGTACCCAGATGAAAGGGGCGTTTATCAGTACAGGCTTGCTGTACTGTTTATTCATATAAATCTTCATATAGAGTGTGTCATATATTTAATTACATTAACTATTAAATGCTTCATAAACAAGAAACGGTTGCCAAATCTTTGGTTCATTTTGTCCTTGGTCTTCCTGATTTGAATTTTATCTGGCAATGCATAAGCTTCTACCTGAATAATTGCTGAACGGCATAGTTGAGGAGTGTCATATACCCCCACACACCCCCCCCCCTCGCCCCTCGGTCGAACGTTCCTGCTCCTAGCGTACATGCAAATGCGTGTATGTATATCAGGGTTGTCATTAATTTTTTAAGTAGAAGGCTCTCATTAAAAAGTAGGTGGCTATAAGTTTACTAAAATTTGCGCAGTCTTACTAAAGTGAGGGTGAAAGTAGGCGGCAAATGTCAGTTAATAAGCGGCGGACGTTCGCCAGTTGCCGGCTTCTAATGAAATCCCTGGTATATATTTACAGGGTGGCAGTCTTTTAGGAGCTGCTCGAAGTGGCGACATTATACCATGGGACTACGACGTGGACATTGGAATGTACCGAAAAGATATTTCAAAAGTACGTTACCATCATATATAGACATGGTAAAGCAAATGTTCATCTTGATTTTTTCTTTCGCATATCGGAAGCTATATTGTCCCTTATATTGGCTGTAAGTTTCAAATTTTGCTTTGTTTATTTAGATGGACCTTTCTAAATATGGGGAGACGTTGTGTTAGTAGGACTCTTGGCTGTTTTCTAGGGATGTTGTAGTTCACTACTATGCTTTTTTGATGGTCTATGGTGGTCTACTTTTTATCTTTTTACCATATAGTTTTTATCATCTTTACAAGCTATTTACGACTTTCATGTTTATTGTTTTAGATACCAAATTTAAAAAAGGCCGAAGAAGGAAAGAAGGTTGTTGACGAATACGGTTTCGTTTGGGAGAAGAGCAGAGAAGGGGATTTCTATAGGGTGCAGTTCAGTGTGAATAACCATATGCATGTTGGTGAGAGATTGGCTCGAATGTGTTAAATAGAGCACTTTTTAATACGTTCACGGTTTTCGCCAACGTGCCACAAATGTTGTGGCGAAGACGTGTTGTGGCATGTAGCATTTCTTTGATTCCATCTCAACGCAAAGTAGCATAGCTATCGAGCGGCCTTTATTGTGGACTGTTTTATGCACATAATCATCATCGTCATCATCATCATCTCAGCCTGTTCACGCCACTGCTGGCGGATGGCCTCCACAGCTGTCTCCACGCTCTTCGATCTTGTGCCACATGAGTCCACGGGCTGCCAACTTTCTTCTCTATCTCATCTCTCCATCGTCTTTTCGGCCTTCCTCTTCTTCGTCTTCCATTTCTCGGGGTCCATTCTGTAGTTATCTTTGCCCATCTGTTGTTGCTCATTCTGGCAAGGTGTCCCGCCCACTGACCTATCATCCTATATACTTTCTCTGTAATGGCTTTCACTTTTGTCTTTGATCTTATGACTTCATGCCTGATCTTGTCTTTTAACGTTATAATCAGCATTGATCTCTCCATGCTTTTCTGAGTCACAGCGAGTTTCTCTCTCTGATGTTTCGTGAGGGACCATGTCTCTGCTCTGTATGTCATCGCTGGTAGTATTGCAGTGTCCATGATCTTTCTTTTCAAGCATATAGGCATTTTCTGGTCTTTCAGGAAGGTGCTGTACTGCCCAAACCGTCTCCACCCTGATGTTATCCTCTGATTATTTTCTTTTGAAATCGAATTAAAGTTGCATATGCACATAATATGCAACTTTAATTTCGAGCAATGTGTATTGTCTGTTAACTTCTGGCGCTTTATTCACACAGTACTTTTTTCCGTAGATATCTTTCCATTTTACGAAAAAAACGGAATCATGACAAAAGATACATGGTTTAAGACTCACAGACAAGACACTGAATTCCCCGCGAAGTATTTGCAACCGTTAGAGCGAATGCGTAAGTTTATGTCGGTTATTGCTTAAGTGACGTCCGAACAAATGAACTTGAGTTTAATCTAGCAGATATTACAAACCTAACTGTAGCTATTAACACGTACGAGGAGGAGCTTTTTGCTAGAATTGGCGTGTTCCAATAAATGACATCGACCCAGCTATGATATTTAAGATTTTTAAAATCTATTCATGACACCGCTTTGTAATGTCTTTCCCAATTTTCGCTCTTTTGGTGGATCTGATATCAGCCAAAGATTAAAGGCGATAAACCAAATATCACTTGGGTCTTCCTCTTCGCTCCTTAGCATTAATGCTCCCTGGAGGAAAAAGTGGATACGTCCTGATCTTGCACTATGGATTAATCCCAAAATAAGGAAGGTGATAAAGAAAAGATATAGGGCAAAGAAAGATGCGATTAATTCTCCTGATCTGTTGTAGGCATATAAGAAACTTCGTAAGAAAGGGACTGAAGCAATACGAGGTGCCTTGCAGTCGTACTTTCTTAGCCTCAGAGATCAGAATAAAGAAAATTCAAAACGTATGTGGATGGCTGCAAATAAAGTATTTAATAGACTGGGGTTTGTGGCCTCGAAATTGAAGGGGAAAACTTACCAAAGAAAAAGGACATAGCCGAAGCTCTTAATCAACACTTTGGTAGAAAACTAGCTGAAAAGCTGGTATCAACGAAGAATGATCATCTTACTAAAATCAACGCCCATATTAATAACTTAATTTTAAGTTGATGGACAATACTTTTGTATTGCACGCATTATCCAAGTCAAAGAACAGGAAAGCACAAGGACCTGATAAGATGTCCACAAACTAGCAAAGGATTCAGGGATTTCATCTAGAAGCCACTGACTTATGATGTACAACTCGTGTGCAATGTAGCGCGATGTTTGAAAAAGAACTGATTTCAGACTTGTTTCGGGGTCACTAATAAAGAGGGAAATACCCACATTTGCTCCCTGTGCAAATCTATCTGTAACCATGTCAGTAAATTCTTTATTTAGGATTTCTAGATTATACTTCCTTGCTATCTTGTTCAGCTTAAGCCACTTTTTAAATTTGAAGAATTTCGCTTTAACGAAAAATCTAAGGAAATATCCTATAGGTAAGATGCGTCAATTTTGCAACATTATTTACTCTGATGAAGCCCTTTATGCCGGGGCGAAATATTAGTATTCGTTAAATTTATTTTATTTTGAAAATTCTGTCTCATTACATTGGATTCTCGTCGTCGTATTGCTTTGTTCCTTTATATCTTTAGTATTGTTACTCATTACAAGATTCACAGATCCTGCCTATCCTGCGGCTCTCCCTTCTTACACAATTTGGCAACAGTTTGTTCATTTTGTGCTCCGTTTGTGTCTAGGTTTCGTGGGTATGGATGTTCTGGTGCCGAATAATTACAGAAAGTTCTTGGAGTTCAAGTTTGGTCAAGGAGTTATTGAAAACCCAAAGTATCCGGATTCTAGAAAGGTTTAGGTTGATACGGTGAGCTTTTGCTTTTGTTTGAGAACGAAAAGTCATAGCATCATTAAAATATATCAATTGCGCTATGAATGTCTATAAGCTATAATTCTTAATCGCATTTTTCTGGAAATGCTACAGAAATGCTAAATGAGCATAAAGAAAATTGGGTATTGCTCTGCCCTCGAATTTGAACGAGAAATTATATTTTTAGAACAGCTTCATTTCTAATTTTTTGTAAACCAAATTTAAGAATTGCTCACTATCTTATAAGATTTTAGGATGTGAAATTGAAAAATATGACATATGTTCCTTAGGATATTTCATACTTTACTCGAATTTCTCAGTTTCTCAGCCTGATTTCTTTTAATATCTCAGCCTAAGAATCTCAATTTCCGTCACCACTTACAAAAATAAGCTTATCCTTTGAATTTTTCTCAATAATTGTTCTATTTTGCTAAGTTATGGTTTAGTCAACAAAATGAATGAATGGTATCTTAAACCCTTCATTAGTTAAATTTAAACACAATGTTATAATTATAATTATTCAATTATTTCAACTTGCATTACATTTACAATTGTTAATTTTTCTTAGATTTTTTTCAATTAATTTAGAATTTGAGCACTGTTTTATATTGAAGTATAACTGGCTGTGTCAATAACAGAAACTCGTAGCTAAAATCACGCGTTATAATTGTCTCACGGGAAGACTTTTCATTCTTCTAGAACTGATGTTACCAAAGTTGACTCTCAACCCGATGAAACATCGTTGTACAAGGACCCAAGTGCGTCTTTGAATTGTACTAGCTCTTGCTCTATCTTTGCTGAAATGAATAAATGACATGATTTTCATACACAACAAGACCCCTGGGAAAAGTTCTAAATACATCTTATAGAAAATTATAAGTTTTCTTTTTCAAAATAAAAAAGTTGAAGCCCCTGCCCCAGAACATTTTGCAACGAAGTATGGGATAGGGTCGTATTGCACAAACATGACTGATTTCAAAGTTGTTGCCAGGCAGCATTTTGAGGAGGGAGAGAAGAATACCACTGGAACTGTGTACAAATATATGGTAGTTTACTGTGTACTCTGACATACATTGTAATTCTTAAGTTTTGTCATGTTATATTTCACTATATTCTTAAAAATTCTCGAATTTTTTTATGATGGCATATTGATGGCAATTGAAAGAATTGCTCCAAGCATGTATGATGCTTTACACTGTGTGGGAATAGTATAAAAATTTCGAACATTATTAAGATGTGAATGTATGAAAACTTAGGTCTTCTCCTTCTTGTATCTTGCCAGCTTTGAGCTAAACCCTTGTTTGTGCCGTTCTGCAAAGTCAAAACGGACGTTTCCCGTGGTTTCTAAGCATTGATCATAGTTTCATTTTAATGTCTTCCACTTTCTTTCGTCAGCACTTTAAACATCCTTCTTAACCAATAATCTAGTTGATGATTCTGATTATAATGTGAATGATTCATGTTCGTACTTATCCTGTCCAATGTTGTGTATAAATCTTGCAGTTTCTCTTGCATTATGTTGCCTGTCGTGCTGTAACTTTGAAACAGGGATCTTTCTAATGCTGAATTGCATTTCTCCAAAAGCAACTCCATCGTTTTCTTAAACTCTGTAGGTAGAAATATTAAACACTTTTCACGAAAGTTCTTAACTTTTGTGTTATATTTGTTTCTACATCTAAGTATTAATTGAGATTAGTGATATGATGCACTGAACGTACAAGATGGTAGCTGATTTGACGATTTGTTGATCTAAAAAGCAAGCACTAATTAGGCCACATCAAATACTTATTTGGCCATAATCGACAAAACTTGAAACTCGTGCCGAGAATAATGGCAATGTTCATCTTTTTCGCTATAATTGTCCTAATTCGCTATAATTTTCGCTATATAACTGTTTTTCCCCTCCACATGGGTCATATACCATTGATCAAAATACCTGGTGGAGATTTTCAAGAAAAGTTTATTTTTTCTCTGCCGATTGAAAAGTAACATTTCCCACACCTGTTTCAAATAAAAAATGAACTTCTAATCCAACATTGATTAGAGAGGAGTTAATATTTATAAGGGCGACTTAAAGAAGATATTTTGGAATATTGTATTGTATTCAATATTTTTTTCTGGTATTTTGGAAATTAATCTAAGTCTTGCCTGGGACGGTAGGATATGAAAGTGACTTTTGAGGCATCTATGTTTCTTATTGATGCTGTTGTCTAGACATTGACTTGGCATTGTTGTATAATGTCTACTAGATGTTTGCCTTAGAACTATATTATTCTAAAGTCAATCGATTAAATTCTTATTATTTAATTTAATTTTAATATGTACGCCAATTTTTTCTTGGTACAGCGAAGGTTATGTTTATAGGCAAAAGTATATAGTTTATAGGCATACTTCAAATCTTGAATTATGACATGATAATTACACAACTATGAATAAAAACGGCGTCTTGAAAATTACCTGTCAACAGCATAGAATCATTTTTCCTTTTGTCATTGATTTCTGCTATCAAGGATTGTGCTTGATCAAAGAGTTGGTCGGAAGATGTGCTCACTATTGGCTTCTTGCTATTTTTCTTGTGTTTCTTGGTTTTAATATCTTTTTGCTCTTCCGTCGATTCCTTTTGTTCTCTATTTTCAATAATTTAGAAATTATAATTAGCTTGCCAACTATAATTTCAACTAAAATTTAGTGCCAGTTAAAGTTGCAATGAGTCATGGGGTTTTGTGCCCGATTCGCCTTCTACAATATTTTGGTTTGGGGGCAGAACCTCTTGATGTATGTTTGGGGGCTGCACCTGAACATCTTAATTTTTTTTATAAATCTCTTAATAAGCCATCTCCTTCATGCTTTCATGATTACTTTCAGACAAATTCATCTGTTCATAGAATTGAGACTCGCCAGGCTACAAGAGGCGATCTTTTTAAGTCTGTTAAAAATACTACAATGTACGGTCTTCAAACAATTCAGTACTTTGGTTCAAAACTTTGGAACACTCTTCCACTATTTATACGTGTTGCTAGCTCTGCTGTGGTTTTTCGCTCAAAATTAAAAAGTTACCTTCTTGATTCATATTAACAAAACTAAACTTTAATTAAACACATATGATCTATCCCATGATACTCATCTGGTTCTTGGTTAATATGTACTGCCTTTGTTCTTAAATAATTTTTGGTTCTTTGTTTTTTACGGGGGGAGGGGTGGAGGGGGGGCTCTCTCTCGATTAGTTTACCTACTTAGAGGGCTCCATCCAATCACGTAAAGTAATTTTTTTCATTTGTTTTTAAAATTGTTAGTTTTTAGTTCTTAGTGTTGTAATGCGTCTTAGTTGTAGAGTTTGAATTGTATTTAGGATTGATTGATAATGAATGAAATGAAATGAAATGAAATGTATTAAACCTGTCTTTACCGTGCATGCCAAAAAGTAAGTGAAGCAATTTTCTTCAAGAGTTTTAGTTTTAAGGACTATGGGGCTGCTGACCGGCGGGGTAACATCGCAGTTAACTATGGTCAAAGGCTTATTAAAAACGTTTCATGCTTACGGGCTATGCTTACGTGCATGAACCAAGCTTTCCTACTGCTGACTTGGAGGCATAAAAATGCCGGGTGCTGGGGATGACACACCCTCTTATCTTTAAAAATATTTGAATAAGTAGGGAAAACTAGGAAGTAGTTGAAAAATCCTAACTCCAGTGCTTATTTACGTTAGAAAATAATATTACATAACGCTATTGACAAGAATTCTCTCGATTTAGATAGGCAATGACAAGACCCTAAAATGATAAGTGTCTGTAAGTAAAGGCTTGATAAAGTTTTATTACGAAATGAAAAATTATCGTCAGTCGGAAATGTCCTACCCTTTACCCTCCCAATGATCAATTTGCGCCCCAGCTGAATTGAAGGGAGCAATGCTAGCCACGATTCCAAAAGCCATGTATTAATTGTCCTGTTTGAATTCAGTTATACTTTCTTTAGGTTTTGAATACTTACCTCTTTTTGTCGCGTGGAATTGGTGGAGCTTCATCATTCTCGTAAGCCACAATACTCTCTGAATTATGTTGCTTGTCCATTATTCTTTGCTAAGTATCTTTAATTTCTGTTTGTGCTTTAGCGGTTACCGAAAAATCACAATCACAAATTAAATGTTCGGTAACAATTTGAATTTAAAGAATACGTACAAAAATTGCCAGACAAACTTGCCGTTTTTGCTTTTGTTGAGAAGCTTCTCGTATTTACGTGCATGACGTGAGAAATTTAATCTTGGCGGGAAATCAAGTCTAGTTCCAGACCTCTAAGGCTATGATGAAGTGTAATTGAAAAGCTCGTGAAATATTACAGTATGATACAGAAGTCTAGGTTTATCAGCAAAGTTTTGTTTGTTTTGCCAGGAGCTCAAACGTAAATTGCAAAGTATGGGAGACAATTAAAGACCAAAATGCATGAAATTTGGAGGCAATGCCCCAGCGACCCCCTTCTTCCTCGGAGGCTGTGATTGCGTTGAGAAAATTATTCTAACAAAATTTCTTTTTGCAATCTACGAAATCTTTGTATCATGCAGTTACATTACACAGGGTTTGTATCATAGAATTGCAATTTTCTTCAAAAACTATATTTGAGTTTTCATTTACTATTCTTGAGTAATGACAACTTGTACCTAATCCAGTCTTAATCTGGGAAATTTCAAATGAATACCGAACATTCTTTAATGGTATTGACTTAAAACCTTAACAACTTGGTAATTTTGACTCCCGTTGAATGAAAATTTGAAACGTGATATTCACGATAAACTAGAATGCTAAGAATAGGAATTTGAAGGGTGTTTGTATTTCGATTTCAAAAAAGCATTTTTTAGGAGAGGCGCGAGTAAAGGGAATTCTCTTAGTTGTTTGTTTAAGGCACTTTCTAATGCCAAAGTGAAATATCAGATTTTGAAGATAGGAAATCTTTATTTTAAAATATAATTTTAAAAAACGAAGTCTTTGAATATCACTGCTTAACAATTACAACATGTTAAAATTGTGATCTCTGCGAGATTTTTAGATCTACTGAGATTTACTGCACATCTATTTGGCGTAAACTCGTAAGATTTTTAGTTTTTTTTAATTTTTTTTTTAAATATTACAGAAGGATTTTAACCTTTTGACACTTTAAAATAATTCCTTGGAGTGTTGGCTCATACACTCTTTTTTATAAGAACACACTTTATAAGAACACCGAGGCTCGACTTGCCTAAAAAATAAGAACAAGGTGTAACATGCTCAGCCTCAGATGAAAAACTTAAAAAGAAAACAGTTGAATAGTAAAACTATGCAATTTGTAAACATTAAAACATCTTTCAATTCTGGTCTGTGAAATGTTACTGCAAAATCACTTCTATACCATCATATTTGCAAAAAATCACTCTTAAAATAAAAACAATTTTAAAAACATTTGAGTTTAAAATTACCGAAAAGTTGAAAACTTCGAGGATCAGCAAAAATTATCTGGTTCTTATAAAAAACCCTGTCTGGACCACAGGCTAATGGGTCACATGATAGAGTTAATTACTCACAGAAGGGGTGAGTGTATTTCAAAACATATAGATAGTGTGAAAATGACAGTAAGAGTTGTTTTGCTTTGTGATAAAACAAAAATAAATAAAAAATTCAAGTCTTAATGAAGCTTACGCCTTCCATTATTGTTAAATTTTAGTGATTTTGAGCCTAAGTGTTCTTGTAGACTATTGTTAGAACACAGGGTTCCCATTCATTGCAGGACATCACATGACAATTGCATCATTGCGCTGCAATTGCATCAGCTTCTGTAAATTGTACTATAGAGTTCTAAAGTGATGACGTCACAAAAATCTAGTTTTAGAATTTTTTAATTTGGATCCCATAACCTGAAAGGGCATCATGAAATACCGCTAAATGTGCAAAAACAGGCAAGTGTGTTACGAATTGGCAGAGATATGGCCACATGTTTATTGGTTCGCTCCTCATCAAACCTCTGTATTTTGGTCGCTGTTCATAACTTTATGAACAGAGCCAAAATAACAGTGATTCGTTAGCAAACTTCAAATCTTTCATTAGCCATATCTCAACTTATTTCAGACATATCTGGGTAATTTCGCATATTTGAAAGTATTTCATGGTGATCTTTTACGCTATGTGATTAAAATTCAAAAATTGTAAAAATAGGTTTTTGATGACGTCACACTTTAGAACTCTATTCTTAGGGTATAGTTAGGTTGAGTCTTGCCGTAAGCTTTGTCGAACTCAGTGTACCTTGTAGCTAGCTTGCAGAATTGTGTTTGCCGTTACATTTTCGCCGTTAGCCATTTAAGATATTAAGAAAAAAGATATAAGCCCCTTTACGCCTTTACGCCCTGTAAGCCCTCGGAGAGAAAGGATTGCATCCATGTTGTTGTTGTTTCGATTTGCTGTTGTGTTGTGATTGCTTATGTAGCAATCCAACGGGACAGAAAGTCGCCTAATTTTCAAGGTTTTTATCCCCAAAAAATGGGGCTTTTCGACCTTTTATATCTGTTTATATGAAAGTGCATTCATTGTGGCAGATTATGAGAAAGAAAAGCGGAATACATCTATTTGAGGTGGAGAAAAGCAGATTCACGTGAGAACTAAGAAAGGAGTAAATCACATCACGTATAAAAGGAAATCTTAGGAATATGGAGAAAATTCAAAGATTAGTCAGATCTTTAAGGACTGCAAGGGCTGCAGACCTACCAACAGGTGAGTATAAAGTTCAGGCAGTTTTTTTGTAATGATACTATGGAACCCTCATGTATCGGCCGAAATCTCAATGATGTGGAATTAACCAAGAGGACTTGGCTTGCCTTGTAGATATCGAGGGACTTAGGGTGTGAAAACAGATTTCTTTTATGGAAAGCTTAAAGAAGGATTCGCACAGTAAATTTAATCAATCTAAGTTTTTTTGTGAATGTATCCTGTCTGACTATAATTTTTCTAAAACAAAAACACTCACACCCGTTCCGTAGGCTTATCTACCAATCTTAACTTGTCAGTATGAAAACATACCGAACTAATGATCGTTCCTCTCCGCGTACAACTTCCTTACTCCAAAGTTTGAACAAATAACGAATTTTGTATTTGTTATTTCTATTCTATTAATTTCAGTCTTATTTCAAGCTGAAATACTGCGAGTCACAGTATAATTTAAAATTGAGATTTGAAACAATAATGTTTTCAATTGTATTCCAGATCCTCAGGCAGCTATCTCGACTCTACTGCCCCTGATTATGAGAAATGACCACAAGTAAGCTTCTTGTTAGATATTTCATATACATATCCAGTTGAGTCAAAACGGAATTCACATTGGGTGGGGTGAGGGGGTTGGGGGGGGGGTGGCATAACTTTAATTTAGATAAGCTTAAAAATATAGTGCCTATTTCACTTTGCTTTAAAGTGCATTTGTTATAGGAGGTATTAAAAAGAGAGGGTTTTTTGAAATGATGTTCCTGTTACTCTTGTGTTTATCAGGAATCCATTTAGCTTTTTAATTATTTCTACTTCTTTAAGTAATTCCCTTCATACAGTTTATTTTAAATTGGTTTCAAAAAGCAAACATTTTAGTAAACTAAAGTACAGCTAAAACATGCATTTCTGCTATCGGGCAGCATTTACTGGAATACCCAGATTGTGCAAAACTGGGTATTTTGATCTACAACTGGGTGTATATATTTCCTAGTGTAGAGTTTTTGATCTATGTTCTGACGTGCAGAACTCTTCAAAGAGTGTAAGACAAAAACCTTTATTTTAATCAAATATTTGCTTTATTCAAAGCCATTTTCAAGTTTTGTACCACCAAAAGATTGTTTACAGTTTATTTTCTTGTACTTACACATTGTCTTGTTTTGTTTTGTATCAGTTATGTAAGTAGTTTTGTACTTCAGATTGTATTAATTACGACAGTTCAATTTTTCTGTAATATTGCTCTTTTTTATTCTAGTTTAGTTTAATAGTTTGTTTGTATTGCTAATATATAAAATTTTATGTTGAGAGTATGAAACAGTTTAAGTTTAAGTAACTTCACAATACAAACTTTGTCTATCATCAATCAATGAATTGTATTAATCTTTCAGAACAGTAGCAGAGCTACTATTGTCATCAGATTTTGATGTGAATTACAGAATAAGAGCTGAGAGGACCCTTCTGCACATAGCAGCAAAGTAAATATATAAAGATTCTTCAAAATTATATTTTTTATAAAAGTAAGCAATTATTTGTTACAGGTTACTATGCTGTAAACTGTGTATTATATTTTCACAAGATAACTTCTTGGGTTGGGAAGTGTGGGTAGGCCCCACACCAAGTTCCAAAGAATAGCTCGAAAAGTAATAAATCCGTTTGTATAGGTTCAAGGCTCCGATTTTCCAAAACAACTATAACTATATACACGATAATGACTATATACACAATAATAAGTAAATTTTTTTCTGTAAGATATTAAATCAGTGATACTAGGCTCACAACTCCCCTTGGAAAACATAAACAAGCATATATACAAGCATATATTGGTCTATTATAAAAATGTCAATCAGGATTAAAACACTGGTTATAAAAGTCAAGGAGTATTTTAATGATTACACAGTTTCTTGACAAACTGTTCGCTTGTTTCAACCCCATCTTTAAATATCTGGCAATCAGGACAATCTAGCATGGATACGGTTTTGGCTGGAATTTTTTATGAAATCTGGTCAGCTACCAAGTTTGAGATGGATTTCAGGTTGCTCTTTGGGTTCTTAAGATTGTTCTTAAGCTGACCTATCTTTTAGAAATGATACATTTAGTGCACCTTTTAGGAAGTTTGAGGAGACCAAGTACAAGTGCAGTTTGTACCCCTTTTCACCTTTTTGTGCTAAATGATTGTTTTATCTAATTGTTTTAGTGTTTTATCAGCCCATAATTCTTATGATTTGTTAGATTTGACCATGTATCACCCCATAGTGGTGAATGGATAATTTGACCAGTAGTTTTTAGAGAGTATTTTTAATGTTTTAGTGTTGGTGCATATGACTGTCTCGTCATCTTGATAAAGAAAGATGCTAATGTGGATTGCCAAGATAGATCAGGAGTGACACCATTGCAACTTGCTGCTAGAAATGGGTCAGTTTTTAATATATCTGCCAGTATAATAGAAACTTGTTTTCTACCATACTCTAATGTGTGTTCTAGCAGCACAAACTGGTATATTACAAACTGGTATATTATATATGGTAAACTGGTATATTGGTGCCTGCGAGCGAAAAGCTGAGTTAAAATTGTGCATGCAAATAAAATAGGTTGCAACTCATGGTCAGATATTGATAAATTGCGGATCTGCCTTTCTACTGGAGTACTGTGGTTATGCTCAGTGCTGTTACAGTAAGTAACCTTTGTCAAAATCAATACCATGTCATTATTATCATGAACTGAAACTGCATGGAAAATTGAACAGATGGCATAACAATTGCTGAGTGTGATATAAAATAGTGTGTGTCGTAAGAAAGGAAATGAAGTGATCCGGTTTTTGCCAGGCAGTCCAATTGGTATTATTGATTTCATCAAAGAAAGATATCTTCATTAAAGAGGACAATTATTATAACACCTCACATAAAACTAAACAGGCTCTTGGTTGTATTTACATTTACATCTTTTTCCAAAGTGAGGGTTTTTGGAATTTGATGTTCGCTTCGTTACCAAGAGCTGTAAGAATTTTGACATTACACTTCGTTTTTTCATTTCAAAGTTAAAAATTTTTGCCATGAAAGATTCTATTCCAAATAAGTACTGTTAAAGCTTCCCACTCAACATTGTGAATTAAAAGGAAATTCGGTACTCAGTTCTTTAGCTTTTGAGTTTTTCAGTCTTCTAAGATTTGATCATTTTAGGGATCATTTTGTTCTGGCTAAATCTTGGAGGTGTACCTCAAATTCAGGCAATTCTGTCTCAATGAAGCAATAATATTCAGGCAAGATCCTTAGAAGTCCCAATGAACACCTTTTGAAAAATATATGAGATTTTTAGAACAATCGGGTTTTTAAGGATCTTTTGGAGATTTTTCCTGAAAAAAGATATAATTGTCAATTGTGTGTGATATTTTTGCGGAGCTATAGGCCCCTTGAGGGAGTGTGTTTCTTCAGCCTTCTATATGAATAAGTTCTACAATTCATTTCATAATGCTCAGAGAAAAGTATGATTGATTAATTGTGAATGATCAGCGAATAAAGATAATAAAGAAATGTAACTAAATAAAGAGAATAGAGTGATGTCAAGACTGAGACAGGATGGAGCGCGAAAGAGACAAGCATGAAATCTGATATTGGCTATCAAGAATGAAACCGACACAATTAATTTAGTGATTTTCTGTTATTTGGGTATGATTCTAAAATGAAAATATAAATGGTTGATACAGAGATGCCTGCATAAAATAGGAGAACAAACTTTTGTGCCTGTGAGTGCGGCTCGTGCGCTCGTGCAGATTAATTATGTCTGGTTGCCTCTTGTTGCCTTTTCTATTTTGCTGATTTATTGTCTGAACTCATAGAGTGAGAATTTTTCAATTTTTTAGGCATACAAAATGTATTCATAAACTGCTTGAAAGTAAAGCAGATATTGGTATATGCAACAGCGATGGAATGACTGCTGTAAGTTTCAAGTATCTACTGAATTTCATTACATATATTGTATTGGGTTGCAACATCACAGAAAAGTGCAAAAAATTAAACCATATTTTGTACTTTGTTTGTCAAAGCATGTTTTGAATGAATTTGTGATCGTTACTTCATCTTAGTAAGAGCTGAAAAGGAAATTTAACCAGTTTGTAAATTTGATTTTTTAATGGGTTTTTCAGAATATTTCAAGCTATTAAATCTATTTCAGGAGAACCTCATCTTTCTAAAAAAGATTACTGTCCATCAATCTTTTATTTAGTGCTTGATGCCATATTTATGACGGGGTTAGAATAGGACATTTCTAAGTTTGAACTCAAGTTTCATACTTATTAGAATCGCGAGACAAATAAATATGTAAAACTAAGAGATGCAGCTTAGAATGATGTCATTTGTTTACAAATTTCAAGCCTTTTTGAGGGGGTAATCAAAAATTTTTATTGCTGGTGAGAGATTATGTTTGTCATGAAGGGAAGCATGGAATGTTGAACAAATGACGTTTTTGAAGACACACTTTAATGGATATAAAAGTGTCTTGTACCAGGGTTCTGGGCAGGTTATACAAGAAAACCAATGGTGCTCAGTAGTGAGACTTTGCATGTGTAATTGCTTTTCATTGTTTGTGTTGTTCTCTCTGTCAAAGCTCAATTATTTTTTGGGATTTGGGCAACCATTTGATGTGAGATATTTTCAACAAGATAGGAACACAAATAAGTTGAAAGTAGAGATGCATTGTTTGGCAACTTGTATGTTAATGTGAGCGGTTTCCCTATAACTTTTCAACAATTGGCTTATTTTTGAATAATTTTGCTTTTAGCTGTTGTGTCTTTAAGTTTAACTTTCTCTCTTTTATTGTTTTAAATGCATCTTCACAGCTACATTGGATTGCATCTAATGGAAGAACTGAGCTCCTTAATGCCATTTTGCCATTCATTAACAACATTGATATCAAGGTAACATCAAAGTATATCTTTTTAAGCTCTTAAAATATATTTTTATCAAAGAATGTCCTCATTGATAAGTTATTAATCAGTTTTTAATTCGTATTTTGATTCAAATTCTTTGCATCACTCAAAGTTGCAACTACCGAAAAAGCTCTATTAAGCCCTGGCGGGGGGGGGGGGGCTTATTTTCTTCATGGTCGATTGTGTCAAACGCTCTTTGTAGATATCTATTTATATCATGCCCGTAAACATACTATTTTGTCACTTCGATATGGTAAGCATGTGTCGGTTGAGTTGTAGGGACGAAAGCCAGATTGGTAACGATGGGGAATTTGGTTTTTATTGGGAGGTATTTTTGTATTTGCTCGTGGACATTTTTTCAATTTCTTGAAAAAATCTGCGACAGAAGTGATATTGGTCGATAATCAATAAATTTCACCAATGATTTGTAGGAAATTTACATCTTTGTGACCCATTGCATTTCACCTGATGCATCACAAAACCTTGAGTGCAACAAAATTGAAATAATTTCTGCAGTAAATCTCTAGTTGAAACCAATGTTGTAGTTTTTTAAGCCATCGATTCTTGACAGCTTAAATTGGCAAATTTTTTCGGTATTTTATTGTCACCCCAAATATTTTTCACATTTATTTAGGATGTTAACAGGCAAACGCCTCTGCATCTTGCATGTTTCACAGGGCATAAGTCGGTAAGTCTTTTGTTATTTTATTGTTTATTAATATACATAAGCAGGAACCGCGGAGCGTTGAGAAAAGTAGGGGGTCTAAAAAAGTTGGGGCGGGGGGCGCTAAAACCGTATAAAAAGAGGCTTTACTGGGAGTTTATTACTTAATATTTGGCATTTGTTGCAAAAAGGAGGGGAGCTTAAGCCCCCAAACCCCCTGCTCCACGGTGCCTAATAATTAATTATCCATCATTTGAATTATTGCAAACCCTTTTTTTAATCCAATATAAGCAAAATCTAGACTCCATTATTTGAAGTTGTATTGTTATATTAATTTTAACAACCTTTTATAACATTAAGTTGTAAAATCAAATTATTACAGCCCCTTCTCTGAAACCCTGTTCTCTGCATGTTAAATAGAACTTGCTGCAATAACACTTTCAATTCTTAGTATTGAAAAACTCTCAACCTACTTGAACTATTTGAAATTTAGTTGCAAATAGTTAAGTTAGGGTATTTTTCTCGTTGGCAGACAGTTCAAAAGCTCATGGAAAATAATGCTGATTTTGAGATGGTTGATGCAAGAGGATACACATCCTTGTTTTATGCCTGCAGGTAGGTTTTTAAACAATTGTATTTTTAGGTTTTCAAAGATTCTAATCATTGTTTGGTTTTGTAAGTTACATTTAGATCTACAGACGAAACAGGCAAATGCCATAGGTCCCTCTGTTAATGAAGTTTTCTTTTCAAAGGCACTTCGGAGTCCAACGAATTCCGCTGACTATCTAAATTCCCATTGGTTGAACTTTAGCTACAACAGTCTGTTGTTACGTTTTCCAATCGTCTGCACTGAATTTATTCTCGACCATTTCTTATTTTAAACACCCAACCTTTTGTCAACAAAACGAATGACTGACTGGACATGGTTCCTTCACGACTATATAATCGCATTAAAAATGGCCTAAATTTACTCAAGTTCGTGTTATTTTCCGTTAACTACTCAGATACATGGGTAAAGGATGGCAATTAAAGAAATCAAGAAGAATATCAAGTTATTCTAGCTATTGCCAAATCCGCACAGGTCGCGACAGGAAAACCTTTTATTTCTTCCAAACAAACGTCATTCGTCATTCTCAAATTTAGTATTATAATATATAATAATAATAAATAATTTGTTTAAAGTTGGCGTACTAAATGAACGGCTGATAGCTATAAAGAAGCTAATTAAGGCCAACTATCTATAAAGAGTTAGTGTGAAATAAAAATATATGATACAATATTAAAAAGGTTTAAGGTATAATGTTCTAAATAAAACCTAACCCAGCAATAAATTTTTTACACAATCTACAGTCGCATTCTATAGGGTGTGCTCTTAATTCTTTTTTAAATGTTGCCAATGATTGGGACTCTCTTATACTGTGAGGTAGTGTTTGCCACAGTTTTTGACCTAAATATCTCACAGTTTCTATACCATAAGAAGTTGTCCTGGCTTTTGGAATGCAAAGATTATTTTTAGTTCGCAAATCATAATGTACATTTCTTGTTTCAAAAATCTCACTCATGAAACTAGGGTTCAGGTTATGTTTGGTTTTGTATATTTCTATCATCAAGTACTGTAGATTGCGTTGGTGAATTGATACTGCATTATCCAAAGTCAGCAATGCTTCGTAGTCAGCATGACTGTCTTTATAAACAATGCTGAGTGCTCTTTCGTGGATTTTATTTACTTTAGCATTCAGACATCTGTCATGGAACATCCAAATTAGGGGGCAGTAACTAAACTGAGCTTTTATGAAGCTGTTCATTAGGAGACGCAGTTTATCAGAACCCATAAATGGCGAAACTCTAGCAAGAGCATGCAGTTTTTGGCTGGCTCTTTTGCATAAATTTGAGACGTGACTTTTGAAATTAAGATTTTTATCTATTATCACCCCTAGCAGTTTTTCTTCAGAGCTTTCTTCAACAATGGCCTCACCGATTTTGATCTTAAAGTCATCTTGATTTGTTCCAAAAGTAAGAAGATGACATTTCCCTGCATTCAATTTCATAAAGTTTTCTGGAAACCATTTTGATAAAATAAGAGCATCAGGTTCTAGCCGTTCTAAAACTTTATCTAATTGACAGTCAGCTGCAAAAATCGTAGTATCATCAGCAAAGTTACATACTGCAGTATCAGTTACCATTAAGAATAAATCATTAATATATAAATTAAAGAGAAGAGGCAGAAGGACTGATCCTTGTGGTACACCTGCAAAGGTTTCTCGCCAAGTGCTGAATGAACCATTTAATTTTACCCTTTGTCTTCTACCGGACAGGTAATTATAAATCAATAATTGAGCATCTTTACAAAAACCATAGGCATTTAATTTCGCAATTAATAGCTCATGGTCTATGCAATCAAACGCTTTTGAGAGATCCATTAGCAAGGCACCAACCACCCCTTTTTATCTAGGGAATTCTTGCAGATATCCATTAATCTCAACAGCGCATGCTGTGTGTTGAAACCTTTCCGAAAACCACATAAGTAGGGAACTAGGAACGTATCCGCGAAGTCGACCATCTGAGCATATAGAAGCCGTTCAAAGACCTTTGATAATGCGGATAGAACGGTGATAGGTCGATAGTTTCGTTTTTCTGTAGTTTTGTCACTTTTGAATAGTGGAGTTATGTCTCCTAATTTAAGATCTTCAGGAAACGTTTTCTGGAGCAATGAATTATTGAAAATTGTCGTCAGTAATGGTGCAAAAATGTCTTCGTTTTCTTTCAGTATCCGCGGAGGAATACTTTCAATTGTAGACGGTTTTTTTTTTGTATTTAGTCTCAATAATTCATCATTGACTGCCTGCATTGTAATTGGTTTGAATTCAAAGAATGTGCCATGGTTTACCTTATCCTTAATCTTGCGGATGCTGGGATGATGTTTATATTTTTCAACAGCAATTTCAACAGGATCCAGCAAATGGTCTGTCGAATTGAGAATGCATTCACCAGGGGCAATGTCAATTGTATTTCTGATATTTGTAAAAAATTCATTAAGGATCTCAGCTATTTCACTGTCATTCGTAATAAACTTTTCATTTTCGATAAGCGTAATACTTGAAGAGGTTTGTACCTTGTCAGTAAAAAGTGCTTTTACAGTTTTCCAGAACTTTTTATTGTCAGTGACAGAATTTATATCAAGGTTACCATAATATGATGTTTTTGCTTGTCGCAGAATTTTCACACACCTATTTCTTTGCTTTTTAAAAGCGTTCCAGTTTTCAGAAGTATTATGCCTGTTTAATCTGTTACGTAACTGTGAACGGAGCATAATTGCCTTTCTTAAAGTTTTCGTCATGAAGGGTGCATCATTTGCGCGTAAATATTTCTGTTTTAGAGGTACATGGTTATTCAGAACTTCTTCGACTACAGAATTAAAATTTTCATATTCAGAGTATGCTTCGCTGCTCTTAGCTAGATTGCTTCTAAGGTCACTGCGAAACTTTATAGGATCAAATTTACTGTAGTCTCGGTATGTCACAATCCTTGGACCTCTTTTTACAAAACCACTCTTTAACACTGTTAGTATCATTAGATGAAAATCAGACAATCCCACTTCTATTGTCGTAGTGTTTTGAAAACCAGAGGTTTTATTCGTTAGAAACATATCAATGGAAGAGGGATTGTCAGCAGATTCATAACAAGTGGGACTTTTTATTAAATTTTTTAATCCATAGATATCCATGAAATTGCTAATTTCATAATTTTTCTCTTCCGAATTTAAATCTCCAATAATGACGAAGTTTTCGTATCGAGGTGTAAGTTGGTCAAGCACTTTGCCCATCTCTGCGAAGAAAAATTTTTCACATTGAGAAGGGGGGCGGTAGGTACTGATCAATGCCCATTTTTTCTTGCCCACATTAATTTCAGTTAATACACATTCAATTGAATTGGCGATGTTCACCAGTTTAATTTCATTTGCTGGAACTTTTTCTCTGATATAAACCAGAATCCCACCACCGTTTGTATATCCCTAAGACCTGTGTTTATGAATTTACGTGCCAGTGTTTTTCTGGCTATGTAGCACGCACAACCCAAAGATTCGGGGATAGGATAAAACAACATGTTCCTTCCAACATTAAAAACAAAACTGCCCCTCAAAGAGAATAGCCTCTTCGATCTTGTAGGTCTAAAAACACAGTAAAAACTAGTGACTCTGCCATCGGACAACACCTTTTAGACAACCCAGATTGTGCAAAACTCGTCTTTTTATCTAGCAGTTTTGAAATCGATCTACATACAAACGAAAAAGCCGCTATTGTGTAGACAGAAGGAGACCCTAAAACATCCCTAAGACCCTTAAACAATGAATATCTATGATCGCTAAAATTTCAACATCAGGTATCCTAAGCCCATAGCTGGAGAAAGTATCGGAACCTGGGAACTGGATTCCCAGAAAATCTTCTGGCTTGGCAGAAAATTTTTAGCAAAACTGGATAATAAAAGCTGTTTTTCTTGAATTTTCAACAACAGATTGAAATTTCATACAAATGTAAGCTTAATGTCCTCAGACTGTAGAATACATCAAATAAAGAAGTTTCACATTTTTGAAACAATTGATTTTGTTTAATTTTATCACGAAAATGTTTATAACTTGGAAGGAACCTTCAGTTACCTTGTCCAGAACCTTTTTTAACAGATAAAGCTGCAGACCTGAAGTAGGTAATTTATATGCTTTGAAAAGTGATGTTTTGGTTGCTTGATATCAGAGTATGTTTTTGGATCTTAAAAATAAATAACTATGAAAATTATATGCATCCTAAGTTTTCTTCCTGCTAGCAATACAGTACTTGACTTGTTTCTTGATTGAGGTCTTGGCAGACTTGGCAAAGTCTTGAGTCTTGATCGAGATCTTGACAGACTTGGCAAAGTTTTTGATTGGTATTGAAATACATCCTCCTGCTCTTTCAGATCATATTTGTCCTTTGGAATTTTGAAATGTCTCCATTTATTATTGTAAAAGATCATGTTGACATGTATACCCACCATTTGAAGTAAAGGGCCAAAAAAGCTGGTTGATGAGTACAAACAGGTAACCAGATTCGCTTCCCTAAAGCTGGCAACTATTACCTTTCCCAGACACCAGTTGATTGTGGAGAGCACCATCTATGTTGAAGTTTCTGCCAATTAATAAACATATCCCCATTTGATTCACAAATCACTTTTGCTTTTTTGCACAGTCTTTCCCAAAAATTAAAAGATGCAATAAATAGCCAAATTTTGATATTTTATTAGAAGCGTTCTCTAGAATCAATTAATTAGAAGCCTTTGCAGGTAATTTGTGTGTTCTGTTTGTAGAGCTACTGAACACAATACTTCCACCTCACCGAAAAATGTTTGTCCGGTTTCTCAGGTTCCCAGAAAGGAAAATATTTTTTGCAGCTCTGCCTAAGTCACTGTGTCGTGAGGGCATGTGTCGTGAACCTAATTGGCTAGTGCAATACAATCATTTGTTTTGTTTAGTACGAAGCATGGGATCGAGGATGAATTTTCACGGCAGTAAAGATTCATGAAGCAGAAATTAAGTCATGAAACAATGGTATTCAACGCCAAACGTTTATTGTATTAGCCAACTGTTCCCGTGACATATTCCCTTCAAAACGACATCAGACTTATGAATTTAAAATATGTCGTACTGATTAACAACTGAAAATGCTAATCCTTTTATATATTCTTAAAATATTTACGGGAACAAACAATTAATTATAAAACGATACCAGCAGGGAGCATAAAAATACATAAGAACCTTACGGCCATGACTTTTAACACAGGAGCAAATATTAAAAAACTAGATGAAAAAAGGAAAATTTCGCATGAGAGTGGGAGTTTGTACGTCATAGTCGCAAAATCCCCCAACAAGACCACATTAATTTTGATTAAAAGTAAAAAAATATATTTAGCAAAATAATTGCCTATAATGTTTCTAAATTTCGCACAACTTCATCGTGATAATTTTTCTTCTAGCCATGGCCATGCCGATATTGTCAGCTACCTGTTGTCAAAAGGAGCGAAGTTTTCCAAAAATTACGATGACATTTCACCACTGCAAATTGCGCTTGAGGTATTGGAAGTTGATTTGTATATTTTAATACGATCTTTCTTTCATTTTTGTGTAAAAATGTGATCTAGTAATGAACTCAGTTGAAATCAATATTACCGCTTACTTTATCAAATCTCTACTCAAATACAGGATCCTTTTGAAACATCAAGCCATCTGGTAAACCCTGAAAACTCCATACTTTTGCCATTGATTTTCTTGAGTTTCTCAAATCAGCAAATTTTCTTGTCTCTTATTTTAGTTCTATGTAAATATTGAGAAGTTTCACAACTTTCCAAAATGCTTTTAAAGTATAACGGGGAAACGTACCGTGTGATTGTCGTCATGTGATTCTGCTTTCATTGGCATCAAATTTGCCCTCGTCAACACATCAACTTAATGTCGTTGTTCTGTGGTCGTTAAGTTCTATCATAGTATAACGGAACTCTGTGTTTTAAAATATTTTTTCTCTTGAGATGCTTCACTTTATAGCTATTGTCAGGAAGTTTGTTTTCCTTTAGCTTTTGTTCAATTTTCCAAAAAAGTACAATATTAGCCTCTCTAACTTCTTGAACTTCTATGAGTCAACACCAGCTGCATAATCATACTTTCTGATTAGGCCATGTCTGTTCGAAGGCACACATGGCATTTTTTGGATTCTAGTCTATATTTTTTAGGGTGGCGTTTCCACACAGCTGAGTGCACCATGTTGAAAACAGTTTGATGATTGAAATTCTTATAATGCCTTCCAAAATTCCCTGGAACGCTCGTTGCTCAAGTGTTGTTTTGAAAAAAAAGAAACGGGCCTGATGATAATAACTGACACTGCACACCAATTCCTCCCAAAACAATATTGCTTGAGAGTTATCATAACTTTATGATATGAATCTATTGCACCACATCGAAGCTTTCAATGTGATATTAAACAATATTTATTGCAGGAAGAAGATGGGTTATTATTTACCTTCATGTTTTTGTAGTATACAAGGACTTTTGCCGGGGTTTGACTGAATTTTAAGTGCCAATAGTTATTTGTTTTGGCGTAAATTAAGTGGATAAATATTCATTTTTGAATTGGGATGAAAAGTGTTAAAATTAAGCAGCAAGGAGAAAGCATTTTTCCGTCAGATAATAAATACACCTCGATTCTTACCTGTTTAATTCTTTCTGTCGTCATATTCTTTAAGGATTATTAGAAAAAATACTTTCAATAATACTCACAATTTTTCCGCTTTTTGCACCATCTTGAGATTTTGTAAAACGAATTCACCTGCTTTTTTTTCTCTACTTGTTTTTTAGAATGGGCATAAAGAAGTTTGTTTTGTCCTGATAGATTGGAGAAACAGCTTACTGGAAAATCTTTTGATTCTCGCCCAAGATTGCTCGATTCCAGAAGAAAAGGTTGTTTAATTTTTCCACATGTTTATTACGATTCATATCAGCTTTCCCGGCTTTAGTGAGAGTAAAATTTGCATGCTTGCCATTAAATTTTTTTGATTTGAGATTGAACCGTTTAGCCTAAAACTTATTTTGCATATTTGCAATTAATTGGGTTTAGTTTGACTGTAATCACTAGTCTATTTCGAGAAAATAATTTTTGAAAGAAAATTTCAAATGCTAAATCTCACAACCATTGTCTTTGTTTCTTACATATTATTTCAAATAATTTATTTGGATTTTCCTTTTTCATTAAACTGTTCGTACTTTTTCCATTGATGTTACTTGGAAAAGAGAGGGCAAAACAGAGGACAGAGGAAAAATGGGTCATCCCCATTTTTCTGTTAGCACTTTTCTATTCTCCTTTTAATTGACAGGGATAATGGTATTATTTCAAAAGTGAATTCTGTGACCGAATTGCACGTGTTTGAATTTTGTGTGAGCATAAGCTACACCAACATGAAATTATTCAAATTTAGCGATTTGATTTGCAAAAGTTTTACTAAGATCAATTTGTACTTGCATTTTAATCTCTTCTAAGCTAACAAAATAACAAATATGGAAACTATAAGTTAATAAAACAGGATTTTTATCTAAAGGTTTTGATATGAGTAGGAAGCGTAAAAATCTTGTTTGAAGTGACATGCAGTACGTCATATTTTATTGTAGGCCTTGAGTGCATTGAGATACATCGCCGGTATGAAAGAAGAATTTCACCGGGCCATTCTTATACGCTTAGCAGATCGCTCAAGGGTGGCTGGTCTCGAACTCCTGAGTGCCTCAAGTGACTACGACAAAACGCAGACAGCCTTTTTTAAACCCCTTTCTCTGCTATGCAACATGAGCTTGCTTTCGCCGGAAGATTTGCTAGAAAGGCCGAGGTTAGGCTCAAATAGTATCACTGCAAGGTCACGATTGCGAACTTTGACTGGAGGTGCCCCGCAGAACTCGCAGCAGTTTAAGCCGCCCGCGGGAGAGATTCAAGAAACTCTAAGTAGTCTATGGAGCTCACTTGAAAATTGGTTCATATTAATCAAGGATGAAATTCGTCGAGCTCCAACCTCGGGTTCTGCCAAAGAGAACCAGGGGGCGGAATCCGCGATTCCTAAAGAATGTGACGATGTCGATTCAGAAACTCGTTTTATTGCAAGTGAGCTAGTCCGGTCCAATCCAATTAATATATCAGTCCGGCCCAGGAGTACTGCAAGTATTGAAAGCATTTTACTCAGTCAACCCGCACTTGAATTCAACATGGCACGGCAAAGCGGAGACCTGAATTCTAGCCGAGGACTTCACCGTGATTTAAGTTTAAGGTTAATGCAAAGATCTATCAGTTCAAATCAGCCACGAGACCCAGGCTCATTGGTATTAGCTCCGGAAACCAGATTCATTGATAATGACACTGCGGATGAGGCTCCTGCGCACGCTAACATTGGGCTAAATATCAGTGAAGACGCAATGCTTAGTCCCGTTGATGAGAATGAGACTCCTGCAACTGAGAATGTTGTTAGTACTGTGACTGACAGCCATACGCAGGACGAGAGCCTGCCATCTTATAATGACAATGCTAGGCCATTGGAAGAAAGAGATGCCAGTTTGAATATCTCTGATAATGAAAATCCCACCAATAATACACGGCCTCGTCGGCTAGTTAGAAGATCTATCTCATACACTAATGCTGTTGTTGGAGAAAGCCAATCACTGGATGGCCCAGATATAGAACGTCAATTCCTACAGCAATTAAGCAGGGAAGCATCGATTGAAGATCATTCCACGGGACATATTGACAGATTTCTGGTCCCGCATTATTCCGGTGCAGTTGATACTAAGTTTGCATCGACTGGAGCTGAGAGTGATAAGAGTGATGAAAAAGTGAACATGATTGAGAGATTTGCTGATCGTTTATGCGCGGTGGTGCATGGATACCACTTGGCAAGTTTCAACTGTCCTTACTGGGAGTCAGCTAGGTATGATTTGCTTAACTTTTTCCATGATCGATGACAGCAAGCTTTATAACTATTGAAACATTTGGCAAAAGAGCACTTTTAAAAAGCAAACATTTTTATGGCATGCTTTTTGTCCAACACACATTCAGAGTATAAATTGTAAAGATATTCTCTGTACTCTGAATAGTGTTTAGTTGAAAGTTTATACGCTTAATAGTGCTGGACAAAAACTTAACTGTGTCTCAAAAAGGTTGCTTTTTCAATGTCATTTCAAAATTTTGTAGCGCCTAAGAGTAAACTCTATGTAGCCTTGTCTGCAATTCACAATTCTTGGATTTCTAGCTCAACAAATACACCTTCAATTGCATCAACTTCACTCTTTCCAAAAGGAACGGTTTAAAATCTTCACAATAGGATTTTAGTTAGAAGTACTGTGAAATTCAACTCATAGAATGGGTTTTATACGAAGTAGTTGGATTCACAAATTGTACTTTAGAGACACAGTCCTGTTCGGAGGACTTGTTTTAGTAACAAAATCCAATGTTTGTTAAAAAAGAATGCACCATTAAATAAATCGTTTTGAAATGTATTCTTTTATTACAGGAAGTCTCAAATTCGGAAATCAGGATTCCAGGAATTTATTGAACGAAATGAGGAAGTTCTTCAGCTGTTTGTTGCAAGGTATTAACCGACTTCCTGTTTGCTCCATGTTTACACTGATCTTCTTTTTACATTTTTTTCAATATAGCTAGCTTTTTGTATCAATATTTCTGAGGATTTTCCTGGGGTCGTCATTGGATGTCTTCTCTCGTTGAATGTTATTATCTTTAAGACAAACAATGATTGATTAAATCCAGATTTGAATCTGTAGAGAACCGCCTCGCTTTACGATCTGTTGCATGTAGCATAGGGCTCAAATCTTGATTGGCTCAGAGGCGAGAGAGGTCACGTGATTTAGCGCAAGCTCTCAGCCAATCAAGATTTGAGCCCTATGCTGTTGCATGTAGTGATGTTTCTACAGAATCAAAGGCCAGTCAATGCTCTTGACACTATTAGTACTACCACTCAAATTTCTTTTTCTGTTCAAGATTATCCTGAAACCTATATTTTTGTCCTACAGAAAGCCGAAGTTGATATTTGATCATTTTCAATTTGTTTTGGATAGTCCGCTACTGCTCCAACGCTATCTTCCCGTTATACATAAACAGGTAATATTCTATAAGATACAGTTTTCCGAAGTGTTTTTATTGCAAAGGGTTCCGTTATGGTAGCCAGTTTGTTTTATCTGTTCTCAGCAGATTTGTAACACAAATATAGATTAAATCTGCCTATTATTAAGAAACTTTGTCACATGCCTTGAATCATCATACTTCTTATCTCCACTGCTCCAGTCGGTGCATTTGGGCTTTATAATCAAAGCCCGACCCAAATAGAACGTGGCATTTTTGCAACCAGCGAAAGATAGAAATCTAGACCAAAGTTGCCGGTTCCAGATTGATATGCGAAAGTGTTACAATTTTGCAAAGAGTCCCAGGCTGCCCTAGCGCTCTCAAGAGTTTATGAATGTTACATTAACAATTCACGTAATATCAAGCTTATGTCTGAAAATTCAGAAACTTAAATCGAAGAGCTAACCAAGACTGTGATTCTTTACAGCCATTTACGGAGCGACTAGACTGGTTTTATGAAAACTTGCACAATGACCAGAATCCAACGCAAGTCCCGTTCGATGAAAAATCTTTGATAACAGTGACTAGAGGTGAGTGCCTCAATGTTCCATTCTCGAAACAATCCTTCTGATTTTTGAACAAGATTAACTCTTTGAAATACATTCAGTGCTACCGCAAAGTGTCTTTCGTGCGTTTAAGCACAGGCTATTTCAGTATTATCTGAAAGACTTTTCAGTATTATCTAGAGCAAGATACCTCTATGCTTGAATATTTATAAATAAATGTCTTCTTTAAAATGTGTAAATGATAGTATATTAACTCAAAGAAAACACTTTTGTAAGACGTTCTGCTTTCGCTTCATTAGTAATAACCTGACTACAGTCAAATCAGATGAGTCTACTTGTGAACCCAAATTACAATAGAACAATGCTAGTAATTTAGTTAGCCTAGCCCTGACCAGATTTATGCACCTCTTAAAAGCAACTAACGGTGGCACGGGAAACTTTTATTGTGCTCTTCTGGACCAGTGAACAAGGCATGGTGTTTCCTGGCAATGTTCCCCAAACCATTAAGTGCCCGATGGTATGTTGTCACGAGGGGCACCCGGTCAGCCCTCCCTTCATTGGTCTTCCTATTTGCTGCATTTTACAGATGAGTCTCCCTAGCTAGCCAATGTACCCTATCTGTTTGTTGATTTTTGAAGACTCTTCATACCCTCTATCCTTAAGCCACGCAGCGAGTTTACCTATATGTTCCTTAAACTGGCGTAAATTTAATTGTTTCGTGGCTACTGTTGAGATGGTAAATGAATAACCTCAACCTACCCTCCCAGTGTGTTCAGACGAAGAAAATAGCATCGATCCCGACACGGGGCTTTTTGGCGAAAGTATCCATCAACCTCTCTTCTAACCTAGTCATAAAAAGATTGGCACAGGCCTATAGAACTTGCCATTAGATTCATAATAATTATTTTCCATTACTAACGACGCGAGCCCAGCCAATGTATCATTAGCCACGTCTGGATTTTCCCAAAACAGTCCCAAAACATCAACAGTGCACAGAATTGCCCCCTCTGGTACAGTTCTTATTTTTTACTATCCTGAATAAAAAATGGTCAGTATCCTCAACATAAGACCTACTTTGGCTAACCAACGGGTAGAGGCGGTAATCTCAATATTCCAAAACATTTTAAGTTAGTGTACCACAGTTTGAATTGACTGGGCGCCCCTTAACATTACCAAGACCCTTGTTGATCTTAGGCAATAAATAGAATCAACCTAACCTAGAATTTTTCTGCTTCTAAATAGCCAGCCACTTATTCTAACGCTGTGTCCGCCTCCCTTTTGTCTTTAAACTTATCATAAATAGGTTACGCCGGTTCTGCCTCCCATAAATAAATACGTATGTATTCATAGTAATGATAAATATAAGATACATTATATACATATAAATATATGTATTTATATAGCATAGAGTTGGAGAAAATAAAACTACATGTTTTATCTCTACAAGCCTGTTTCGTGAGTAGCTCACTCTTCAGGAGATGTTTTATTTTCTCCAACTCTATGCTATATTACGCCCTACGTGCAAATGTATTGGGCACTGTGCTACGGAACTATCAACAGACAAATTTCTATATATATTTATATTAAATAATAAGTAGCTGCTCTCTTAGAAACCTCTGACCTCTTATTTTAACTTTCTACAAGAGCCTCTTAGAAATCTCTGGAGGCATAACCTCCTATTGCTTCCTAGCTCTAATTACCCACTTGATACGCACACGTCTAGCAAGCTATCCTGTCTGTGTCTCTTATGTCTTAGGATTATTTCCTATTTCTCTCCAGGATTTGTCTATTCATCTATGTATATAAAGCCCGTTTATTTCATTTTCATTCCAGATGCATTGCTGCTTAGCAGTTGTGATAAACTGCTGGAAAGGGAAAGTGATGTCTTGAAGCGAAATTTGGCTGTGAGATTTGAAGGTGAAGCAGGAATGGTGAGTGACAGTTATTTTTTACAGTGCCCTATGGAAATTTGATTTGGTCCTTCAATACACACTTGACTGTTACACGGAGCTTAGCTCTATGTCAAAATATTGACACAGGTTGTTCTTCAGTTTTTGCCACTTCTGCTGCTATTGATGACAAATAATTTTTAAACAATCTTTTGGTGGTACAAAACTTAATAGTGGCATTGAAAAAAGCAAACATTTGAGTATACTGAAGCTTTTCGTCTGACACTCTTCATAGTATAAAACGTCAGAACATAGACTTTTGAGGTTGCCCAATCAGTGCCGCTTGCCTATTGAGAATGTTACCAATGGAATCCTAAGGTGAAAACGAACTCCTTTTCGAAAACGAACACAATAGCGATTTTTTCGTGCTTATGTAGATAGATTCCAAAACTGCTAGCCTTCTTAATTTGAAGTGAAGCGTTTAAAGTATTGGAAAGCTTTCTTTACTGAAGATAACTTTATTTGATGAAATCGATACGAAAAATCCTCGAAAAAATCCTCGAATAAGCCCCCACGCTCGAAAAAGCCCCCCCCCCCTCGAATAAGGCCCCACCTAAAAATCATTTTTGCAGATAAGCCCCCGGGAGTTTATTCAAGGATTTACGGAAAGACTGCTTGAATAACCCCAATAGCCCTTAGATAAAAACTTGATCATTTAATTGTCTTTCTTATGTACTGATCAGTTTATATCACTCACAACAATAATTATTTGTTACGTTTTACATGCATTCAGGGGCGTAGCTTGCGTGGGCGTAGGGTATGCGACAACCCAAATACATCATGAGATGGTTGTTGGTCAGTTGGTCCACAAAATCCTTAGTAAAATCGCTGGTTTGTAGGTTGAATGGCACCTAAATTTTTTATCTAGATGTCTTATTCGGGAGATTTGGCTTTTGAATAAGACGCTTTCAGTAAGTATTCATCAATGGGTTATAAAAGATGAAATAAAAAAGACGTACAAATAAGAGTGACGTATGTTATTTACACGTCTTTTTTATTTCGTTTTTTAAAACCCATGGATGAATATTTATATAAGTTCGCAACATTTTTGATCGGCAATCACATTGAGGGGATTAGAAATTTTGATCGAGGGTGAGTTGAAAATTGAGATGTCCAACTGGAACCGCTGGAACGTTAGAAAAAAATAATTGGTGAAAATTATAAAGAGCCAGTAGAAGTATTATTTCAGCCCATATGGATCTAAAATTTCTTGGATGTAGAGAGCGAAAGGGAAACAAGTAAAGATGAGCTGGACACTTTATTTGTTGATGACGAAGGAAAACCATAAACTGGAAATTGATATGTATTGGATGTAAAGTAAAACTAAAATAGTATCAAGGAAAATGCTTCTTGCTTTTTTGAAATTGCATTGGTGAAAAACAAGAATTTAAAGTGTTTGAAAATTTCGGTAAGAAAAAACTCGGTGGCATTAATTTAAGTTGGTGTAACAGTACTGAGTGGAACTTAGTAGAAAGGATAATTCGTAATCTATCAATATCTGACCATATGTTGCACCCTTTTTTACTTGCAGGCACATTTTTTACTCAGCTTTCCGCTCGCAGGCACAAATTTTATTAATGAGTCCTGGCTGTTCTCTTTGGGGAAGCGTTTTGTATCTAATGCTGGAAGGGCGTTTTTTGTTTTGTAAACAATGCGCGGATTGACAGCGAAGAAACTATTTGTAATGGCTTGTTTAATCTGACTTTCAAATCGCAAGGAACTTTTACCGATCCAGGGTAGTTTTAGATAAACCGGGCATATTTGCGGACCAAATTTTACTTCGGCCGAGAAACTTGCGATTTTCTCCTTAATGTAAACCGTAATGACATCCTTTGGATAGCCGTTCTCCAAATAAAGCTTTTTTAGTTGTTCAAGTTCAGATTTGATTTTAGACTGGAAAAAACATTAGTGCCCTATGCTTAAGCGCGATGAGGCTGCTTTTCCTTTGTTTTGGGCAAAACGAACTCCATCGAGTGTATATCTCCGAAAATGTGGGTTTACGGTATACACTTGTAAGAAATCCAGTGTTAGACTTTAAAACCAAAATATCTAGAAAGTGCAGGGAACTTTTTTCTTCCTGTTCAAATATCAACTGTAGGGCTGGGTGAAGGCCATTAAGAGCGGTGCTAATTCTTAAATGTTCACTTTCGCGACAAAGTAAAGAAACAAAGATGCCGGAATCATTAGCTCCAAGTTTAATGTAATAACTAACCATGGACTTAAAGACCTAAATTCGAGGGAGTGAGCCATTGCTAGAGAAAGGGGCAATGGTTTTGTATCATTTTTCATTACAAACCAAATCTCAACAAACGTGATTTCGCTGGAACTGACATATATATCAACGAATAGACATTTTATCGTTTCGTTAAGTATACCATGGTTCAGCAGACACCGAAATTCAACACTTGACAAAAAACTTTTCATAAAAACGACAATTTCCATTTTATATTATTTATGATTATGATCTTTCAACCCAGGGTTACTTCGTGTAACGTCTGTCTAGAAGATATGCTATACATTGTTATAAAAATGATTGTCCTTAGGTACTAAATACTACATTGAATGTGTACATTTTCCCAGACCCAGTGCACGAATTTGATACCGGACTTTTAGAGAGTTCCGGACAAAAAATCCATTAAAATGGCAGGCTCTACATCGAATGTGTACATTTTCCCAGACCCAGTGCACGAATTTGATACCGGACTTTTAGAGAGTTCCGGACAAAAAATCCATTAAAATGACAGGCTAAGACTACCGTTTGATTACAACTCTTGGTTATAGAAGCGTTCCTTTGTAAACAGTTAACGTTCCGAACAGTATTTGCTCAATTCCTAATTGATGCCAGCAACAGATGAATCAGACTATGGCAATCTACCTAGTATATCTATAGGTTTGAAGCAAAAGAGGAAACAGATCTATTTTAAGTAAAAAGCAAAGTGCGATCACACTCTATAAATGTATCAACCCTGTAGCCACTTGGGTGACCACTTGATGAATTTGGTGACCACTTTGGCTTTCTGTGATTCCTGCTCTTGCCTGTAATAAAGGTGACTCTTCACACTTGCGTCACTGATCAACGCAATTTAAATGATCCTTTTTGTTCTAGGGAGAGGGTGTTGTTCGAGAATGGCTTGATCTTCTCTTCAAGGAAGTCCTCAATCCAGATTATGCGTTGTTTACACTTTCAGCAGATGGTTTGTAAAATAGTTTGCTTTCCCCTGGTTATCATCGGTTAAATTCGAGAATTTTTTCAATGTTTTTTAGAAAGTTAGTTTACTAGTTCGGCCTCTAACCATCCACAAAGGTTGAGATATTGATAATTTTATAGGATATGTAGAATTCACCGTACAGAAATTTCTCTCCTCTTTTCCTTGGTATTACCATTCGCAGAAAACCCTACAACCTCTTGGTTCTGCATTGGCCGAGTGTTCATAAATGAGTATTGAAAAATTTCTTTTTTTGTCACTAGGGAGTACATTCCAGCCAAACAGTAACTCTGCAGTCAATTCGGATCATCTGAATTACTTTTGCTTTGCTGGGAGAATGATGGGCCTAGCCATGTACCATAAGAGACTGATAAGTGCAAGTTTTACGAGATCATTTTACAAGCACATTCTTGGTACAGTAACTTTCTATCGCTTTATTTATACCTTTAACCACAGTTTCTTCCCCTTTGTAGATTCTTGTTTGAATCTCAGTCCAGTGTAATTTAAGGCAGTGGTTTTGCCGAGATCTGAGCTAACGAAGTTCTTCTACGTCTTAAAGTATTTCCTAAACTGAAAACTGATTGATCAAAGTACATATATAAAATGCCCACAAGATATTCGCATAAGTTTAAAATTGGATCCTAATGGCAATTTTTAATTTCTTTCCTCAGGGATACCAGTTGATTATAAAGATGTAGCATCAATGGATCCGGATTACGCGAAAAATCTCCAGGTATGCATCATCCTCATCGTTTGGATCACCATCATCGATTATAATCTATGATAATAAATTATCATAAATTATCATTGTCATCATCATAATCATCATCCTCTTACCGTCATATTTGTCAATGTAGTCGTATTCCAAGGTTAATAAAAAGGGAGTGCATGGAAAAGAGACTTGTTTTGAACCACCTACGATAGCTTTTATATTACTTTCTTCTATAATACTACCAAGCCTTCATTTACCGTAAATCCCTATTAAGCCCCCTCTCTATAATGTCCCGCTCTTAAATAAGCCCCCCTTATCAAGCAAAAACTTAAAATAAACCCCCTATTTATTAAGCCCCCCCTCTTTAGTCTTGATGTCAAACGAAGAAAACATGCGCATTTAGTAGGTCTCTTGACGGGTGTGATGATGATATGATCATGTGCATTAAATACGGCCCATGCAAAGACATACTTGTGCGCCTAATAAGTGAATCGAAATTTTTTCAAAGATGCCCCAGGGTTATCAATTGATCTGGTAATTCTGATGAAGGTGAGGACTTTATAATTGATTAATTAGACTTTCGAAGCTGCTAGTGAAGTTTTCTGAGAACATTTGTGTGACATTTTTATATAAAAAAAAGACAATGGCATTTTCAAAACATTTTTACTTCAAATTTTTGATAAGCCCCCATCTCTAATAAGCCCCCTCTCTAATAAGCCCCCTCTCTATTAAGCCTCCTCTAGGACTAAAATAATAAATAAGCTCCCCGGGATAAATAGAGCTTTTGCGGTATACCATCACTTGAATATAATTTTTCATCGTTTTTTAATTAAAATTTACCTTGATTTTCTTAGTGGATCTTGGACAACGATATTTCTAATCTTGGCCTTGACCTGACTTTTGCTGTTGAAACAAAGGAATTTGGTCAAGTCAAGCTGGAGCCCCTTAAACCTGGTGGCTGTGACATCTTGGTAACAGATGAGAATAAGGTAATGATAGTCAATGAAGTCTCTAAAATGAAATGTAGAAATTGAAATGAGTCTGCCGACTTCTCGATTAGGCCTGCACTCTGTTCTCCGAAACTTTGATTATTGGTTTTGCACGGTCTTGTTAAGGGTTTATTATTGAAAATTTGATAAAGGTCTGATTGGTAGTCAGCCTGGGTATTTCGGCATCGTTGACGTAGCGGTTAAAGCCCTACCTCCTTCTTTAAGTCAATATACTTGTTTGCCACGCTGCTTCCATGGATTTCTTGTGTTTATCGACACAAGCGACAACACGACCTTCAAAACTGCTTAAAAATCTGTTTGAATCTTACTTGAAATGCGATTTGATTGTAATTTTTCTTTCTATGATCAGAAAAATTAACAAGAAATAAGAGAAATTTCCGCTATTACTATCATAAGGGTAAAAAAATAGTTTATCTTGGAGACGGGAAACATGGGTTGTTTATTGGTAGCCTGTTACTACCAATGTCTCCCATTTCAAAGGGGGGTTAAATATCGTTCCAACAAAGTTTGATTTGTTTTTATTATGTAGTCGTAAGCTGTAGGAAGGCTATCATTTCATTTATTTTCAGATATTCATCTACGGGGAAGGCACCTCTTCAGAGGTGCTCGTTGTCCTATAGAGCCCCTCCTATAGAATTAAATTGATCAAATTGAAATCGAGCTATATAATCAATAAAGATTACAACTATTTTATGGTAAAAACCTACTTACAATCTAAATTCCTATTTACAATGTGCTAATATTTCGAAAGAAAAGCATGCACTGAATTGTTTTTTAAAACAGCCTAGAGTTGTTGCCTGCTTAGACTCATCCGAGAGGCTCCTCCACAGCTTGGCTCCCTTATCTTTGCTTCACCGCACTTTGCTCATTTTGACAACGACTGCCTTCAGAGTTTCTATCAAAACGTTTATAAAATAAATATTGTTTAATTCTAGGAGGAGTATGTCCAACTTGCTGCAGACATGAAAATGACCAAGGCAATTAAGCCGCAGATTTACAGTTTCCTAGAAGGGTTTCACGAGTTCATCCCGCATTCACTTGTGGCATTGTTCAATGAATGTGAGCTGGTGAGATGTTTTGCATTTTCTCAAAAGTTTCACTGAACAGATCCTACTTATTGAGTTTATTCGATAGAATATCGTATCCATAGCGCTGAGACACGTAAGAAAGTACGACCCAAACATACTATCAGCCGACTTCACACGTTCTCGCATTGCATTGACTCTTTTTTAGCATCTTTTTGACAAATCAGAATGGGCTGAAATATGGCTGGCATCGAAAACCGTGTCGTACCTATATGGTGTGCAGAACTACTAAAAGCTCACTTCTGAAACAAACTTGCCTAAAAATACTGTTGAGCAAGCTCCCATCAATACCTACATTTTGAAATGAACTTTTCCGGAGTTTTTAGAGGACTTTGTAATTTTATTTGAATGCAATTTCAGTCTTACCTACAGCTACAATCATGGCCAAAAGGTCCCTGGACTAGAGAACAACAATTTCTATAGCAGCAGGGTTTTTTTGACTCCAATGGTGATACCCAAAACGTCCTCCTCCTAAGCCAGTGATAGGTGATATCTAGAAAATGGAATGACTCTGGGTTAGATACCAATTATTCTGTGGGGATGGGGAGAGTTTTTCTGAAAACACCTTTAATTTTGCTAATCAGTGCAATAGCCTATGACCAAGATTATAGATATCTCCCATTACTTTCCTTCTTCAGTAGAGCCCTATTCAAATAGGATACTTTCGCGAGAACCTAATCAACCTTTGCCACTTCTTCACTTTTAGGAACTGATTCTCTCAGGTGTTCAAGAGATTGACTTCGAGGACTGGAAAAACAATACATTGTACCAAGCAGGCTATGATGCAGAGTCACAACAAGTTAAAGTGCGAAAGTTAATTCAGTCATATTGTCTCTTTGCCCATATTGTTTGCCCATATTGTATTGTCTTTTTCCCAAAGCATACTCAGTCCCAATTTGTAACCCCAAAAGTTGTTGACAAAACATAAAACTTGCTTTCTACGATGTAGAATGATAAATAATTGCAAATTTTGCATGGAACGTGATCTTAAGTACAAATTGAATAGCTTTTTTAAAACCATGATGAGTATCTCGTCCCACTTTCCCATCAGCACAGGTGGCTTTAATTTTCCAGTGGCGCGGGCTCAGTAAAAATTTGATACATGACCTGCCCTTCTGACAAATTATGAAAAATTTCAACCGTGCTTTGATCAATTACTGTCTACTTCCATTTATAATTCTATTTTTCTCTGTTTAATATCTAGTGGTTTTGGGAAACAGTGGAAGATTTTGATCAACAAGAACGATCCCTGTTGTTACAGTTTGTCACTGGAAGGTAAAACAGTTTTTTTACTTTAGCTATTGTTATTTCCCTGCAACTTACCCATGTTCCCTTAAAAGCTGATGGATGTTTACAGTTTCCCTGGGATTACCTTAGGTTTCTCTGAATCACCCCAGCTTTCGTAGTTTACCGTTGTTTACCATAGTTAACCAAAGTGTTGATCGTGTGATATGATAGATGACAATGATCAATGAACGCAAATCAAATCAAGAGGTACATTTTCATACAAACTATACATAAATATTTTCTTTTCTAGCTCTCGGGTCCCATGGGGTGGCTTTGCAAGTCTTATTGGAGCATCAGGTCCACAAAAGTTCACCATCTCGTCGACCGCATCTTTGGATAACGTTTTGCCGTCTGCAAGTACATGGTATGACAAACTCTTTGTTTAAAAATTTGCATATTTCAGAATTAGTTGAATTGACAATATAGGCCTTAGGTTATTCCACACCTCAAAGCCTTACTGACCTTTAGCATGTATTTATGTCGTTGAAGAGAAGTCCTTGAAATTCGTCTTTGATACCATTTGAAACGTCGAATATAGAATAGAATATACAAAGTACACTTGCTTTACTCATACTCATTACCCTTACTGAAATAGAACCCTTTCTGGATCTTTGTTGCCTTAAAGAAATGTGGTCTAAAGTAGGTAAAACTAAACTGCTCACAAACCAAAGTTCAGAGAAACCGAGAGGACATCAATGAAATATTTGTTCTTGAATTTTGTATTCGTACTAGACAGTCTGAAAGAACAAATTTTTTTAATCCGTTACATTGTGTGTGTTACGAAAATTCTAATTATTATTTCTCATAAAGCCACCACTTACCCGCTTTATGGTAATTACACACATCACACCAGTTCAATATGTGAAACATTTCCAAGCTGTAGATTCCAAATACATGATTTGTCCGTATTAGCTTGCTCCCTGAAAAGCCGTTTACCTTCGATTTGCACTGTAGCTGTAGAATTTTTGACAACAGAATGAGGCAGAATAGATGAAATATTCAACGACAGAAAACCATTGATACCATATATCGCAACCTCACAACATGCATGATTCCAAATTTCTTCCTCTGCACATAAACAAGTCACGTTTTAACAAATATGTGCATAAAATTTGGCTTGCAATTGCTGCCAAAATTGTATGTGGGCTTGAAGTTTTCCATTTGGAGTTTTCAGACGATTTACGTTTTTCATCAATGTTTGAAATGATATGAATAACTACACCAAGTATCCTGGACTTCAACACAGGAATAGTTGAAGCCTGGCTGGGCTGTTTAGGCCTAATTTAAGGTTTTTTAGTGTCCGTGGAGATCGAATTCATCGCTAACTTTCTTCACGAACCCCTGAATTTTAAATTCAGCTTTAGTTTGCACTGCCTGTTCTAAAAAGATTACCTATTCTGACTTGCATTAAATACAATTAGAACTAGCTACCTGTCCTTGAACCTAATAGGTCAAGATGACTATATCTTGCAACTAAATTACCAATGAAATAAAAATTCTGACTTACAACCAAAATTATGTTTGTACAAATGTGATAGAAAATTAAATAATCTGTGACAAACTTCGATTATCGATGGTTTTTCAACTTTCCTTTCTGGGGTGCAAGCTGTTGTTTTGTTTTCTCCCCTCTATTTGATCACCATTTATCATTTGCTGGTTTTAATGCTACCACAGTGAAGAATTTGTTATAAACTTTTGACGCTTTTGCAACATGGAGGACACATCTGAACTCTCCGTTGCTATTGATTTATTTTTTCTAAATGTTTTGATATCCAAACCTTCAGAAGCCCAGCTGGTATTCGTAACATTGGAATTCCTGTATCTACATTATCGACAGTCTAAAACATTAGAGAACAAGAACCTCATCATGATGAACAAGCAGAATTCTGCATCTAGAATTGTTCTGCATCTAGAATTGTTCTGCATCTAGAATTGTTCTGCATCTAGAATTGTTCTGCATCTAGAATTGTTCTGCATCTAGAATTGTTCTGCATCTAGAATTGTTGTCATTGATTTTCAGTTTCAACCTCCTTAAACTACCGGAGTATAGCAGCAAAGAGGATCTGGTTGAAAAGCTGAAGACTGCTCTAAAACATGGTGTATCGGGCTTTGAGTTCGCTTGAAGTCATACGTTTGTGCCAAAAGCCTATTTTTTATTGGGTTTTCTATTTATATATATTCTGGGTTACAATTGAAACCAAGACTACAAGGAATTTGTATTTATTTAACTTGATTGTATTTGAATTTTTATAAATCAGGAAGCAGTGCTTCGTCATTTGTTTTGTAAATGTTTCAAAGAAAATTATATTTGATGCGTTGAGTTTCAATAATGAGAAATATAACACCTACAGCTCTGCTTGAAAGATATTCTACGTATATTCTGGCGTAGTGTTGGACTGTAATTATACTGTGATCTACGAAACAGCCCATATTGATAACCCTAATATCACAGAAATTGATGAAATAACATATGCCCCATAGGACCTGTCTCTTGTAATATAGATAAATGTGAATGTTCTCAGTCGAAAATGCGATTTTCGATTGCTATTTGTCCCTCATACTATATTGCTTCATATTAGTAAGGGCGGCGCTAAACTGAATGCAGCGTTAAAAGGGGCGTTCAAGGCTGAAAATAAGTCAAGGAAATGAACGAAAAACAAAGAAAGTCAGAAAAATACATCGAAAATTGAGCTCTGAATTTAAGTGGATATTTTTTGAAGGCAGACAAGTCGCCTACTGTGGCTCAATTTACTCTGTTATAAAACTTTAAGGGTTGTGATTGTTTCTGACACTGACTGACAACAGTTTCATTTGTGGAAATAAAAGGTCTTGTAGTTGGAGATATTCTTTAAATAAGCAAACATAGAAGATAAAGATTTAATTTCTCAAGAAAAACTTCTTCACTGCAAAATCTCGTTCTTATTACCTTTTTTTACACTAAAAGAGTTGTGCCTGGCAGTGATAGAGAGTTGTTTGCTTCGTGGAAAGGGGACTTTCTGAACGTGGCGATATTCCTTCGAAAAGCAAGTCTATAGACTTGAAAGAAATCTTGTCTTTTCATTCAAATTTTTCAACCAAAAACCTCACTCAATTTTTTAACAAAAACCTCGTAATAAGTACTTAATACAAACGCTAAAAGGGTTTCAATGATATTTAACTGTGATTCAGAACAATCTCTTCGATGAGAAATAGGTTTTCTGGAGGTGGAGAAATTCCAACGAAAAGCAAGGCTTAGGAAATGTATTAAAAGAGTCTTTTGAGGAAAAATTAAAAACTGTGGAGGTGGTGATGTTCCTATAAAAAGCAAGGCTATAGGCTTAGGAAAATTCTACTTTTCGCTTGGAAATTCTTAAATGCAATACATTATCTAGATTACTGTAATTTAGTACAAAAAGGGTTGGAATGAGGTCTGGCAGTAATTAAGTGCAGTCTGTTGGGTTAAGTCTAAATGATTGTAGAGGTGATTATGTTCTATCAAAAAGCAAGGCAATAGGCTTAGGAAAATTCCACTTTTCGCTTGGAAAGTCTTAGTTAGTGAAAGGTAGGGACTGAGAGCAGTTTTTTCGGTGAAAATTAAAAAATTGTAGAGGACTTGATGTTCCATTAGGTAGCAAGGCTATAGGCTTAGGAAAATTCCAGTTTTCGCTTGGAAATTTTTAAATCTACTATCTTATTTAGATTACTGTATTTTAGTACCAAAAAGGTTTGAAGGATGTCTGGTAGTGATTGAGAGCAGTCTGTTCGGTGGAAGATGAAAAAGTGTAGAGAAGTTGATGTTCCATTAAAAAGCAAGGCTATAGGCTTAGGAAAATTCCACTTTTCGCTTGGAAATTTTTCAATCTACCATCTTATTTAAATTACTGTATTTTAGTACCAAAAAGGTTTGAAGGATGTCTGGTAGTGATTGAGAGCAGTCTGTTCGGTGGAAGATGAAAAAGTGTAGAGAAGTTGATGTTCCATTAAAAAGCAAGGCTATAGGCTTAGGAAAATTCCACTTTTCGCTTGGAAATTTTTCAATCTACCATCTTATTTAAATTACTGTATTTTAGTACCAAAAAGGTTTGAAGGATGTCTGGTAGTGATTGAGAGCAGTCTGTTCGGTGGAAGATGAAAAAGTGTAGAGAAGTTGATGTTCCATTAAAAAGCAAGGCTATAGGCTTAGGAAAATTCCACTTTTCGCTTGGAAATTTTTCAATCTACCATCTTATTTAAATTACTGTATTTTAGTACCAAAAAGGTTTGAAGGATGTCTGGTAGTGATTGAGAGCAGTCTGTTCGGTGGAAGATGAAAAAGTGTAGAGAAGTTGATGTTCCATGAAAAAGCAAGGCTATAGGCTTAGGAAAATTCCACTTTTCGCTTGGAAATTTTTAATCCAATACCTTATTAAGATTGCTTTAATTTATTACAAAAAGGGTTGGAATGATGTCTGGCAGTGATTGAGAGCAGTTTGTTCGGTGAAAATCAGAAAATTGTAGAGGACTTGATGTTCCATTAAAAAGCAAGGCTATAGGCTTAGGAAAATTCCACTTTTCGCTTGGAAATTTTTAATCCAACACTTTATTTAGATTACTTTAATTTAGTACAAAAAGGGCTGGAATGATGTCTGGTAGTGTATGAGAGCAGTTTGTTCGATGGAAGATGAAAAAGTGTAGAGGACTTGATGTTCCATGAAAAAGCAAGGCTATAGGCTTAGGAAAATTCCACTTTTCGCTTGGAAATTTTTCAATCCACTATCTTATTTAGATTACTGTATTTTAGTACCAAAAAGGTTTGAAGGATGTCTGGTAGTGATGGAGAGCAGTTTGTTGGGTGAAAATAAAAATATTGTAAAGGTGGTGATGTTTCTTTAAAAAACAAGGCTTTAGGCTTGGGAAAATTCCACTTTTCGCTTGGAAATTTTTAATTCAATGTCTTATTTAGATTACTTTAATTTAGTACAAAAAGGGTTGAAATGATGTCTGGCAATGATTGAGAGCAGTCTCTTGGGTGAAAATAAAAATATTGTAGAGGACTTAATGTTCCATGAAAAAGCAAGGCTATAGGCTTAGGAAACTTCCACTTTTCGCTTGGAAATTTTTAATCCAATACCTTATTTAGATTACTGTACTTTAGTACCAAAAAGGTTTAAAGGATGTTTGGTAGTGATTGAGAGCAGTTTGTTCGGTGGAAGATAAAAAAGTATAGAGGACTTGATGTTCCGTTAAAAAGCAAGGCTATAGGCTTAGGAAAATTCCACTTTTCCCTTGGAAATTTTTCAATCCACTATCTTATTTAGATTGCTTTAATTTATTACAAAAAGGGTTGGAATGATGTCTGGCAGTGATTGAGAGCAGTTTGTTCGGTGAAAATCAGAAAATTGTAGAGGACTTGATGTTCCATGAAAAAGCAAGGCTATAGGCTAAGGAAAAGTCCACTTTTCGGTTGGAAATTTTTCAATCTACTATCTTATTTAGATTACTGTAAATTAGTACCAAAAAGGTCTGAAGGGTGTCTGGTAGTGATGGAGAGCAGTCTGTTGGGTTAAGATTAAATGATTGTAGAGGTGGTGATGTTCCATGAAAAAGCAAGGCTATAGGCTTAGGAAAATTCCACTTTTCGCTTGGAAATTTTTAATCCAATACCTTATTAAGATTGCTTTAATTTATTACAAAAAGGGTTGGAATGATGTCTGGCAGTGATTGAGAGCAGTTTGTTCGGTGAAAATCAGAAAATTGTAGAGGACTTGATGTTCCATTAAAAAGCAAGGCTATAGGCTTAGGAAAATTCCACTTTTCGCTTGGAAATTTTTAATCCAACACTTTATTTAGATTACTTTAATTTAGTACAAAAAGGGCTGGAATGATGTCTGGTAGTGTATGAGAGCAGTTTGTTCGATGGAAGATGAAAAAGTGTAGAGGACTTGATGTTCCATGAAAAAGCAAGGCTATAGGCTTAGGAAAATTCCACTTTTCGCTTGGAAATTTTTCAATCCACTATCTTATTTAGATTACTGTATTTTAGTACCAAAAAGGTTTGAAGGATGTCTGGTAGTGATGGAGAGCAGTTTGTTGGGTGAAAATAAAAATAGTGTAAAGGTGGTGATGTTTCTTTAAAAAACAAGGCTTTAGGCTTGGGAAAATTCCACTTTTCGCTTGGAAATTTTTAATTCAATGTCTTATTTAGATTACTTTAATTTAGTACAAAAAGGGTTGAAATGATGTCTGGCAATGATTGAGAGCAGTCTCTTGGGTGAAAATAAAAATATTGTAGAGGACTTAATGTTCCATGAAAAAGCAAGGCTATAGGCTTAGGAAACTTCCACTTTTCGCTTGGAAATTTTTAATCCAATACCTTATTTAGATTACTGTACTTTAGTACCAAAAAGGTTTAAAGGATGTTTGGTAGTGATTGAGAGCAGTTTGTTCGGTGGAAGATAAAAAAGTATAGAGGACTTGATGTTCCGTTAAAAAGCAAGGCTATAGGCTTAGGAAAATTCCACTTTTCCCTTGGAAATTTTTCAATCCACTATCTTATTTAGATTGCTTTAATTTATTACAAAAAGGGTTGGAATGATGTCTGGCAGTGATTGAGAGCAGTTTGTTCGGTGAAAATCAGAAAATTGTAGAGGACTTGATGTTCCATGAAAAAGCAAGGCTATAGGCTAAGGAAAAGTCCACTTTTCGGTTGGAAATTTTTCAATCTACTATCTTATTTAGATTACTGTAAATTAGTACCAAAAAGGTCTGAAGGGTGTCTGGTAGTGATGGAGAGCAGTCTGTTGGGTTAAGATTAAATGATTGTAGAGGTGGTGATGTTCCATGAAAAAGCAAGGCTATAGGCTTAGGAAAATTCCACTTTTCGCTTGGAAATTTTTAATCCAATACCTTATTAAGATTGCTTTAATTTATTACAAAAAGGGTTGGAATGATGTCTGGCAGTGATTGAGAGCAGTTTGTTCGGTGAAAATCAGAAAATTGTAGAGGACTTGATGTTCCATTAAAAAGCAAGGCTATAGGCTTAGGAAAATTCCACTTTTCGCTTGGAAATTTTTAATCCAACACTTTATTTAGATTACTTTAATTTAGTACAAAAAGGGCTGGAATGATGTCTGGTAGTGTATGAGAGCAGTTTGTTCGATGGAAGATGAAAAAGTGTAGAGGACTTGATGTTCCATGAAAAAGCAAGGCTATAGGCTTAGGAAAATTCCACTTTTCGCTTGGAAATTTTTCAATCCACTATCTTATTTAGATTACTGTATTTTAGTACCAAAAAGGTTTGAAGGATGTCTGGTAGTGATGGAGAGCAGTTTGTTGGGTGAAAATAAAAATATTGTAAAGGTGGTGTTTCTTTAAAAAACAAGGCTTTAGGCT